TACTTATTTATTTTGTATGACAAATTCGTTCTAGTAATGTCGGTATCCATGTTTTTGAGAGCAGAATGTTAAATATTTTATAAACAAAAATACTTGCCCGGTTATGTGGTGCAAAGGTTACTCCCGTAGTTACAAAAAAAAAACCGGATTAATAAGTGCAAATGAATGCCAAAAGTAAACACACTCAAAAATTAAAAAAAGGAAGACGAAGCGAACCAATACTGCGCATATAATTTTCGTTTTTTTTTTCTGTGTACGTCATAAATTCTAAATATTTTTAATGGTAGAATGTCAACCCACATACTATCGCTCATATTTTAAATGAAATTATTAAATTGAAAGATTTTTGCTTTTTCCGGTCATTATTTTATTGAATTGCTTTTGGGTTTTTTATGGAACTGTTTCAGATCATATATATTTTGGAAATAGTGAAAAGATTACAACAATAGTTTTGAACGGTAGAAGTTATAGCTGCTATATCGGAAACCACCACGTTCGCACATCAGGCTTCTTTTTCCAAACACCTTTGTTCGAATAGGATTCGAAATTGGGATGCCCACAGCACGAGCCAATGGTTATCTCATTAAGCTACATTTGTGCCGCTTTTATTAATTGTTGTTTTTCACTTTTTCCTTCTACCTACATATCAATGATCAAGTGCTCAGATATTCTGTAGCTGAAAACTTGGTGCGATGTAGTTGTTTTTGCGAAGAACTTACCAACAAATATTTTAAGGCAATGCCCTTTTTATTATTGGAAAATTTCATTCGCACCGCTAAGGTTCTTCCGTAATTCCAATATGCTTTTTCAGGTCATTATTTTGTTGAATTGATTTTTTGAATAGACATTATCCATTAGTGGATACAAAAACTGCCTTCACTGCGGTCATATACCACATCATTGCTTCACTAGGTAAGGTTAATCCACCCCCAATCAAGAGAGTAGTTCGTGAAAAAGATGGTTTGTCGTGAGTTTTGGTGGACATTCTGCGAGTTCTATATTTCCTATGCAACCATTTTCTAAGTCGTCTATCTCCTTTCGTTCAGCTTGGGTTTATGTTTGAAAATTTCACAATACCGTACCTATATAAAAAGAAAAGCAGCTGGATGAGTTGAGAGTCCAAATCAAGGGTAGCAATAAGGAAACATCGCTTTTATTAACGAGTATACACAGGAATATATCTATATTTTTAGTTATATATTTCAACCCTCGCTTGTCAGACTGATCATGCCTTTAGTTCATATGACGCCAAATATGTTTTCAGTTACATCCTAGCTTAAGTTATTATACTGTTTTCTTGGCCACGGAGCTAATGCCATATGCTCGCTACAGTTAGATCGGCCGGTAATGAAAATAAACTACATCCATAACCAAACACTACACACCTTTCATTCATTGTTAATGCACATACAAAATGTGAAAAATTATGTTTAAACCAATCGATTACTTGCTATGCACTATCGAATCAAATCAAAACTGTGACGAAAGCAAAGCGACAGCTGATTGTCAAATTTATTAACTGAGAATAACGGTCTGCACTGCAGGCGCAATCTCAGAGCTCTAACATTCTTGGAATCGAACATTATATAGAACTCTGACTTTATTTAATTCAATTACTTGAAAGAAAAATCTGCCAAGTCAAACATTCGACTTGCTGCTTAATGACATATATACATACACGCTTCCTTCTTTAGAAATAAATATCCCGTTATAAGAGAAAGCTTTAAATATTTTGAATATATATTTTAAGAACGTCCATAAATTATAAAAGTAGCTGTCGAACGTAATCCTAATAGTTGAAATAAACAATTTTCCTTGTTTTTGGCTTTTTAAGTTAAATGCAGGCATAGTTGATTATTGACTATTAATTAGATGTCGAACTCTTCCTTTTCTCAGTGGAAGAAGTAAGCTTAATCTTTAGTATTTCTTGCAATATTTTAGCACCACCATTCAATTATTTTCCAAAGCAAACTATTGGGAAATAATTTTTAAGCAAACGCGAGCTTCACACTTTGTCAATATAACAGCTGATTAATTTGACAGATTGGTTATCACAATGGGTGCAAGCCAATTTAATTTTCAGACTGTATCGTCTATTTTCTCTACTTTCTTTAGGAAACCAGAGAAAAAAATGAATTTATTTTCTTCATAGCAGCACGCCAATTGGCGCCTGGAGATTACAGGCACAGGCAGGTCCTTATTCACATTATCTCTCCAAAGGAGCGGAGTCATTCCTATCTCTGTGCTTCCAAGGGTACAGTAGAAAGTAACACCTATTGCTAAGAGTGATTCTATGTTGCGTTCCAAAACTGAAATTGTTTTCTGGTATTAAAACGGGTTCCAAGTTAGACCAGATTATCTACGACTTCAAAGAAAGATATCACTCTCAACAGTGATGTGAAGCCGAGTCGCGAATGCGATGACTGTTTTTTTGATGACAGAAGATATTTCGTCTTGACTTCGTACAATAATAGAACAATGCGCTACACGTTCTTACCTAGCCTGAAGAAAGCAGAACTAACTACACGGTTGTTGAGGCCAATGGCCGCAGATACCAAACTTAGACATACCAGCACAGAGATGGCTGCTTTTTGTGCTGTCAAAGGCTCCTTTAAAATCGACAAAGTGGTGGTGTGGGTCAATCATCTTGTGGTGCATGGTCAATTGTAAATCAATTTAGTTACAAATTTTTTGATTTCGAGACGGCCAAGTAGCTTGATGGTTTTTTTCGTGCTGAAATTAGATCTACTACAGACAACCATATTGGAAATGTCAAAAGCCTTAGACCATTTGGTACTGTCACATTAAACAGACGTTTCACTCGCTCATAAAAGGCATCTTCACTTCACATGGTGCGGATTGTGGCAAGATATTTCACGAGACAATTCAACGACTGAGTCTCTCCCCACCACTTAACACTTACTCGTATATGGCTGCTGTAGTACATGTCACAAAAACATACTATTTTTTGTCCAGGCGCTTAAATTAATTTCTATGTGACGGGTCCCATAGCCAGCTATATTAGGATGTTGGTTCGGATTTTGTGCACATTTTCACGATTGTTTAAAGAGATCGCTTGCTCGAATCAATACCTCAGGCGAACGGGCGATGCAATTAGACCAGAGCAAACATTTGAACCGAATTAGTCGGAGTGTCTCTGAAACTTCTTCTTTTTTAGTCGTGACCCAAATATTCAGATGAGTTACTTGCCGCATCTTGCTCATAAGTAGCTCACGTTGCGTCACGTCACGTTAGGATACGTGAATGAGACGCCTCCACAATATGACAAACTGGCCTGAAGAGAAAAGATAAAGTAGCATTTCAGCGCAACCTTGAACTTGCACCCCCTTCCTCCTAATGGACTATTAAACTCACTGTACAGATTTAATTAAAAAATTAGATTAATTTTTTCTATTTAGGATTGCCATTCGGCAACGAATTTTAACCCCTTCGTTCATCAACCGTTCGGAGGCGACTTAAAATAAACTGTTGGTCCCTCCATTTATTGGTAAAAACATTAAAACGCGTACCAAAAATTGGAGGAGGGTTTGGCCGAAAATCACTTCAGTACCTACAAAGCGCCAATTATAAATATATTCTGCTATATACGTGTAGTTGTATGAAACCGTTAGGTAAATGTATACGTAATATTCGTTGTGTACAAAGTCCGACTGGGTAAAAATTAAAATCGAAAACAGACAAATAAACATGCGATAAGCGTTTACTTATCAGATCTTATATTCTTAGAAGAATACAATAAATCTTCTTTTTAAAGCTATATTTTTACTTTAATAATGTAAATAAATAAATTAGTCTCTCTCTCTATACATATATACACATGCATATGAAATGGGTTAAAACTGCGCTCGAAATTTATTAACCCGACCTTGAAATGGAAAGGAATCTTACCTGGATGAGCTGAAATAAAATCAAAACAATGCAGTGTCCACAGTTTAACTCTTTGCTGGCGGCGCATTATTTTCTTTTTCATTTGCTTTTTATAAGTTTATTATGTTTTTTTTTTTTACACCACTATTTTCTACAAGTCATTCCACTGAAAAAAGCCATATAATCGCATTACCATATTAGCGGGCGCAAGTCGAGCGTAAAGAAGATGTGAAAGAGGATGGAAGAGATAATAGCATTCGTACAAGCGTACATACATATTCATATGTAATTATAGATATGTATATATATTTGTATATGTTGGCATTAAAAGTTATCTACGCGCTGAAATCACAGAACTCCAGTTACCTACTCCTGTTAAAATGCTTTGGTATGGAGACTTATCTGCGCAGACGATATTGCTATTTATAACGACCACTACGGATGACGAGGCGGAAAAAGCAAGACATCATACATACATACTATATATAATACAAACACTAAAAGTGTGTTAAGCAACAAAGTGAAAACAAAAACTTGATAGGAGCCAATTAAAAATTTATAGAATTTTTTGTGCGTTTGTGGACCTGTTAATAATACTAATTATTTATGTTTTTGGACGTGGTTAGTGGTAGTGTACGCGCGACGATTCGCTTTTGCCTTCTGGCTGACGTCTCCAATTGTCGTCAATATATTGAACGCACGGATGGTCGGTTGGTCGGTTGGCCGGTTGGCCGGTTGGCCGGTTGGCCGGTTGAAAGTTGGGCGATCTGACAGTTTAGTCAATTGGCAGAGTATACACATATAAGCATGCAAATGCTTACTCACAATTATATACTTATGTACGTATATATATATATATATATTTACTTATGTGATTATAACACTCGATTGCAAATTGTTATTGGTGTCGTAGAATCGTTGAATAGGCGACTTAAAAATAAATACCACAAAACGAACGCTGAAAACTACAACCGCAAAAACAACAAGTGTATAAAAAATACTAACACATACATGCTCGCATGTCAAAAAATGTAAAAACAAAAGCGTACAAAATAACTTTGGAACAGCGCATAGTCATCGGAAAAGATTATAAATGCCTGCGTTTGTCCAGAACTGTTTTACAGTTTAGCATTGAACTCGAACAAGAGTTCGCAAAAAACGCATACCAATTTTAACTTCTGCTGAGTACTGAGTACAAAGTGCCTGCGCGCGTCTGTGCCAAAAGGCAGCTACGACTAAAATAAATAATATATCGGAGTGGCGTAAAAATAATTAAAATTAGAAAAAAAGAAGCGCAGTATAAATTCAGTGGCTGTTAAACGTAACGTTGCAACTAGGTCTCGGTTATTCGGAGTAAAGCTGAATTGTACACATTCCTTCAAAATAAGCTCCTCGGAACGCAGCCCTACCCAAGCAATCCTATTTAAAAAAGGCAGCACATCGAGTTCGTCGCTAAAGTCTTTTGTTTATTTTTTTTTAAACGCGTTCAAGTGAAAAAGCGAAGCCGTACAACAACAACGTTATTTGGCGAAAAAAAAATATAAAAAAAATTCCAAACTCATAGCAGCAAGCACTGAAAAATGTACTCAGAACAACAAAATTTGGTCCTTGTGACATTACTTAGCAGCTGTGTGCTGCTCGCGTCTGCGGCAAGCTCGAATTTTCGTACGTTGCTTTCATACTATTTGATAATGATAACTTCATTTATATTTTTTGCGAGTCACTCACCTTTAAAATTGAAGTTTTGAATGCTCGCATCTTTGTTACTGCTTGCAGTCATATTGCTATACAAATAAATGTAACTTTTAATTTCATTTGTTTTCACTTTCAGCCGCTGATATACCGCGTTGCCGTGTTGCCGATACGGAGTGTATAACGCGCACCTCAACAAATTTGGTACATCAATATGCGCGTACCGGCTATCCCTCTGCTGGGTTTCCCATCATTGAACCTTTTATCATAAAACGGTTTGACATTTCGGATGGCCGTACTGGTTCGTTGAATTTGAAACTGAATTTCCGTGATGTGAGTGTGGAGGGATTGTCCGGCGTTAAGATGGATCGTTCTGTGTGAGTAGATTTTTAATTTTGTCATTATTGTTTTGTTTTGTTTTCTTTTTTTCTTTTTAACACATAAATACTAAATTCGTGTTGTGCTTTTGAGGAGATTCAAATTATTTGATTGACATTTCAAGTGCGTTGAATTTTAGTATTAATATTGTTCTTCCGAGTTGCATTATAATTTATTGACAATACCAGGAAGGGCATGGCCAAATATTGTTTCCTAAAATATATATTCAAATTTCAACTATTATATCAAAATTTTCGGCGTTACAGTTCCAGCGGAATTTCTAAGTAGAATCACGTACTTTTGCATATTTCTGAATTGTGAATTCTTGTTTTCGGCGTAAAACAATGCAGCCCTTTCAGGCAATAATAATAAAAATAAAGTGTGTAATATTCACCGATACAAGCAGTTTAGGCAAACCAAAAATAAACAAAAAAGAGGAATTTTTTTAATTCTGTTAACTCTCACCTTCGTACTGAATATATTAAACATGTCGTTAACCTCTACTAATATATTATTCAACAGTTTGTAGCTTTTATGAGTTTATACATTGACGATGGAATTAATTTTATGTTGTATTATTATGCCTTTCATGTACGTGAAATACCATTAGGGGAAGGAAAAGATCCATCAAAATTTAAACCGATTGAATCAGAATAACGAGTTGAGTTAATTTACCCATGTCCGTCTGTTCGGCTGAGTGTACGCAAGCGAGTCCGCTCAAATATAAGGTTAGGGGCAAAAAAAAACAAACAATGGAAAGTTTGAGATTTGATATCATGCACCCGAAAGCGAAAGCGGAAGACTTCATCAGGAGGTGTATAATGATATTCAGTTATGATATGAATTAATACAAAGATACGCCATCAATTTACATTGGTCATGAAAGGTATAATCGTTTCGGAAGCTTCAGTCATGTTTTATTTTATTAAATAAAAATATACATTTCTTTTAAATTTAATTTTAATTAATTTTCCTTTATATTACTTTAATTTTAGTTTAGCTCTTATTGTATTTGTTTTTTTTTTTTTTAATTTATATATTTTGAAACTTTTTTAAATGTTTTTTATTTTATTAGGCCTAAAAAGAAGTAATCCAGTCGATTTGGTGACCTCCGAAACAGGTGCCACTTCTGCCATTCTTCATTGTTGTATAACAAAATATTTATTGCATACAAATAGACCTCTCGCTCGCTAACTTATGAAAAAAAAAAATTTAATAGTATAGGCCACAAAAACCATTTTTTTAATTTATTTTCTCTCCACTTAGTAGAAAACATCGATCACTCGTCTAAAAATCGCTTCAACAGTTATAAAGCATCAATTTAAATTTAATCAATTCAAATCTAATCTGATTGAATTTTTTATTTTCTCTATTGTTTTTTTTTTAATTGCTTTCTTTTATTTTATTTTATTTTATTTTATTTTATTTTATTTTATTTTATTTTATTTTATTTTATTTTATTTTATTTTATTTTATTTTATTTTGTTTTATATTGTTTTTATTATTTTCACTTTACTTCATTTTATTTTATTTAATTTTACTTTATCTTATTTTGCTTTATGTGATATTATTTTATTTTATTTTATTTTAGTTTCATTTTCCATATTATTTCTTTTTATTTTATTTTCATTTATCTTACCTTATTTCATTTTGTTTTATTTTATTTTATCTTGTTTTATTTTAATTTTTTAATCTACTTTACGTTATTTTCTTATTATATATTATATTATTATATTTTTTTATTTGTTTGATTTCAATTTATTTTATTCCAAATTATTCTATTTTACTATTTTTTTTATTTTTACTCTATGTTATTATAGTTTATTTTTTTATTTTTCTTATTTTATTTTATTTTTTATATAAATTATTTGATTTCACTATTTTTTTATTTTATTTTTACTTTATATAGTCTTTATTTCTTGTTTTATTATTTTCTTTTTGTTCTATTTTATATTATATTTTAATATTTTCATTTTATTTTGATTTTTATAGTTTAATATATATTTAGTTATTTGAGTTAATTTTAACTTTTATTTAATTTTGTTTTATTTTGCTTTATTTTAATTTATGTTATTTTTAATTTATTAAATTTTTTACTTCATATTATATAAGTTTATGCTCACTTTGTTGCATTACATTTTTTTATTTTTTATTTTTATATCAGTTTGATTAGTTTAGTTATTTTATTTTATAGTTTTTTTTTAATATTTAAATGTTTTATTTGGTCTATTTAATTTAATTTAAATTTATTAATTTTGTTTAAGTTTGGTTTTGTATTTTATTTTGTCTAATTTTCTTTATTATATATTACTTAACTTTATTAAATTAAACTATTTTATTTTGTTTAGTTTATTTTAATTTTTTTTTTTACATTTTATTGTTATTACTATTATACCATTTTATTTTATTTCATTTATCTGTTTACATTATAATTTTATAGTACTTTAAATTTTTTTTTATTTCATTTTTATATTTTTGTTATTCTTTATAATTATTTAATTTATTTTATTTGAATTAATTTATGATAATTCAAATTAGTTTCATTTTCTTATATTGTATTATTTTATTTTGTTTTAGATCACTTTATTTATTTCTTCTATTTTATTTTGTCTAATTTTTCATTATTTTAAAATCAGTCTGTCAGTCTGTCTTACCCTGTATCTGTCTGTTTCGAATTTAAGGTCATATGTATCTTGTTGTTTTTTGCTCAACTTCGTTTGGCTCGTCTTAACTAAGCATACAACTCCTATATTTGAATCAGTAATCGGCCTGATGGGGTCTCGTTCATAAGATAGCTAAAGTTTTTTCTCTATTTCTATATTTTTTTACTATTTAAAATTATTTTACAGTGGATTCGAGCGTGATCCAGCTAAGAGCAAGTTTGAAATGTATGGATCATTTCCGAAAATTACACTTCGCGGTAAATATGTTGCCGATGGTCGTATCCTAATTTTGCCAATCAGAGGTGACGGCGACGCTGATATTGTTCTGCATAACCCTAAATTCTCCGTTAAGTTCAAGCCAGCGATTCACCCAAAAGATGGCAAAACCTATTTGAGCGTTGACAAGCTGAAAGTGTTGGTGGAACCGGAAAGGTAACCTAATTAGTTTCTAACTGAAAAAACCAACCATTCAAAGTAGTGAACTATCTTTACAACAAAAAATTTCAAATATATTTTACTAATCCTTTTTATTTTTTTTTTTAACTATTTTTCACAAACAGAATGAGCATGAAATTAACCAATCTCTTTAATGGTGATCAGGCGCTTGGTGGCAACCTAAATGAGTTCTTAAACCAAAATTGGAACGAAGTTTGGAATGAACTGCAACCCTCCATTCATGTAGCCATTGCTGAGGTGGTGAAGAGTATATTGCAGACACTCTTCAAGCGATTCGCTTACGATGATTTGTATGCGGATTAAGACATACTGACTACGAACAATATTAATAATGATATCAGATGAATCAAATATCAGAACGAGTTCTCAAGCTGTATTTTATTATCGGTTTATCTTTACTAAAAACGTATTTTTATTTATTTTCAAAAAAGAAAAAGTGATTTGGAATTTTTTAATTTTTTAATACGTGTGATGTAAAAGCAAGCAGTAAGAGTGTTTTGTGTGTCCGGACCTGCTGCTACATTGTCATTATTGGGTTTGATAAAAATTGTTTGTGTGTTATTTTATTTGATAAGACTTTATAATTATACAAATTATATAAATTTTTACTAAGTGATGTGTGATTCTGTTTTGGCTTAAATGAGGTAATCCAAAATTGTATATAAATCATAAGCAATAAATAACAAAGTGATAAGAAGCTATTTGATTAAACATCATCATTGAAGTAATTTAAACATGTTTGAAGGTCTATAGTTTCTAAATACGATGCTTGATAGAAGAGTAACCGATGAATACGCGCATCTCACATTCACATCTCAGATTTTTATATATTTTATAATGTTTTTTTACAATAATTTTAATTTATTTACTTTCACTACACTTAAAAAACAAAATACTCTTCATCGAACATTCCCATCTTTAAGGCGTGGGAGGTCTTCGTTTCAGTTGACATTAAAAGTTTATTGCTACTTCAATCATTAATAACGCACACCCAACACTGTTATTGTTACAAACCTAATTCTTTTTTCTAAGTAAGAGTGTGATCATGCATGAAACTTTGCATTCTACGGATGATCGCTTCCACTTAACGCCTTATTCTATTTCTCATGTGTTTTTTCTTGATCAAGTATAAACCGATTAATGATAAAAGGGATTACATTCATGTGGTGAATAGCTAATGTTATTAGATTTGAGAAACCAATTTTAATTATTTTTACACCCAACGATAGGGCATCACATGGTATATAGACTTTGCACTGCCCTCATTTGCATGTGCCTAGCATGTCGATAATCTGTTAAGGCAGTAGTCTTCTCTATAACCCGAAAAAAACGTTTCTTTCAGGAGTTATTTTAAAAGGGAAGGAAATTTACAATATGCTATATTTAAGGTTCAAACAAAAATTTTTAGTATCAAAAAATATTTAAAATTTCCAATGTTGTGAATAGTTGTCTGAAGCAATGCGTCTGAAACAGTCGCGGCAAAAAAATTTTTATTTTTTATTTTTATGAATAACTTTTCTATATGAACTAGGAAAATACCGAACAAAATAAAAACATTAAAAAAAAATTTGCGAAGTTTTAAAAAAATTTATTTATTTGAAAAAAAATTCTTTTAACGAACTTTCTCAATACTTCAATACAGAAGCAAGATCACTTTGTTTAATTTCGATCGAACATGTGGGCATCTATTCAAGTTCAAGGTGTATTGCTGTGTAATATCTCTTCACGTAGTACAATCTGTCGACAAGGTTTGGCATGAAAGCCTGTTACACAAAATTTATAAAACCTTACTTAACCAATTCTACCATATATTGAGTCATACTGGGGGCGATTTACTTCTCACAGAAGATAGCCAGATATTCTGGACTGTTGAGTTTAAGTCAATAAGCAAAGTTGAAAACACATTACATTTCAAATTCAATTTCGATTTCAAGTGCAAACTAAAATTGAAACTTTTTGAAAAAAGCGCTTTTATTAATCAATTATTTATTCGCCATCATGTTCGGCAATCCACTCCCAACGTTCAACCAATTTACGGATGCCTGATTCATAGAAATCGCGCGGTTTCTCGTTGAAAAAGGTGTCAAGGTGGTTTTTGACGTCTTCCACATTTTTAAATTTTTTTCCATTCAAATTGTTCTGCAGCGATCGAAACAAATGATAATCAGAAGGTGCAATGTCGGGTGAATATGGGGGATGCGGCATGATTTCCCAATTCATCTCCTTCAGTTTGGCCAGGGTCGGTTTTGCAACATGTGGCCTGGCGTTGTCATGATGGAAAAGAACTCCTTTGCGATTGGCCAAAATCGGACGTTTTTCATCAATTGCTTTCTTCAATTCGACCAATTGCTGACAATACTTGTTGGCAGTGATCGTTTCTCCAGCTGGCAAGAGCTCAAAATAGATCACGCCTCGGATATCCCACCAAATGCACAGCAGTACCTTCATCGGATGCAATCCACCTTTCGACATCGGTTCCGCCCCTTCGTGTGCCTGTTTCCATGTTCTTTTGCGTTGAACATTGTTGTACAGGATCCATTTTTCATCACCAGTCACGAGCCGATCCAAAAAAGGTTCGTTTTTGATCCGTCGAAGCAAAGAAATTGCTGTTGACATACGGTCCACTTTGTTTTTTTCACTCAACTGATGTGGCACCCATGTATCGAGCTTCAAAGTGTACCCAACCTTTTTTAAACGACGAAACGCAGTTGATTTGTTGACGTTCAATTCACTGGCAACCTCTTCCGTCGAAATACGTGAGTTATTCGCAACTAAAGTCCTTAGAACATCGTCATCAAGCTCAGAAGGCCGTCCACTGCGAGGTTGATCTTCGAGGTTAAAATCTCCAGAACGAAATTTCGCGAACCATTTCTTTACTGTGCGGAGTGCTGGAGCACGGTCCAAATAAACTTCGCGAATATCTTTAGTTGCAGCGCCTACTGTTTTTCCTTTGCGGAATTCGTATAACATAATATGACGAATATGATCTTTTTCGTTGTCCATCTTCCATGCGTCTTTTCACTAAGCAACTCAAATGTGAAGTTATTTTATGCTTGATTTACAGTTCGGACTGTCACCTTTCCAACGATATATAATATGTATATGTTTCTTTTACGAGCGCCACTCTCAAACGATTCGAACGGCATCCAGCGGAATCGGGCACGAACTTATGCACTCATCCAATAATTTAGCAAAAACTGATAAGCCAACAGAATACTTGACTATTGACGAGCAACTTTAACCGTGGTTGAACTAAATTCATTCAGTGTGTTCCCATCAGGGCCAGCTAAATGTGGTATAATGTGGGAGATGGTATGTGACGCTGAAAATTCGTATTCATTTATTGGACAGCCTTACACTAGGACATCTAGTGAAAGTCGGGAAAAATACGTCACTGAGAGGGTTACCAAAGATGACCCTCACTATTCTGGAAGTAGACAAATTATGGTACTTTTAAGAAAATAAAGCATACATTCCACCACTAATGGCTGCATTGAAAAGAGATTAATTGTTCACTGTGTTTTGCCTTCCTGAAAAACCTTCCCATTTTTTTCAATATTCTCGATATTCTCTGTATTATGATAATAATAAAATTGCGTAAGAGCGGCTATTATTTTATCAGCAATTGATCAGAGAACTGTGTACTCCATTCATTGAAAATCGCTACAGACGAATGTGGCGCTTGAATATTTGCTTGCTCGATAAAAGCAACAGTACAAACTTAAATTAGTGAACGAGAAAGTTCAAAACTACCCAATAGTAATGATGCTCATGATTGCAACTAAAAAACCACACATTTTCAATATAAATGAAGTAAAAACACTTTCTAACGCCTACAAAACTGAAATAAAAAAATGTTCATTCTAGAAAAAAAGCAGTTATTAGTGACGAAAGTAAATATATGATTTTTGGATCGGATGTACGACGTCCGTGTGAGGAAAGTAAATTAATAACTAATTGAGATTCTGGAGGGTCAAATACTCGTTCAAGTAGCTGAAAAAGTCATTGACAAAATATATTTGGATGGATTGAATAATAAGTTTTTATTTCAAATAAACCATCACCTAAATAATTTAGCTTACGGTGTTAAAATTTAACAAAAAACGCTCATCAGCATATTTCTATAGTACTCATCTATCATCTGCAACAAAAAAATTGCCCATATCATGAAGATTTGCACCAGTTTGGGCGAAGTTATATGCAAAACTGAACTCAAAGATGCTTTGTTCCCAGATTGTAAAAATACTAGCGAAATTTTTTCAAAATCTTATAGAATCTATCTGAAAAACTTTCGATGGTGTTTTGCAAATAATGATTAACATAATAAATAATAAATATCGTTTAAATCAATTTCAAAGTGAATTGTAATCAAAGGAAAAGTACTTTTGTGAGCTATGAGGTACGACTTTTTTACATTTTGCTATGATTACTCGTGGATATAATATTTTAACCGCTTTTATAACCGCTGAATCGAGTATCAGCCGAGCTCCTCCTTTAATTTGGGGTTTGCGTCTTCTTGTTGGGACCTATTGATTATTCTAAGCTGCCTCCGAACTGTCGAAATTTATTTTATGTCCAAAATAAACTCGAAGCATTTAACATTCCCTCCGAAGGAATTGCAAAAATTAATTTTCTATAATTTGGGACTCTAACTCTGTCCTTCCGAATGGCAGTACTACACAATGCTATCCTCTGGCAATTGGGCATGTAACCGCATTTTCGAGTCAAAGAGCAAATCATGAATGAAACTTAACAAGTAACGTTTCCAGAATATATGGAATGTAAACTGGAAATTATAAAGTCATGGGAAAGGAAATTGTTCATATAAACAGCAACACTCCTCACGTTTGAGCAAACCATTTTGACATAGATTAAATAATTTACCATACTCTGAAACTCTTTGCGTGAATATTTGGCTTTTCGTATGTCTACAGTGTCCAACAATAATCCTTTTTCATTAGAGGAATGTCCTGTTGGAACCTGTCACTTTGGTCATTCTTCACAACACACAAATTCCCCAGAATTAAATTCTAATGGGAAATCCAAAATATATATTTTTAATAAAATATTACATCCCAAAAATTTGTTTAACATTATAATTCTTTTATCATGTTTTTTTAATTACCTGAATAATGGTTTCCACAACCGCACAACTTCTTCCTGGTCATTCAGTTTCCCTTCAAGGGTCTACCGTATTTGCCATTTTTGCTCCACTGAATTTCGGGAATTTCTCTTTTAGATATAAAAATTCAATACCATCTTTAGCTGCAGCTCTTGGAAATTTGTTTATCAGGCCTAGATTTATGTGCAAAGGCTGTATGCCAATCGGGTGAACATTGAAATTCTCACATTTTTCGTGGTGAGTAGAAATAGATTTTGTTTGTTTGAATACATGCAATGGAGACCATAATAACATAGCAATAACAACTACAAGTAAATGCCACATGCCATCCAATATTAGAAGCAAATAACTTTATTTTCGTGATGTTTTTGGGAATTAATTGGACGATCTTTGTGAACCTGCTGGAAGAAATTCTTAAATGTAACCGAATTTTCCGTTCATCACCGTACACAATTCTTTTGACACAAGTATTACATGTCAACTAGCCCGTTGCCTAAAACTTTGAACTAACAACAAATCATTAATTAAATTCACTTTTTGTGTTGTGAAGTGTTTTCTTGTATTTTATTATTTTTTTTTCAGCTGGCAAAAATTATATGCGACTTACTTACGGCCTTTTATTTTGTTTACGTTAAAATTTACAATTTCGTTTGGCACAGCGAAGTAAAATTTTGCCACCTCATTTTACCGTATAAAATAAAAATACCGATTTTCACATAGCCAACGGTGATAAGAGAATTCATCAGAATTCAGTAAAGGATCATTTTTAATATTTTTTCGGCCTTGGCTACACTATTCTTGTATAAACAGCAAAAATTAGTATAACGAAAAAAAACCCCTATTTTTATAATTTCTTTCATTTCTGAGCAGTCAATGCCACTGGGATAGAAAATTAAATTATTTGCATTTTTAGAGCTATTTTAAGTATTTTATTACATTTTTATTTACAACACTATTTTATTGAGAAACAAACGAATATTTAATTCTGTTAAGTTTTAAAATTAAATTTGCAATTAATGAAATTAATATTTCCTGCTGAAGCGAATTTCTTTGGAAACAAAGGCAATAGATTCTTTTACTTACGTAGTGGTATTGGCGCGTTTAGCGCACCAGCTATTGAATGTTTCCAAATCTGACACTGCTACCAAGATTAGAATGCGAGATGGCGGAACGCTCTCAGCTACACTATAAGTGAATTTGAGTGAGTTTCATATCTAATCATTTTTGGCGAAGCTGGAGTTCAAGCAAAAGTGCAGTGACTTTAAAATCACCATAAATTTTCCAAAAGTTTTAGCTTATTGAATTTTTTCAAGAGAAAATTTTATATTTTTGGGTGTCTCTTTCATATCAAAACAATAAAGAACCCGCGCTGAAGAAAGTTTGTTTATATTATGCACCAACACTGTCTTCTAACTAGTTTTCGTGGGGACAATAAATTATCGCCAGTGATCATATTTAAAATTTTACAACAGGCACGTTATTACAAAAACCTAAATCCCCTGTTTTATAAAGGCACGATTTTATCTTTTTTATATCATCGTCATATTGCTGAAAATTAGAAATTCTACTTTCAGGAGAAAGGAAATTCCAGTTTTTCAATCTAGTTCCTACACGCTGCTTTTTAGACAAATTCGAATCAACTACTAAATCGCTTAATAAATCACTTTGTGTGGAAATTATGTTGTTTTTGAAGTTAACGGTTGTGTCTATCTAGCCTGATATAACATATCGTACTTTCTCTGAAGAAATTGTCCACAAGAATCCGGCAGACAGGTCGGCACTTTGAAGTATAAATAATGATTATTGTATTTGTACTTGGTTGTAAGAAGTTTTGTTTGAATCGAATGAAAATGACAATCACCGTATGTATTGGTTTGGGCTCTTCTCAATTCTTTGGTATAGCAAATGGCAAGGCTTCTCACACACGTTCACAGCATTTATGTGAAACCCAAGGTTTATCTCGATTCCTTACAGGATCAATTAATGATAAGATATTTCGACGCTGAGTTGTAAAAGTAAATTTTCCACACTCATAATAGAAAAACTGTGCCATATCACTTCTCTTCAAAACATTTGCTGCAACATTGTTAAAAGGTTAAGGCAAATAAAATGCGGCGTAACATCTCCGTGCAATATATTAATTGCTTAATTGACTTTTTTAATTTACTACCATCTTTTATAGAAATACACATATATACATATGTACATATGTCAATAACCACTTAATTATACTTTCAACCTCGGTATTATGCAACTTATTAGCAATGGACAAATCGGTTTATTTATGTAAATTAACTCATATATTAGATATCTTATATATTGTATATGTAGCGCGCAAAAAATCCGTGTGAGAATTATGTAAATCGTTGAGTTTTTATTAAAAACAATATTAAATTTACTGCATGTGATTTGTCACAATTGTTGACAAGCAAATAGGTGACAATGCAATATGAGTGAGAGTCCCTCTTGTCTCCCTCTCTAGTCAATGCAACACTGCATTTTCATGCCATCCAAACGGCACTCTCAACTAAATAACATTCGCAATCGGTTTTTGTATTGCAGAGTCGCAAGTTACAATTGATAATTGAATTCTTTGTATAATTTATTGCCATGATTAGCATCAAATGCGATACAAATGATTAGGCGGCAATTATTGCCAAGGTGGACTTTTGAGACATGCTCGGCTTGGCGGTATAAAAGTTTATCCAACTCAAAGTAAAGTTTTATTTACATTCAGACGGGTTACAAGCTATTTGCCATAATTATTTGCGTGGTGGCATCGCTGCAGCTCATTTAATTATTAGAAAATTTTATATTTCACTGCAAGGATGCGAGGATATGATTTTAATTTTGTATTACAAGGGATTTGTGTTTTCATTTTGGTGGCCAGCATTGCCGCGAAACTGCGTAAGTTTCTTGCATCGTAGAACAAGATGTCACCAAAATCAAAAGTGTCCACAAACTTTGTATGCATATGTAGTGTTGTGTATATTTTTGAATACTTTTGGTGATTTGATTAAGATATGTCTGATTTGGTTGGTTAGTTGAAAATATGATTGCTTACAAGCAGAAAAACGCGAAAAATGTATTACAACAATTAGGCAGACACTCGGTGGTGCTCGAAATCGTGATAAAACGGATTTTTGATTTTATTATTTGTTCTAGTTACAATGAAAAATATGAAAGTGACTTAACTTTCGCAGATCCTCTTTCAATTGGCTAATAAATTTAAGTTCTGCTTCAAAGAAAGCTACTCAAATAATTTTAAAAGCAAAAAATTTGACTCAAAATTAATTAAAAAAATCAAATAAAAAAATAATTATATAATAAATAAATGGTGGAAAATTTAAATTTCTTCTACAAGTGGTGGTATGTGTCTTGTTAAGTTGTTAAATATTTTAACAACTAAGAGATTTGGTTTTGGCTCTGAAATTTGTAGGTTTCCCCTATTTACAAAAAATATTTAAGCGTCTAAAGAACTTAAGAAAAAAGTTTTGCAAAAAAAAAATATTTGAAATATATAAATCACAAAAAAACAAATTAACCAATTAAATTTTGTTTACTGTGTTTCAAAAAAAAAAAAAATCAAAGCTCAAATCAAATGCAATTTAGAAAGTTTATGACATTATGTTAAATCCTGAAAAAATGTGTGCCTTCCTTAGCGATACCTCGACTTACTCGGACAATGTTCTAACAGATATTAACTTCTAGAATTCGCCAGCGACTTCTTACGCATGGAGTTTTAACATTGTTCTATTAAATCGTATTAAAAAGAAATAAGAGTCTTCCACATATTAAGGCTGTAGTCAATTTTATAAGCTTAAAAAAATTAATTTTTCCTCTAATCTATACTAAAACTATCTAAGAATATATCTTCAATATTTTAGTGGCCCACTCATTTTCGAAGCTAGAGCAGTTTCAGTGGCCGAGCGTGGAGCACGTTCAAATGTTTGGTCAGACTTCGAGGCGCGTTTGCTTGAGTTATCATTTTTACATTTCTTAAAAAACGGTGCCGATCTAAAATCAGTTAAAATAAATATATTAAAATATCTTCTAGTTGAATTACAAAAGTGGGACGATAATATATTTTTGCAACTTGAAGTGATCTTTTTTTCAAACTTTAACAAAATATAGAACTTTCTAACTTCTTCTGAATTTTTATAGTTCATATAGAAGACACTTAGACTGCAGCTGTTTCAGAAAACTCATCACAACAATTTGAAAAATTCCAATATTTTTTGATACTAAAAATTGTTTTACGAAGCCTAAATATGGTACATTATTGTCTAATATTTGAATATATTTCGTTTACCGCAATAGTTTTCTTCCATTAAAAAAAAATGCTGACTTAACTGAAGCAAACAGCTTTCTATGGTTCAAATTTTGGGCAAATCGAACCTCAGATATGATTCTGAAATATACAAATAGCCGTCTATGCTCTATATGTTAAGCAAAATGGGACTATCGAATCGATTACAAGCTCACTGGCCAGAAGAAAAAGTTGACCCGAAAATTAATTCAGGCAAGGAGCTGCCTCAGTGCAAATTTCATATAATATAAATCTAATAGATCGACCCCGGACCCACATCCAGAAAGAAAAAGTATTAACCAAGTTTAATGTACATAAATCAAACGTCAGTCATTCAGGACAAAGCCTTTTATCTTATATATATTGTATATACTATATGCATATAATATATATGGAGTTATTTCTAAAGTAGATCAGTATTTTTGAATCAAATTCCGCGCTATTAGATGAAGAGGAACTTTCTGTTGTTCTGCTCAAAAATAATATCAGTTACTCTAACTTTCTAATTTTCTTCTTCTTCTTTATTGACGTTGGCAACGCTTACGCGACTATAATCGAATTAATTAAAGTGCGACATTTATTCCTTTTTTGCGATGTTTGGCGAAAGTTGGAAATACCAAGTGAGGCCAGATCACGCTCCACCTAATCCTTCCAACGGAGTGTAGGTCTTCCTCTTCCTCTGCTTCCAACAGCGGGTACTACATGGAATACTTTCAGAACTGGATTGTTTTCATCAATTCAGACGACATGATCTAGCCAGCGTAGCCGCTGTCTCTTCATTCGCTAAACTATTGTATGTCAATATCATCACATAGCTCGTACAGCTCATCGTTCCATCGTCTGCGGTATTCGCCGTTGCCTATGCGCAATATAATAGGACGGGTATCATGAGCAACCTGTAGAGTTTGATTTTCGTTCGCCGAGAGAGGACTCTACTTCTCAATTGCCTACTCAGTCCAAAGTAGCACCTGTTGGCAAGAGCGATTCTGCGTTGGATTTCAACGCTGATAATATTGTTGGTGTTGATGCTAATTCCTAGTAAGACGAATTTATCTACGCCTTCAAAGTTATGACTGTCAACATTAACGTGGGAGATGAGTCGCGAATGCGATGACTGTTTGTTTGATGACAGGAGATATTTCGTCTAGTCCTCGTTCACTACCAGACCCATTCACTTCGCTTTTTTATCAAGTCTGGACAAATCAGAATTAACGGCGCGGTCGTTGAGGCCGATAATATCAATATCATCGGCGTACGCCAGTAGTGATACACATTATAGAAGATTGTACCTTCTCTAACTTTCACTTTCTAACCAGGCCAATGCCATAATTGTCAAGAATGTAGCCATACGATTATATATTTTAAATTTGGGCAAAAAAAGTTTATTTGAAAACATAAAGACGAGTAAGATTTATGTATATATATATATATATATATATATATATATATATATGTATATAAAGTAAATCAATATATAAAAATAAATAAAATACAATAGCTGTGAAATACAAAATATAATATCAGGTTTTACTCATTCCAATTGAGTTTACTAAAACTTAATATTTCTAAGGCTTCAGCTCAAATTAGCACAACTCGCAATAATTCGCCATTGAAGATAGCTTTATTCGCATGGCTCGAGTTCAAGTCCAACTTGCAGGGTGCACAATTTACTTATTTAAACTCCGTTTTTATTTATGTACATACATACAATCATTAATCTAAGGCGTCCGCGATAACCTAGTATTGGTGCCAACAACACTCAAAAGTTACAGAAAATTAATTAAAAAAAAAAATAAATTAAATTTTTTAATTGCGGTCGACCCTCAGCAGGGAATGTCAATCCCTCCGAGTGTATTTCTGACATTAAATGATGGCTCCTTATAAAAAATCATCAGCCTTTCGGTGGCGACTTAATATAAACTGTAGGTCGCTCCATATGATGGAAATATATCAAGATGCATGACCACAAATTGGAGAAGGATCTCGGACCTCCAATTTTAAAATTTAAAAAATGACAAAAATTAGAAATTTAAGTATCTACATTTTTTTTTAATTATGCTAACTAAATCTTATTATTAGTTCACCTACCAATGCATACATACATACGAGCAGCAGAGATCTTGTGATAATTTTTTGCAGAGTACTTTTAATACTATAATTATAAATTCTCTGTTCTCATTATTATAGGTTCTCTGATAAGTATGTGCAGTTTGCTTGCATACGCATAGGCGCTTCGGTAAATAAACCAGAGAATCTATAATAATGAGAATGTGTAAATTAAAATTCTCTGACCACCACAAATAATTTTGTTAACAGAGGCAAACAAGTGATCTTCTGCTAAAAGCAGAAAAATCGTATGCAATTAATTTCTCTATGTTAATGCACTTCTTTGCTTTGCCTTTTAACCAAAGGAATTACCTACAAAATTGCTAAAGAGGAGCTCAAAACACTTTTTTTTATTTTTTTATTTGCTAAATTGCTTAAAGCGTTAAAAAGTAAAAATAAAATAAAAAATATCAAATTTAATAATATTAAAAATTATTGCAATGAAACATATGTATGCATGTTAACAATTATGAAAACAAGTTCCACTTATATTTAAAATTAAAAAATAAATTGAAAACATTAGAAAGAAATTATATTAACACTTAATGATAACATTTGCATCGAATTTATTTCATTTTATTTCATATTTCGAATCAAATATATAATAAGTACATATATATGTAGGTCATAAAACTTAAAAACTTATTTTGAAAAAAAAAAAATAAAGTAAACTTCAAATATATACATATAACAAAACAAAAATAAGAGAAAATTAAAAAGCTAAAATAAAACAAAACGCAACAAAATAAAATAAAAGAAAATATAACAAATAAATTAAGTGAAACAAAGTGAAATAAAGCAAACTAATATAAAAATCAAATGAAATAAAATAAAATGAAAAATGATATCTCAAAAAAGAAAATAAAATAAAATAATTTTAAATTAAATGGAATGTAATGAAAAACTAAAAATAATAAAATAAATAAAAAAAATTAAAAAATTTTAAATAAAGCAAAATACAATAGTATAATATCCATACAAGAAAACTCTCAACCTGATCGATCATATTGTGATAGACGGAAGACATGTATCCAGTGTTTTAGATGTGCATACGTACCGAGGTCCTAATATCGACTCGGATCACTATCTTGTTACAGCGAAAATACGCACACGCCTCTGTGTATCAAAGAAGGCCTGACAACAAACACCTGAAGGTGACGTCGAAAAGCTAAAATCACAACATACTGGCCAGCGGATTCCTACTCGACTTGCACTCCTGCTCTATGAGAGCACTCATCAGAAAACCGGCATAAGAGAACTGTGGGACGAAATTTCAAAATCCCCACGTACAACTGCAAACGCAACTATTGGATTTCGGAAAGTTCGCAAAAACAGCTGGGGTAGGAGAGATACCGTCAGCTGAGGAGGGAAGCGCGACGCATTTGCAGGGAAAAAAGAAAGAGGACGAAAAGCGTGAGTATGAGGAGCTTGAAAGTTGGCCGATAAGGGTAATGCTTGAAAACTTTACGAAAAGATACGGCGACTAACGGAAGGTTTTAAGCCCAAAGCAAACTCTTGTAGGACTAAGAGTCTTGAACTAGTGACGGATGCTCAGAGCATACTGAATTTATGCAGCGAACAATTCTTCAGCATACTGAATGGCAGTGAAAATGATACTCGAAAGTCCAATTGATGGCGATGGACAAGTTCTTCCGTTATCCGACCATTAAAAAGTCTGAATAGCAATCGCCCGCTCGAAAAACAACAAAGCGGCAGAGTTCGATGAATTACCGGCCGAGCCATTCAAATACGGAGACGAAGAACTGATCAGGTGAATGCATAAGCTTCTTTGCAAAATATGGTGGAATGAAAGCATGCCTGACGATAAGAACCTAAGTTTACTTTGCCCAAAACACAAAAAAGGCGAACCCACAGTCTGCATCAATCACCGAGGGATAAGTTTTCTTAATATCGCATATGAGGTCCCATCAAGACATAGTGTGCCAAAGATACCTTCTTTACCCAACCTGGCCTTGAAGTAGCCAAGCTCAATTTTGAGGTCTTGGAGGGGGTAGCGCTAATAAATGTGCTCGAGGCGCTCGTAAAAGGCATCCTTATTCACAATGATCCTCTTCCGTCGGAACGTGGGCGCAAATCAGTGTGGTGTTAAAAAAATTCGTTTTATTTTCGGATTGTGACGATATGTTCATCCACCAGTGAATTCCAGTACTCGACTACGGAGCCTCTCTCCAATCGAGAAACCGAAACCAAATTTGGGCTCCTCTATATGGCCAGCTTCTTCTGCCTTTGTCCCGTCTATCGCACTTCTGGGACGGCGGGGATGTCCGCCTTTAATTTAAGAGGACATCAACCGACTGGGCACATCCTTAATTAAGGAAGCGAACATTCCAGATGCATGCCCTAATATAGTAATCCTTAAAACATTTGCAGGGCTCGTTATCAATAGAGCTTCCTCTCTACCGAGGTATATTTTATATTTTCATTGGGTTTTATTTTCCACGGGTGGGTCCCGAACCCAACGCACAACGGCATGTCATTCCCCTTCTCACTTTAGCTCACCTCCATATAGATGTATATGGGATAGTTGTTCTAAGACCGAAGTTGTAAGCTGCTTGAACTATTTGCAAAAGAAACGTTCCTGGCCACTCCCAAGTAAATGGTAGTCAAAATCTTTCCTCACTTGCGTGAACTTCTACACATATCAAAATACTCAATATTGTCTTAATTTTTTAGTTATATCAAAAATTTGTATAATGCAACGCAGGTTCCGCCATTTATATTGCAAGCAGGCCATTACAACCATAATGAAAATTAATAAGGACTCATTAAATAAAAATAGTGTGCCGAAAGTAGGGGTTTATTTTAGTAAGAAACTAATGGGGATAAGCGTTTCTAGTTGTTGAAGAACTCTTAACCAGTTGAGAAAATGAATTTTAGCGAAAGGGGTTTCACGAATTATTAATCCTCTACGTATTAGTGACTGTGCTTTTAAAATTTAAGACTCGGCTATAATCTTTGCATTTAAAAACTGAGCCCTATAAGAAGGACCACCCATGCCCTAATAAAATATTTTTATACGATTACAATTGATTGATAATTGACCCTGCTCAGATGCAAATAAAATTAATCATGCTCGTAAACAGCCCATTATTTCTTCGCTCGAACTTCATAATTTTTTTATGATTTACTGCTGGAATGGCATTTTGCAATAAATATTTTATGATATGTATTTTTTTATATACTTCTAATTTGAAAAAAAAATTATTTTCTTGCTTCTTACCAATTAAATTAATTTATTACACTTTTTCCAACCACTTTTTAATTGCTTTCAATTATTTGTGTACAGCCAGCGATATTAAGCCATGTGCTGCCGGTGATGGAAAGTGTATAATCGAGAATATTAATAAAGTATTCGCTGAAAAAAATCAGGGTGATGAAAGTTTCGGCTTAACCAAACTGGAACCATTCAAAATGGATGATATTATCATCAAACAAGATCCTGCAAATCCTGTTGCTATTTATCTCGGTCTCCTAAGACCTGTTGTGTATGGCGTCAAGAATGTGAGAGCGCTAAAAGTGAAGTGAGTATGAACAATATATGGACATATATGTTTCCACGACCCATAAAGATAAGCAATTGTAAAACTTACTAAAAGTAGTAAATCTTTAATGTTTCAAGAGAAATTCCATAACTTATTTCTTATTAAAGTACTCGTATACTTGTGACCTAATTTGAAATCTTAGTTTGAAGAAAACTATGAGTCTATTTAATCACAGCACACATTCTTTTTGTTTAATACCAAAACTCAACAGTTTAAATTAACATATATTTCGTAATCAATAGAGGCTTTGGTAAAACACCCGAAGGTCGCCATGAAATTTTGCTGGAGACCCCTTACCTCTCGCTTTTATCCGATTACAAAATAGATGGCAAAGTGCTCATTTTACCTGTTAAAGGAGAAGGGAAAAGTAATATTACGCTGGGTAAGACTATATGATATTGTTTATTTAGCTTAAAAACATATTTGTTTAATTCATTGCAATTTCTATTAAATTTCCTTCCAGTTCAACCTCTGATTAAAATAAGCATCGATGCCACCTCGCGCAATGAAAATGGTAACACATTTATGGTTATAAAAAGTTTACGCGTCGAATGCAAACCAAAACGTTTGGCAATGCAATTTGATAATCTCTTTAATGGCGACAAGGTTTTGGGCGAAAATGTCAATAGCTTCTTGAATGACAATTGGAAAGAGATTTATGGTGAAGTGAAAATACCATTTTATGAGGCCATTGGCAAGCAAATGAAAGTAGGAGCCGAAAAGGTTTTCAGCGCCACGCCATATAATGAGATCTTTGTGATATAGAGTACTTATATTATACAGTTACATTGCACTTACTTAAAGTGAATAAAGTTCTTATTAAATTATAATTTGTTTCTGTTCGATAATGACGATGAGCCAATGAGCCAATTATAGTTGAACAATTAGCTATTAAAATGCTATTTATAAATATTATTACGGTATAATTAAAATAATAAATTATATTAAATTATATATGTTTGCATTATCTGAATATCCCTACTGGAATTGACTAGAACTAATTTAACACACATCGTTCTAACGTAACACAGTACTCAATTGAATTGAGTTGAGTGAGACTAATGTATTGAGTTAGATTAATTTATAACTGTTGTAAATTAAACCGGCTGCAACACTCGAGTGATTAGCATTGCGTACTGCCAGTCATAAGGCCAGTTATGGGATTTTCTATTGTATTTTAATGATTTCGGTTCGGGTAAATAACATAGCGATAATTTTAACGATTTCAATATTTCATGTACTATCGCTTGTTCAGCTGTTGTCGTAAACTACTCGATAAATCGGTAACAAAGCGTCGATAATATTTTGAAGTTGTTAGCGCCAACGAAAAAATTTATTTATTTTATTTAAGGTTTAAGGTTAAAGTAAAGTAAAGTAGAACGCGAAATTACCTAAGCTATATAAAACTAGAAGGAAAATAATAAATTAAAATATCCCAGAGTTATTCGTAAAGTGGAAGAACGTTTCCACTTAAATGCAACTGAGTTTCGGAATCTATATTTGTAGATTAACGCCAGATTAAGTTAAAGAAATCGTTACTCAACCTGAAAGCCAACTAAAAGGCAAAATAATAACAAGAATATCTACAGACAAACACTATGTATATGTGACTTTTAAGTATTTATTTTGTTTTAACTCTACTAAACTCAATCCTACTTGACTTAAAGGTTCTAGCCGCCTTTCGATTCCCCACAACTGTATGCTCTCAACGTCCCATTGGAGAGAAATCGAGATTATACATGAGCCAGCCGTTCGTAGGCCATTGTATACATCACGTAACAGGCGAATTTAAAGGGTCGATATTTTACAAAGGTTAGGTTCGGTCCCCTTCTCACAAAAGAACTGCTTTCTTCACTGCTTACTATCGACTATCGAATATTGGTAAGAATATTTTTTTTTGTAGTAAAACAGTTCATTGCATTTCTAGATAAATAGATATGCTATATATATCTCAAGATTTTGGCGGTAAACGCTAAGACCTCAGAACTCATTTAATAAAAATTATTTGCTATCAGGAATTTCTTCTGTTTTTGTAATTCCTCTTGGTGCTTTTTTTATATTTCAACGTTTTGTTATGCTGTTTTAACACATTTCTTTCATTTTCATAAAAAAAGAAATGTCAAATTCGCAAGTTTGCGATCAGAGAATTTGTATCGATAAAAGCTACTGAATTTCGCCGCAGGGTTCAGACAACATCAAAAATTTCTAATTGCGGTCGCCATTCTAGGTTACTCCATATCAAAAATTAGGAGAGGAGTTCGGCCGAAAATCGCTTTGGCAGTCACAAAGCGCCAATTATCTATGTATGTTTGTGATAAATATATAATAAATGTGTGAATAATAAATTCTTAAAAAACATTTAATTTTCATTTTTTTACTACACCGTCGACTACTCCAGTTTTACACCTCTTACTTGCTAAATATCTGATCAGATTCGTTTTATAACTACTTTTTTATTGAAAATAAAAAAGCGATTTATGAATATTTATTTATAAATATTAATTATTTTCACCTATATATGTTTTTGTACATGCATATTTACACGCATAGAGGCAAATTACAAAAACGATCGAACTCATTAAGTTCATTTTATAAATTTATGATTTTAATTGCTTACACATGTAATAGATTAATTAACTTTATAGATCTAAATTTTCTTTATAAAAACCAAACATTTTCTTTATAAAATTTCTAGTTTGTCTTTAATTGTGAATCGTGGTGGATTGAATTCGTTTTACGTGTGCGTGTTGAGTAATTATTAAAAAGGATAAAAAGTTCACTAAAGGAAGTTTCAAATACTGCATAAATCCCATAATATAAAATGTATACTAAATTTGCACTAGTTGCAATACTTGTTTGCTCCTTTTTGCGATATAGCGGTGCAGATTTTCGTAAGTTTTTGTCATTAAAATTTGCAAAAAAAAAAATATATATATAAATATAAAGAAAAGGTTTTCCAATAAGAGGAGTTATTTCGAATGACCTGCTATTCCGGTAGACGTCACTTTTGCGGCTGTAATTTTTTAACAGGTACAAACTATGCCATGAATAAAGTCGAAAGCTGCACGCTGCAACAATGCATTGAAATGTTCAAAATACACTATAAAAATGGTATAAATCTGGCAGTAACCGTTCCTAAAAACAAAACCTTTTTCGGTCGTCGTACAGTACCTTGTCGGATCTCAATATAGATATTCGTGGAAAAAATGGAGCAGTTGGGATAAGTTAGTGATGTGAAGAATAAAACACGGCTCTCACAAAGAACACAGAATATAACTACGCCCACAGTGTTGAAGAAACCCCGGTTTTGTCCATTCCACAAACGTTATTACACCATATTTTGCATAAAAACTTGGGTATTAAGGCTTATAATGTTCAGTTAAGACAAGAACAAGAACTCAAACAACGTTGCGACTTTACTGATTGGGTCCTTGAAATGCGAAACTGTCACCTCTGGAGCTGGAAAAATGCAAGATTCATTGTTGAAAACACTCTTCATCCTCAACGTGTAACTTTTTGGAGCGCTTTATGGTCCGTAGGCTGAAGCAACAGTTACGGTGGATGGATTGGGTTATCAACAAAACGACGTGAGATAATTAATGATTTCTAGTGGCGGGAATTGGATGGTACTGATCTGGACAATTTCTACTTTCAGCAAGACGCCGCTGCGTTCAATACAAGCAACGTTACTATCTAACTTTTAAGAGAAACGTTTTTAGACCGTGTTACCACACGATGAGGTGATCACAATTGGTCACCGAGGGGTGACGACTTATTTGTTTTCTATTGTTAAAAACAAGTCTTCCGATCATTTATGTCAAAAATATCATACTTCTGCGAATATAAAAATGGCACCTCTCATTGGAAAACCCTGTGTATTAAGTGATGAAAATAATGGGTCCAGATATTTGTGTTAAAAAATGCGTTCACTACTGAGATAAATCAGAAAGCCTTGTAGCTAATTATTTAACCATCTCTTGCGCCAAATATCTAAATATTCATTTAACCTAGAGAATATATATTTCCTATCTCATTGTGAGTTCTCTTAATTGAAAATGTGATATTAAATAATAACAAAATAACTCTCTCGTTCGTGACTTAACCCAGCACCCTTTTTAATATGGATCTCTAGTAATAATTAAAATTGGTGCTTTGTAACAGCTGAAGCGATTTTCACCCAAACACCGATTTGCCCCGTGTTGAGTATACAAATCTCTCCAATCAAAACGCTGCATTGTTGTGGCTTTTGAGCTGAGAGTTCTTTTTATTCAATAAGTATAATTTGATTTATATAAATGAGAAAAATTGTAAAAATACAGCTCAGCAATTTAAGCGAAGTGATTGGTTAAATTAAATATATATATTAGTTTGTTACTCGCTCTCCATCTCAGTCCACATCGAACGATTACCTGCCGCAGCTAGTCAACTGGTTGCTGGTCATTAAAGGGTTTCGTCAGAAAGGGGTTTCATTCTAACATTTGTATCAACTTTTCTTTAAGTATAGAATAATTTTGTGGTATGGAGACAATCAGGAGATTGTAAACAAATTTTTAAGCCTAATTGAAATAAAATAAATTTATTCATTAAGGACATCCTTATAGAATTATTCAACTAATTTTTTCTTGACATTTGAATCTTTTGCACTAATAATGCGTTAGTTCTGTGGGTCTACTCTTTAGGAACACAACTTCGAAACATCGTTTTCTAGTATTAAAATTTTTATAATGGAAAATGCTTAAATTATTTGCTATTATTATTAAGGCAATTCTTATAAATAAAATCAAGTCTTTGTTTTCGCACAAATTTTTCAAATGCTCGAAAATTTCAAACATAAGTACAAAAATTTAATAAGTTTTCTTACATTCAACCATTTTTAAATTGGAAATATAGATTCCATTTTTCGCTTTAGTTTGTATATGTTTTCTTAATAACATTTTCATTCATTTCAGCCAATGACCCGAAGCCATGTAAGTATGGAGATGGCGATTGTTTAGTAAAAGTCATAAACTTTTATTTGCATGAGAAGAAACAAGGTCAGTTTTTTCATACATACTTACCTATACACATATAATATTAAATATTTGTATCCTTCAATTCCTACAGGAGATCCATCGATAGGTCTCTTGAGTATTGATCCCTTAGACGCCGGCACATTCACTGTTAAACAAGGCGGTGATAGTCCGGTTAATCTTGAACTAACATTTACTAATAATAAACTCTTCGGTTTTGGTGATGCTTCGGCGTACAAAGCAAGGTGAGTAGAACCAAATGTAGAATAAATTTCAGAAACTCGATTCAAACAACGTTTTTTTCTTCCCTACGTGCTCAGAGGATTCGGCAAAGATTTAACCAAGAAACATGAATTACGTTTCAAAATACCCGCATCTACTTTGACCGGCGATTATAAAATCGAGGGACAAGTGCTGGTATTACCTATAAGCGGTTCGGGTAAAAACAATCTAACACTAAGTAAGTTTCGTTTGCACCTTAAAACTACGAGTATTCGAGTGATTAATAATAAATAATATTTTCAATTATCTATCCACCAGTTGACAACGATATGATACTTCAATGGGTGGGCGTGCCGGTAGAGAAGGATGGAGCTACCTATATGAAAACAGATAAAATGAGAGTCACTCTAAAGCCCAATAAATTTAAGTTTAATTTAGATAATTTGTTTAACGGTGACAAAGTTTTGAGTGATAATATGAATTTGTTCTTAAATGAAAATGCAAAAGAAATCTACCAAGAAATTGGTGGAACTTATTCAAAAGAATTGGCCAAAATAATGTCAAACATTATTGATAAAGTCTTCTCCAAAACACCTTATAATAAATTGTTTGTAGAATAAAATCAGGTTGAATAAAACTATACGCATACTTGGAAATCATTATGGTTTCATTATATTTCAATGTTTGAAAACGTAGGGGTAATGTTAGTCTAGTACGCTTTACATAAACATGCTGGTTCTTTATAGGGCCAGATGAACGTTCAGTTTAATTCGAAGTAAAGTAGACCACGTCTTAAGAGAACCATAATATCCAACTTTGACATTTGAACTGTTAGGCACCTGACTAAGACGAGTTGTTGTTAAGAACGGATGGAAGCAGAGGAGGTGTTCCAGCACCTCACTCAAGCCTTTCTCCCTATACTACATGTGGCACCCTTACTAATGTCCATCGTGCAGTTCTTTCCACTGTGATATTTTAATGAAGGTGTAAGAGACAAAATGTTTGAGCATTACATCTTACTGTTCCACGTGCAAATTCTACCACATGGTTCATTTCCGTTTACCAATCGAGCAGTGCCTTTTTACAAGTGACTTTCAGAACACATTTTGTACAAAATTTAGGAGAGTATTCTCAAGATCTAGCAGAGACATAATAATTACAAAAAACATATTTTTAAAGGTTGTATTCGACCTCTGTCGTTGAAGATCATATCGTTACCTATAGTAGTCTTTTAGCGTAAGAGCTTCTTCAACGTACCTTATTACAATATGAAGAGCGGTGTCTGCCCATCTTCCTTTACCACAGGCCGAAGTAATTAAACAAAACATGGAAACTCTTTTCGATATGAACGTCACAAGTCCCCCAAGCACCGGGAACGTAGATCAAACCAAAACAGTTTGTCTTGAGGAGGGTTAATTGTCACCTATAACATGATCATAACATGATTCTAGTGGTTGAAAATGTCTTAAGGATTTTAAGCTATTTTCTAAAGTAATAAAAAAAAATATCAGGTGTACAACTTTGATTCCTCCGTTTTTTTTCCAAAATTAAAAGCTTTATTGGGAAAAAGTGCTTATAGATATATTATCCAAAGTATTGTCCTTCGGTAGCGAAAACTTTCTCCCATCTTACCGGCAATTTTCGGATCCCGGCTCGAAAAAAGGAGTTCTGTTTTGACGCTATCCATGAAGCAATCCCTTGTTCCAATTCTTCGAAGGATTGAAAATATTGATCTGCCAGGCCGTGTGCCATCGAACGGAATAGGTGGAAGTCAGAAGGTGCGACATCTGGGTAATACGGGTGGTGGGGCAAGACTTCCCATTTCAGCGTTTCCAGGTACTTTTTGACCACTTTTCCGACGTAAGGCCGAGCATTGTCGTGTTGGAGGATGACTTTGTCATGCCGATCTCGATATTGAGGCCGCTTTTCTTTTAGCGCGCGACTAAGGCGCATCAGTTGCGTTCGGTAGCGATCTCCTGTGATGGTTTCACCCGGTTTTAAGAGCTCGTAGTAAATAGCACCGAGCTGATCCCACCAAATACAAATCATAACCAAATCAAAACGGCGGAAGCAAAGTTGTACACCTGATATATAGAATAATTTTTTCTTTGCAGCTCAAATTAAAATATGTACTCGAAATTAGTATTGAAAATTTCATTTATGGTAAAAAAAAGTAAATAAGTATCTTAAGGTACACTTGGGGATCTTAGCTTATGTTCACCAGCTTAAAAAGCACTGTTTAAAGCTTATGGTAGCTTTGAAAGCATTGCTCGTCCTTTACGGAAAAATGTTCGATCGGGAATCTTCGGAACCACTTAGAAATAGTCTTTAAACACGATGAAATCATTCCGTATGCAATTTGTCATTTACTGAGTATTTATATTGGCTGTAAATTACGCCGAAACCCGAAAAAAATCGCGTGGCGAATTCCTGTTTGCGCTGGTGTTAGCATTTCGTCTGATCTCTACTAAGTTTTCTTGTTCTAAAATTTGAAAGAAAGGCTAATAAAATAGTTTCAAAGGATTTGGTATTATAAGATTTAATAAAAACAAACTAACTGTCTCTAACTGACCGAACTTTTTTTAATCCCCCCGTATATAACCACCGAAGTGAGTGCTTATGCGTATGGATTTTTTTCCAACAAACTTATGGACCTACAATTTATAGTGAGTCGCCTCAGAAAGGCTGATGATTTTTTATAAGGAGCCTTCATTTCATGTCAGAAATACACTCAGAGGGGTTTGGCATTCCCGGCCTTCCCTATTCTGTGTAAATTTTCAATAATTTTTGGTTGTTGGTCAGACCACGATTCGAACCCTGACCTTCCGACTGGCAGTACGCAATGATAACCACTCGGTTATCGCTGCCGCGTTGTAGAATGGAGTACATATATTATATAGTTACATTACACATACTTAAATTGCATAAAGTTCTTATTAAATAACAATTTGTTTCTGTTCAATAATGATAGTTGAACTTTATAGCGGACAATTAAAATGCAGTGTGTCAATATTAATGCAGTCTAATTAAAAGATTAAGTTGTTTTAAAATATATATATATGTATGGAGTATCTGCACACTGGAATTCGTTAGAACTAGTTATTACATATCTTTTAACACTTCTAACATAAAATAGCACTCAATTGAATTGAGTTGAGTGAGATTAGTTTAAGGCATTGACTTAAATCAATTTGAGTTAGGTAGTGAAATGTATCCAGATAAGTCGTGAAGATAGAAAAACACTTTTTTTATAAACTGCAAATCCCCTAAAATAAAAGTAGGAACATACACACAGGGAAATATTCAGATATAATGTTATTGCCTTGGTAAGTTCTTACTGATCACTTGAAAAAGACAAATAAATCGATGTCTCTATAGTATTCTTATATATTCAAATTAATTTCCGTTTCAATAATGGCTGGATCGTTTTAACCAAATTTGATCTTGAATTGTGAGATTGATGTTCAGGGAAAGTTTAAATGGTAAGAAACTCTCGAGCCAGCTTTTTAACGTAAACACAGGTTTTTTTCGGTAAGGGAACTAGTTATCGACATATCCGAAAAAAAACAGATTTGAATTTTGACTTAGGTTAAGTTCAAGTGGCTGTATTCAAATCGTTTGATTTCTTTACAAATTTTTATAGATAATTTTTCTTCATATTCTCCGAGATATCGGAATCCAGCTCTTCGCAAATCGGGGCTTCTACAGCATCTTCTAAATGAAACTCACAGCATCGACGCCTGTCGTCTTATTAAGCAGTGACCTGTTAAGAATTCTACAACCCTAGAGATGCCTTTTCTTTGAGTATATTTCGCGTCACCTTTTTCGGTCCCATTGTATAGAAATTCTGCAACTAACAGTGCGGTTCTAAATAGCATTTTACATGTGGTCTCTTGACGACTTGACACCTCTTCCATCTCTTCTATATTGTCGATTGGGGTATCGAAGTTATTGCTTCGTTTTTCCTCTTTATACTCGTAGATATACGTTATATAAAAGTTGCTAGCAAAAGTTGAGAAATAGCGTGTGGTGCTTTGTAATTTTGCTGCGATTGTCGAGTATTCAAATCGTTGATTATTTCACTGATCTTGTTGCTCTAGGCCAAGAGTGGCTAGCGCTGAATTCTGAAAACCCAGTGAGTCTAATGATAAAATATCGAGGATCACATTTAAGATCTCATTTGGTGTGGTGGTGCTAATTAAAGCTGATCTTTGAACAAAAGCATATAAACTCATTGGTCTCACAAAACATGTAAAAATTCAGAAATTCAGTTTTAAAAACCTAATAATAGTAACAGGTAAATTGTCGATAATTTATGCTTCTAAGTGAATAGGACGAGATTAATCTTATTTAAGTTGGCGCCAAGTTCAAATATACATTTTTTATAAATAGCAGTCGATCAGTATTGGTAATTCACATCCCTGAAGCTAAAGTTGAGAAATAGGTGGAGTAAAGTAATTAACAGTCTACATATTTATAATGAACTAACTATCATTAGCTTAAGAATAATTGTTAGAATGCAATATCTTCTTCCAAGCGTAGCCAGGTGCCTCTCCAGCCTTACCAGCATAGCCACTGTCTGTTAGTTCGCAGCACAGAATGCAAAATCTTATTTGGAGTTATTTATGTGATAATTACCAGAGACCGTAATCTTTACAAGTCATTAAATATAAATCACAAGTTTAAGATTATTTATTGATATTTACATACATATATTGTTTAATAAGTAATAATTACTTTTTGTGTTTAATTTAAGCAATAATATAGTGAGAAAAAATAACGCGAGAAATAAAATACTATTGGGTTGCCCAAAAAGTAATTGCGGATTTTTCATATAGTCGGCGTTGACAAATTTTTTCAACGGCTTGTGACTCTGTAATCTGTCAGTTATCAGCTGTTCATTTTAGCTTGCTTTAGAAAAAAAGTGTGCGAAATTTTGTTTACATTTGTTTGTTAAGCGTCAATTTTAATATGGAGCCCACAAAGGAGCATTTTCGTCATATTTTACTTTATTATTTCCGTAAAGGAAAAAACGCGGAGCAGGTTGCTAAAAAGTTACGAGATGAGCGTTCGTTCACGTCGGCCAAATGAAGTTGATGATGACCAAAACAAAGCATTAATCGAATTGGATCGTCATGTAACTGAACGTGAGATAGGAGAGAAGTTAAATATACCAAAATCAACCGTTCATTATCACATAAAAAGTTGTGGACTGGTGAAAAAGCTTGATATTTGGGTACCACATGTAGTGAAAGAAATTCATTTAACACACGGAATCAACGTTTGTGATATGCACCTTAAACGGAATGAATTCGATCCGTTTTTAAAACGAATCATAACTGGAGATGAAAAATTGATCGTTTACAACAACGTTAGTCGAAAACCAGCTCAAACCACTTCAAAGGCTGATATCCACCAAAAGAAGGATATGCTGTCTGTTTGCTGGGATTGGAAGGGTGTCATATATTTTGAGCTGCTTCCAAGGAACCAAACGATTAATTCGGATGTTTACTGTCAACAATTGGACAAATTGAATACAGCTATCAAGGAGAAGCGACCAGAATTGGTCAATCGTAAAGGTGTCATATTCCACCAGGACAACGCTAGACCGCACACATCTTTGGTCACCCGCCAAAAACTGAGTGAGCTTGGCTGGGAACTGTTGATGCATCCACCATATAGGCCCTAGCTTTCTACTACTTTCCGTAATGTAATCGTTTGTAATGGAGTGTCTAAGCTCTTACTATTTACCCAACCTTTAATTATTGAAAATTATGAAAGTATGAAAATTTTGACGTATAGCAATAAACAAAATATTCGGTAAAGCCAGATACTTATAACGTCAGTGGTCTTGTCAAAATTCAATGCATATCTACAGCTATTTGTATGATCCATCTAAAATTAACAATGATATATTAAATGAATTCCCAAAACCCAAGCATTTACTATTAATCAATTTTACTGCACCTAGACAAGTTCAGCCATCCCAGTTTTATACCTTTCATATGCTAAATATCTGCTCAGTAGTGTAGTCGTTTTATAACTACTTTTTTATTCAAATTTTTAAACGATTTATAAATATAAATAATTTTCATCTATATTACAAAAAAAAAATTAACTTCTTAAGTATTATTAATATATGAATTTATGTTTTTAAGTACACACGCATAACTTACTAGATTAATTACCTTTACAGATCTAAATTTCTCTTATAAAAACCCAACATTTTCTTTAAAAAATTTCTAGTTTATAAGTAATTGTTAGTCGTGAAGGATTGAATTCGTTCGACGTGTTCGTGTTGAATAATTATTACCAAAATAAAAAAAAATCCACTAAAGGAAATTTCAAATACAGCATAAATCTCAAATTACAAAATGTACACTAAATTTTCACTAGTTGCAATACTTGTTTGCTTCTTTTTACAACTTAGCGGTGCAGATTTTCGTAAGTTATTCCCAGCAAAATTCCGAAAAAAAACATATTTATATATAGCAAGTGATGATGTCAATTATATGATTTTAAAATTTAAATGAAATAAATCAGAAAGCTTGTAACTAATCATTTAACCATCTTCTGAGCCAAACGCCTAAATAATTAATTAATTATTAAATTAAGTCTATGGTTACTGTAACCTCACAGACCAGAAAGTACAAATTTACTTACAGACTAAAAACAGAGGGAAACTAAGAATAGTAAAAATCTAATTTACAAAGAAAACCATTTCTTGACATGGCGAAATCTAGATCAAGAGTTCTATAGATCACATTCAACTCAGTCAATGCACAAGTAATTGGTGCAATATTGTCATAATTTGATTTAGCTATATTGACATTGAAAGGATAGTTAGACCACACGTTTATTCGCGGGACATTCAAGTTAATCTGTTCAAGAAGTTCTGGACAATCAATACAACAAGAGATCAAAAATAAACATTATAGACTATAAAGTGCGTCACGACTAAGAGACGTCATTGATATAAGCCTGCACCAATCACTCTAAGGTTGTATAAAGCGTAGGCTAAATAAAATGGTTGAAAAGCAAAACGGATAGAATTTCTTTCCACTCTTCTGGTATGTGTTCGGTATACTGAATTATAAGCATCGATTTCAGCACGAATGTTTGCCTTGAGCTCATAAATAATTTGAGGCTGGTTATCGTAAACCTTGCGTTTCAGATAACCCCACAAAAGAAGTCCGGAGGGTGGGGTTAAATCAGGTGATCTTTCAGATGGTGCCTTTGCATGTTGAGTTAACATAATGAAACTACTGTTTTCGCTTTAAAGTGTCACTATTTCAGCGCGTTGTTTCGGTGTGTAGTGATTCTTGGCAAAAATTATACTGAATTGACATTTCCAAAACATATCTGATGCAATACCTCGGTTTGTAAATGTGAAAGTTATTCAGCGTTCACATACCGACATAAAAGATGAAGCACCCTGTATAAAAATTTCTAAATTCTTTAGCATTATGTCGTAGAAATGCTAAGCTCAGGCTTAACTTATATGGTTAACAAAAGAAAATCCACAATAAAAAGTGATTCCAAGAACATATAATTCTTTAACGTGGGAAAGATGCATAATCTTTAAGACTTTATTTAATTTTGAATTGTATTAATTTAAAATTTGATAAACAATATCAAATTCATTATCTTCTTTTTAATATGGATCTCAATTAAGTCGAAGTTAAAATGCTTATAAATGTCGTCAATGTACAAAAAAATAAGCAGGATTGTTCAGCGTTGAGTATGGGGAGTTCTCTATCAAGGAGTTGTATGTTCTTCCATTTGAGCTAAGAGTTATTTCAGCTCAAGAAAGATATTGTCATTTGTGTATTGTATATAAATGAGAAAAATTATAAATATATAACTCGGTAATTAAAGCGACAACTCGAAATTTGTAAAACGCAAATATCGATAGAAAAGAAAGTTATTGGTTAAATGTTTAACATTAGTTTCTTACTCTCTCTCCATCTCTGCCCCCTTCGAGAAATTGCGTTAGTCTGTGGGTCTACCCATTAGGAACTCAACTTTGAAACAACGTTTTCTAGTATTGAAATTTTTATAAAGGAAAGTGCTTAAATTATTTGCTATTATTATTAAGGCAATTCTTATAAATAAAATTAAGTCTTTGTTTTCGCACAAATTATTTAAATGCTCGAAAATTTCAAACATAAGTACAAAAATTTAATAAGTTTTCTTACATTCAACCATTTTTAAATTGGAAATATAGATCCCATTTTTCGCTTTAGTTTGTATATATTTTCTTAATAAAATTTTCATTCATTTCAGCCAATGACCCGAAGCCATGTAAGTATGGAGATGGCGATTGTTTAGTAAAAGTCATAAACTTTTATTTGCATGAGAAGAAACAAGGTCAGTTTTTTCATACATACTTACCTATACACATATAATATTAAATATTTGTATCCTTCAATTCCTACAGGAGATCCATCGATAGGTCTCTTGAGTATTGATCCCTTAGACGCCGGCACATTCACTGTTAAACAAGGCGGTGATAGTCCGGTTAATCTTGAACTAACATTTACTAATAATAAACTCTTCGGTTTTGGTGATGCTTCGGCGTACAAAGCAAGGTGAGTAGAACCAAATGTAGAATAAATTTCAGAAACTCGATTCAAACAACGTTTTTTTCTTCCCTACGTGCTCAGAGGATTCGGCAAAGATTTAACCAAGAAACATGAATTACGTTTCAAAATACCCGCATCTACTTTGACCGGCGATTATAAAATCGAGGGACAAGTGCTGGTATTACCTATAAGCGGTTCGGGTAAAAACAATCTAACACTAAGTAAGTTTCGTTTGCACCTTAAAACTACGAGTATTCGAGTGATTAATAATAAATAATATTTTCAATTATCTATCCACCAGTTGACAACGATATGATACTTCAATGGGTGGGCGTGCCGGTAGAGAAGGATGGAGCTACCTATATGAAAACAGATAAAATGAGAGTCACTCTAAAGCCCAATAAATTTAAGTTTAATTTAGATAATTTGTTTAACGGTGACAAAGTTTTGAGTGATAATATGAATTTGTTCTTAAATGAAAATGCAAAAGAAATCTACCAAGAAATTGGTGGAACTTATTCAAAAGAATTGGCCAAAATAATGTCAAACATTATTGATAAAGTCTTCTCCAAAACACCTTATAATAAATTGTTTGTAGAATAAAATCAGGTTGAATAAAACTATACGCATACTTGGAAATCATTATGGTTTCATTATGTTTCAATGATTGAAAACGTAGGGGTAATGTTAGTCTAGTACGCCTTACATAAACATGCAGTCATTAAGCCAGCAACTGTCTTACAGTCCTCCCAAGACTGCTTTAGAAATGCTGATGTCAGGAGAATAATGATGCCTGTAGATGAGTAAACTACATCAAGAATTAACCCGCGGTAAGGCATGCCTGTCGTAAGAGGCGACTAAAATCCAATAGTTCCCGCGACAGTCGGGTCTTTATACCGGAACGACCCGGATTTTTATCCGGCCAAGGACTGTCACTCCCGCAACATTCCCCAAAAAGTACAACAACAACAACAACAACAACAGTGGCAGAGGTAATATTTCACCTGCTCCATGTCATCCATTTCCATGCAACTGCGGCAAAAATCATTTAACCGGTTATTATGCCTTTTATTGCGCTTATGTTTGATGATAAAAAGTTACTACTGGTATTCAATAGAAAGACATTTTGAAATAAATTTAATAAACGTATCCCTTTCTTGATTAACACAGAAAATATTACGTTTCGGAAAGGGATCACTGATAAACCAAGAGAGGCTTTCTTCTAGATATTCATATTTACATTTTTCTGGAAGACTTAGACGTTAAAAAGCGTCTAATCTCTGACTACATCTGGTATGCGCCACCTTGAGTAGGTAAGACATTACTCAGCCGTTGGAAGATAAAAAGGTCAAACTTTGAATGTACTTATGTTGTACATACATACATACATACATATGTGAATCAATAATGTTAAGGGAAATTTTATATTTAGCCTTAGTTGAAGCTTTTCGTTATTATTTACCTATCACCTTCTTTATAATACCAATTATCAAATATAATCTGAATAAAATACGTAAAGTCACAACTAGTGGCTGGAGTCTTCAAGTAGTTTTATATAAAGTATAATTTTTGCAGTTATACCTACTACAAACAAATTTTTCTTATTAGGTTAACAAGAGAAGAAATTCTGGAAGATTCTTTTAGATTTTTTTTTTTTTTTTGATTTTAGATTTTGTTATGATCAACAAGTTAGCTTTATCAAAGCGATAAGAGCTCGCCATTATATTTTAAAACCGAGTGGCCGTCGCGGCTGCTTCGAATTAGTTCCCAGTTTTCAACCACTTTTTTCACCAATTGGAGCTATAAGTCGGCAATAACGCGCCGAATATTTTCTCCCAAGACGTCAATCGTCTCGGTCTTTTCTGCGTAAACAAAGGATTTCACATAACCCCTCAAAAAATATTCCAGCGGTGTTAAATCGCAAAACCTTAACAAAAGTTTTCTTCAATAAATTTATTGTTTCTTTGCCTGTATGGTATGTAGCGCCGGCACGTGAGAAAAAAAAGTCGTCCAAAAAATATGGGCTATGATTCCCTCTGCCTATAGAGCCAATAGCGTCTCACCAAGGCTTGTGGATTATCATCACTCCAAACGCAACGATTTTGTTTATAAAAATACAAATTCAACCAAATGTGAGCTTCGTAGCTGAAAAAAATTATCTGTGTAAATCTAGATCGGTGGGCATCTCGTTTTGGACCCACTTACCGCATCACGAGGTGGATTTCCTAAAGATCCTTCCGCAAAATCTCCCATAAAGTCGATGGGCAAAGCTCCAATTGTTGCGCCCGATGGCGGATGGACTCTTTGGGATCTTCTTCGATAATCGGCACTACAGCAGCAATAGCGTTTTCGGTGCGCACTATCGGCGTCTCTGAGAATATGGTTTTTCCTCTTGATGTTGTTCCAGTTGACCTACAGTTTATACTAAGCTTTAGATTTACCAGTCAGAAATACACTCGGAGGGGCGACCGCAATTTTAGAAAACTTTTGGATGTTGGTCGTACCAGGATTTGAAACCGAGCCTTCTGAATGGCAATACCCAAATCCCTCTCCTACCGCGGCAGAGGATGTGCATTACGGACCGAATATTGAAGGCAACTCTCCATGAATCGCGCTAACCAAACCATTTTTTTTTTAATCTGTTCATTATGAAATGGCAATGTCAAAGTTAATTATTGAAATATCACAACATGAATTTCGGAAGGTAAATCACCTTATCAAACCTATTAGAACTCATCACCAATATCAGTAACGGTTTCAAAAATGGTTGTCTCATGTTACACGGGCTTCAGCAATACACTGGAAAAAGGTATCACATTCTTACTTATTTCACTTTAAACTCTATTATTTCGGGTTTCAACCTCTCTTTCTCAAATGGATTTTATCGTACTTGTCTGGCAGAAAGCAAAGAATAATTTTTAAATATTATACATCACTTGAAGTATCAGTAACATCTGGTTTTCTTAAACGCAGTCTCTTTTAAATTACTTCGTTCTATTGAAGATAGAGAACTTTTGCAACTTGAACTGAATAATTTAGTTAAGTGGTGGCATGGGAACTGTACATCCCTTACGTATTTCTCCAAAAAATCTTTCCAAACCTTTGCCTATATAATATATATACTGACTTCATCGATTCAGGTGTTACAATAGACCTTTAACTACATTTTAGAAGCCATAAAAATTCGTGTTATAATACGACTAAAAAACGTCTTAGCTTTCATTAAAGGTTTGGCTAAGGAGAACATTGAACTATAGCTCAATGTAATTACTTTTTACCAGTATGGCTCAGTTGTGTGGAGACCACACTATGAATTAGAATCTCCCTCAGAACAAAGGTAAGTCGTAGAAAAATGATTGGGGTGATATTATATTTTAACTAAATTGATAAGAAGTGTTATGATAACCCATTCTACTTTACCCTTTAAGATCATCTAGGACTTTATGCCCCTTTCATTATGTTCTTGCAAAACAAACTTCGAAATGTGTGAGCCCTTTAGATGTTGGTACACGGTGATGAACAAATCTGTAATTGTTTAATATAAGAGTTTCGAACCGTCACCTGGTTCAGTAGTTGAATTCTTCTGTAATCTTTCAAAAAAAAAACTGCTCTGAAGTGTAGCCTCATTGAAAACCACACGTTTAGAACCGATAGACAAATCACCTACAAAGCGACTATTGTTTACAAATGTACAATAGTAAAAAGCAGTAGTATTCGTTTTATAATTTGTTTATTAAAAATAAAATGGCGGATTATAATTACAATTACATATGTATAACTATATTTAGCTTTGCAAACATGTCTGTTGGCAGTTTACGAAAAATCATTTTAGTATTTATAAACACTTCTCTCTTTGTTCGAAATGTATGTATATTACAATAGCAATTTGTTCGTATAAACGTACTTACGAGTTTATTGAAAAACAAAGTAATAGTGATTGATAGAATTAGTATAGTAAGAAAGATTCATATTTTCTTATGCACTATTAAATTGTAGGTTACACACACGCAGATTAATTATCGTATATTTTGCTTATAAAAGCGTAGCAATTTTCCATTAAATTTCCTAGTTTGATTTTAATCGTTCATACGAGTGCGTGTCAATATTGTGGCGAATAAAACTGGTTTTGCAAGTGTTAAACAATTATCCAAAAGGATAAAAAAATTCGTATAATTTCCAAAATTAACATAAATCCTTCAACATAAAATGTTTACTATGTACGGAGTTGTTGCAATATTTGTTTGCTCCTTTTTACAATATAGCGGTGCAGATTTTCGTAAGTTTTCGTCGGTAATATTTACAAACAAACATATGTGAAGTGATGAAGGAAATGCTTATAAATATATTATTTTTTTATAAATTCATATTGAAAAAAAATTAATTATATAATTCAGTGAAAAATCGTATATCAAGGTTTTACAATATGTTACAAGTTGCAGCTAATCATAGTTGCTAACCCTCCGTCATCATCCTTCGTCATTAGGTTACTCGCGACCATATTTACGACCTTATTTTATTTTCAGGAGATCTGTGAAATATTGATTTTAAATTTTTTATTAGCAACATTCGCATTCATTTATTTAACCTGCCACGACATTGGCAGCCTCTTAATAAATAATCAAATCTTAACATCTAAATTCAAATTAAATATGAGAAGACCAATAAGCTAAGAGTGGGCTTCTGGGTCAGTCTTGCTCTTTACCATGGTAGTAAATCCCTCATCTTCAGGCGTGTTGGGCTTGTTGCAGAGAGCAAGGTTTTAGCCCAGAGATTCGGATGGTTGTGTAGTTTTGCAACGTATTTCTGTACAACGATTTCAATGTCTTCTTTGATGGGTCTCTATGAATATTATCATTACGCATGTACCATGGTATGTCCGTTATTATATAGGTTTTATAGACGCGTTGTAAAGTAGTACTTTGTTTTCCAGGCTGAGTCCAGATTTCTAACTTAAACGTCAATGCAATGTTAGGTGTTTGCGCTTTTTTTCATTAACATTTATGCGTCCTTTTGCTAGCCGTTCTAACACTTTTGCAGCTGTAATTGGGTATTTGTGTCGACTTGATATAGCCGTGTCACCCGCCAAGGTTGACGTTATTACTTTTTCACTTGTACGAATACCTGCGGTAAACAGTATGTACAATAATGACCCAAGAGCATCTGTTGTGATTTGATAATCTTCTGATATGTAATTATTTATTTTTACAGTAGCACACCTGTTAGATAAGTAGGATTCAAGGATAATATGGAATATGTTAGGTAATTATTATTTAATTCCATGACAGACCATCATTCCACACCCTGTCAAATGCTTGAGCCACATTAAGGAAAAAGCCGAGCAGTACTCTCAAAATTCCAAAACTTTCCTTTTCAAAAATTTTGAAAAGGCAAGGCCTATATGATGACTGCTGGATTGTTTCTTTACCATAATTATCTGTAACTCTTTCCATATTTGTGTATAATATGCCAGCTTTAATAAGGCCCTGAAAGGCTTTGCAAGAAAAACGAGAGCAATGCTTGAAAGTTCTTTTAACATTTTTGGTGTGATGTGATCGTATTCCGGAGATTCTTTCCATGTAAGGTGGTAATAATATTTTTTTAAGTGTCAGTGTATCTGAGAACATTATGGTTTAGTAAAATAGCTACATTTACTGTACCAGTATTTGGTTGTAATATTGTGCTGAGGTGCGCTCTGCAAAATAAGTCGTGTTCCTTTTTCCATGCTGTTCCATGAACCGTTACGCAGTCTCAACGGTAATTCGATATTTACTGGCAGCTTAAGGTTCTTGCTATCTTTCGAAAACGATTTTTAGTACAAACGGTGGTAAACAAGGGCAATATAATAATTTTTATATATTTTTTTTTGTCCTCTTCGTACCACAATACAAGTAACTCGTTGCCATATATCGGTTTTTCTCTCTTTTTCGAGATTGGTCTTTATTTGACCTCTTATACATACATATATTGTATTTTTTACATTTAATGTTTATTTACTTTAATTTCTACACCTTCCCTTTTAAAGTGACCTCTTATTAAGGACCCCAAATAATAAGGATGACACTCCAGTTTTATACATGCAGATCTTATTGATCAGTGCACCACTCAAGTATTTATTTCTTTATATCAGCGTGATTGTTGTGAATGTTGTCATAGCTCGGAAAGAATATAGCAAACCTTCGCTTACATCAAAGAAGGCGGGAAAAGAGTAAACAAAGAAAATATATCCATTTGAAAAATTTATATAAATTATAGTTAAGAAATCTAGAATTTAAAGCCATTTGTCTGGCCAGCAACCAAAAATTATAGAAAATTGATTTAAATAAAAAATTAACTGCTTCGCTATATTTATTTTTCAATTTTCTATTTTTTCTTTAATAATTCAATGAGTTTTACGTTTTGCATTTATTCTTAAAGAAAAAATCTTCTTTTTTTTCTATATGTCCGAGCTGCTCGCAAACGTCCGAATAAAATCTTGAAATCTAGTAGAAAGTAGTATTTTCTTTGCTCACTTTCTACTAACAGCATTTATCATAATACATACATACATTAAAGTATCAGATTTATTGATATACTAAAAATTTTTTATCAAATAAAATCAAGAATATTTGTTTTCTTATCAAAAGCTTGCAAATACCAGCAGTTAGCAAACCGTTTTAAGCTAGATATATACATATATACATATACATATGTTTGTAGAATTGTGTGCTCAATGCCTTTCAACTAATTTCAGCCGATGATCCGAAGCCATGTAAGTTTGGAGATGAAGATTGTTTACTAAAAGCGATCAATTTTTATTTACATGAAAAGAATCAAGGTTTGTTTTTCATACATACATACATATATACATATAATAAAACAATTGTGTAAATTAATTTCCGCAGGAGATGCATCGATAAATCTCCTAAAAATTGATCCCATAGATGCTGGCACATTTACACTCAAACAGGGTGCTGATAATCCGGTTAATATTGATTTAACATTCTCTAATAATAAAATTACTGGTGTTGGCGATGCTTCGGCGTATAAAGTTAGGTGAGTTAAACTTAAAAAAAATACAATTCAGGCATTTTATTTTCAATTTCAACATACAGAGGTTTTGGCAAGGATTTAACCAAGAAACATGAATTACGTTTCAAAATACCCGCATCTACTTTGACCGGCGATTATAAAATCGAGGGACAAGTGCTGGTATTACCTATAAGCGGTTCGGGTAAAAACAACATCACAATGGGTAAATTTCACTCAAAGTAACTATTAGCATGTTTAGCACAATAAATAATATTTTCTATAATCTACCTTTCAGTTGACGCCGATTTCGTACTTCAATGGGTTGGTGTGCCGTTGGAGAAGGATGGTGCTACCTATATGAAAACCGATAAATTCAGAGTCATGATAAAGCCCAGTAAAGTGCTTTTCAATTTTGAAAATTTATTCAATGGCGACAAAGCATTGGGTGATAATATGAATTTGTTCTTAAATGAAAATTGGAAGGAAATCTTTCAAGAAGTCGATGTATCATTCTCAAAAGAAATGGGCAAATTAATGTCGGGCATTATTGATGGAGTTTTCTCTAAAATACCATATGATAAATTGTTTGTACAATAAATGTAAGTTCAATAAAATCACTCGTATTATTGCGAAATGTATAACGGCAGTGTTGAGTTTTGATATTTGGAAAAGTTCTTGAGAAGCCAAGATGATACAGAGAATCTTTAGTCTACGAGTACAAACGTTTTAACTGTAGATTGGTGAATAAAAAACATCAGTATCTGGACGCACAAAAGATATATTGGATAATGTTAAACATGCTTGTCTTCTTCGTTGTTTCTGTCTTTCTTATTAACTTTGCTTGTATAAATAGAAATTCGAAAACGAAAGTAAACTAATGTATTTGCTGTAAACAAAAACTTTATAGATATTTGGTAAGCTCCAACTCTAAATTCGACCACAATGTTGTTTTTTCTAGAAATGTCCCAACAGTCAACTTCGCAAGCTATTTGGATTCGCTCTTTTCAACAACTTCGTTTAGCTGCATAATCGTTCTCTTAAAACTCTCAATAGGACTATACGATATGTAAATGAATTGACACATGACCTCACGAGCCGCAGTGGTGCACTCTTCGTCAGTGTTGCCATCTTAGCTTTTTTAGCAGGAAAAATAGTTATTGAGCTGTTTTTGGCTTGGTTCGGATTTTGGGTAATTCAAATTTGTTTCTGAAAGATTCCACACAAAGTCGTACGAACCCTTCATGAAGTTTACGATAGAATAATTTAAAGCTACTTAATCAAAATAATTTTAACAATGCACTGAAATTATTAAAATTCACTATACGAGTAAATGTGGTGAAAACCTGGCAGAGACGGTTCGTGACATTGAAACATTTTTCGTTCGCCGTCGAGCACCATGTCTTAAAGCAATTCAAAAAATGATGAAAAATGGCGCTGTTGGGACAAGTTAATTATATGAGGAATAAAACACGAAGAACTGAAATATTTCTGCTATGGCCCAGGTTTCTTTGGAATTCCGCAATCGTCATTATACCGTATTTTGTATAAATCCTTGGGTCTTAAGGCTTTAACGTTCAAATAGCAGAAGAACTCGAGCTGGCCGAACATCAACAACGTCGTGTCCTTACTGATTTGATCCAGTTCGATAGCTACGGCCAAATAGGCAAAACTGTTGAGTCTGGGGCTCGGAAAACTTAAGTTTTATTGTTCTTCAACGTGTAACTATTTGCTGCGGCTTTTAGTCCGGCGGGGTCATTGGACCTTAATTCGCTGTCGTGAGATAATTATTGATTTTTTATGGCCGGAATTGGATAGTGTTAATCTGGACAACGTCTACTTTCACCAAAACGACGTTGCATTCCACACAAGCAATGAAACCATCGATCTTTTAAAGGTCAACGGTCCGGAAACGGTTTCTCGAAGAGGCGATCGCAATTGGCCACCGACATTTTGTGATTTTAACGCCCTGCGACTTTATCCTTTGGGGCGACGTGAAGGATAGGGTCAACACCAAATGGCCTGTAAAATTTGTTACCAGCGATATAGGAGCTAACAAAAAATCTACTGTTTGGTTTTGTGTTGTTAGTTTGAGAAAAAATAAAAACCAAAATGGGTGGGCATATTTTAGGCCTGGAACTCATTGAAGATGAAGAAAAAAGTGTAAAAAGGCGTATGCTAAGAAGTTGCTAGAAAAAAATTATCTTTTTAATTTGAAAGCGTTTTCATTCAGCTTTTTTTTGTGTTGTTCAGGCATATTTTCTAAAATTACGTTCAAATATTTATGAATTAATAAACAAATAAATAAAACTTATTTATTTTGTTGTGCACCGTTTTCAAACATTGTAACCAGTTCGCCAGAATACCAGATTCAATTTCGGGTGTTAAAAAAAAGTAACAAAATTTACTTTACCGGTAACAGGGAGAATAAATACGTTAAAATCAGTTTTCACTTAAAAAGACAACGTTTAAGATTTTTTTTATTTTTATTAGAATGAATACTCCAAAAGTGTTGGTGTCCAAGCGCCTATTTTCGTTATTTAACAACTTTCTTCGCACTAAATTCGCAAATTCAACTGCTGCTGTAATTAGTAAGCATAACCATTTATTTTAAAAAATAAATACATTTTAAATGTCTTAGCTCTGTCATTCCATAGACGCTTCTAATTAGAAACCGTTTAAAAATCTTTCGGCCAATAAGTCAAATCATAGCTTCTAACAGTATCATGTTCTAGGCTTTTAGTACATGATCAAAAACGTTAGTCACTGCTGACATTAGTCACCTCTCAGATGATTATAACTTGTTCACCGTCAAAATATAACTGTTAACGATTAATAGTAGCAATATAAAAAGTATACGTAAATAACAGCTGTTCGTAAATCTGAAAAAAAAAAAATTACTTTGTTAATGTACAATATAAACGAGTAATTAGACAAGTTAAAATGTATGTATGTATGTGTTTAAGAGTGTAAACATTATGACAACCGACTGATTAGTAGATTTTTACTGGATTTTTATTTTTTTTTATTTATTTAGAAACAAGTTTAAACAGCAAAACAAGATATCAAGTTCAGGTTCATTGTAATTGCACTAAATCAAATGTATATTTATTTCGCATAATTTATTTATTTTGTTCAAGTTTAAATTAATAATATTTACAAACGTCTAATAATGGAAATTTTGCGAAAAAAAAACCAACTCTTCAAAAAAAATTGATCTTAAACAAAAATAATTCATAAATAGTTCGAGTAGAAGTTACATACATCTTATATGTATACATGTACTCCGAGGTATGTTGGAAAGTGATAATTGATAATTAATGTGCAGATGCTGATATATGTATGTATGCGATTAATTGCGTATGTAACCGCATTTCTAGAACCGAGCCATTATCTTGATATACAAAATATATATTTGGCACTTTGTAACTCCGGTCGAGCTCCTCCTACAATGTGTAGGGTACATTTTTTTTTTTTTTAGCACAACCGGCATGGCGTTTCCCGCCCAGGGGCGACCGCAATTAGAAAAATTAATTTTCTATAATTTTGAATGTTCCACCAATACTATGACTCGAAGCCGAAATATTCGAATGGACGATTTTATTAGGATGTATAATAGACAGTTCATGAAAAATAGAATAAAGTCATGGTTGCTCGACTCTGATAGCTTAAATCGTGTGTTTGGCATATTCAATCTTGAAGGAAAAATAATAGATTTACTTTCAAATAGAAATACTGCGAAACAAAGTATGTTTATAAATGATAAGTATTATATATATATAGTATGTAAGTACCCCATTGACGGGTCTAGAAATAAGTATGATGAGGAAACCTAGCTAGCTCTGGAAAGATAAAGGTTAATACTTTTTTTCGACGCACAGCTTAGCCGGTTAGTTTCTAAAGTGTTGAATAATTTTTTTTGGAAACCATCATTCAACGCGTTTGCATGGCTTCAATATTAAACTATAATTGTACTTTTATCTTAAAATATATATATAGTGGAAGAGCAGTCAGTGTAGTGGTGTAGTGATTTATGCATGACGGTCATCCTAAGCCAACTGTTGGTATACGAGCATGTCGATACCTTTCACACTGTCCTTTTCCTTGAATTGATGCTTAATAAATTTCTGATCTATGGTGGTACTGAAACCACAGTGTTCGTTGTAGGTAGGCTTCAACTTTTCTCTGCTAGGAAAGAACTTAAATTGGTTATTAAGGAGGCTCATCGCATGACAATTGGCGCTGACCGTGGGGATTAGGCAGAACGCACTTCAGTTTTACTTAGACGATTTTTGTTAATTAATTGAATTTATTAGTTCATTTTTCTATCACTTAAATGTACAGATTAATACATTATATGTTTATACATGCATTTGTTGTATATTAAGTATAAATAGCTAAAACAGAATTCCAAACATGGAGGAACCACCGCCACATAGCAATCCGAAAAATGTTCCAATAATGTCTTCCGAATGTTTTAAACTAATCTCTATGTACTTTACTTCGTGAGACCTCCAGACCATTTTTTAAAAGCCCTACGAAATCGAAAAAACACCGTTTTTTACAATCCCTCAGACTGTTTAAGAAACGCTAAGCATATCTTTTTCGTATAATGTAAATTGTCGATCCCAAGTCAGTTATATTTATTTTATGTGCATACTCGTATTAGTTCCACTCTGGTTCAGAAAAAGAGAAAAAAAATATAATAACACACTCTTGTCATTAAATCGTAAATTTTATCAAATCAAAAAAAACTCTTGTATCGTTGTTCCAAGCTTATTTTCCTTCTGCCGTGAAAATTTTAGGTTATGTACCCATCGAATTGCTATTCTTGACGTATCGTTTTTTACAGGACAGTCTTTGTATTTTGTTCGATAAAGGTAGTAGTCTAGTAATTTGGTTTTGGAAAATCTAAACTGTAAAAAGTTTTAGCACCTTTATATATATAAGAGCTTCGCTTAGTACTACACGCTGAGCCGAAACCACATTCTCACATTCGACCCGGAAGATAAAAAGAGTTCTATCCACTGTGAAATTTTATCATTTTATTCTACTCATCAATAGCTTTACAGAAACCAGAATCTTTTTCTTTAACGCTAACCTTCCACTTAACGGTACGATTTCTACTTAGAAAATGTCACTTTTTTCGGAGTCAACCATTTTATTGTTTAATCTAAGTTTCAGCCAGAATGACAAACTCACGGAACAAATTTTTTTTTCCAGATGCCCACAAGCAACTAATTTTTTGAGAAGCTTACTTCACTACTACGATACAACATGTTTCAAAAAAAGACAAAAAAAAATCTTTGTACTGAGAGGCTTAATAATATTTATATTTTAAAGTGAAACTGATTGAGTTTAATTTTTTCCAAATAACACATTCCTAAAAAATAAGTGTAAAAGAGTGCAAGTTACCACCTACCTACCTACCCACTACTTAACAATTACAATTTTGTGGCTAAGCTAGTCCGCGTACGAGGGGTGCTACATAATTTTTATATATTAAACTCATACTAGAAATTGCGCTTTGCTGCTCTTTTTGTTGCCCTTTTGTGAGTTGTTACTAATAAAAGTCCAACCGTATTCTGTAGAAAAAAAAATTCCACTTTCCATGGTTCCCTTTCCCAGGATTATGAACCTGATTAAATGTTCGCCGTTTTCATCACTTACAGAAAGAGAAACATAATTATTAGTTTGTTGGTTTCTCAGGAACTAAAAATCATTCCGAGCATTTTTTCGAAGTCCTACAATATATATCGATTCATAGGCCTTCCTAAATAATTGTGATAGTTATTAACGTCTGTACTTTTCCTTCTTAGAGATACCCAACATAAAGTATGAAAGCATCTAATAACGTGATTCGTAGACTCTCTTCGGAGCATTGACTGGAAGCAAAAGATTCTAAATCTAAACTAGATCCCTTATTTTACCAGCGAAATAAATCAAATGTTCCGCTATTATCAATGAAACATTATTCATAAGTCATTTTATCGCAAATAAATAACCCGGCAGGCCAACACACTTTCGACACATCTGACACGAACTGGCTTGAGAGTTTACGGGATATAACAATACCTGTCTGCTTGTATGGAATATACGACCATAGCTCGTTGTAAAAACTAAATAAAATATCTGGAATGAAACAATTTTATTATTTTTGCATAATTTCAACATTTTGGTTGTAATCCTCGTAAGTATGAAACTGGTTTCTTGCAGTTTTTGCGTAAACAGGTTTATATTTCTCCTAAATATTTTTCACAAAAATATTTTTTTTATTATTTAACTTTTACTCATATACAGAATATAAGCTTTGTTTGAGATCAAAGTTTCTAGCCTACATTTATTTAATTATTGTTTAAGTATCAGCGCACTTAGTGAAGCTATTAACATGATAATTATATCTATTATTTTTACTTTTAATTATTTTAAAAACCCCTATACCTACTTCAATATATTTTGTTATGGTGGTTGTTGTTACTATCAAGTTTCATGTTTCGAACTTGATTTCTTATTGAAGAGTAATTTTTATTTGAAAGTCGTAGATATAAAGAAGGATATTGATAATCCATTTCAGCTAAGTAATGAAAAAAGTAAAGGGCCATAAGAACATCCAAGCAATGAAATTGATAATGTACTATCCTTTATACCTTCCATGTAAAATCATCGTTTAGATGAAGGGGAAATAAATTGTGAATAAAATAAGGCGCTGTTCTGAAATCCGATCGGAATCGATTTCGCATCAATTCGGTTTTATGTTTGTGTTAAATTTCCTCACATTTTTTATATTTTCCAATAAATCGTAATACAAAACAGCAAATTAATCGAATAATCCAATGAGATTTCAGAACATGACTATGCAGATACAATTGCTATTCCGATCGAAATCGGATTTCAGAACAGCCCTGAGATTTCAAGATGTGTCAGTGGAAAAGAATGAAAAATCTTGTTAACAAGGCAAATATTAATTATTTATAATTTATGTTATGGATGTTGGTCACATCACGACTCGAACCCAGGCCTTCCGAATGTTAATATGCAATACTAACCACACGGTTATCACGGCGGATATTAGTCTTTATTGGATGATAAATTCTCATGGGTTATTGATGGTTTCTAATATAATTTCCCTTACAGTCACTCACTTGTATGTATAATATATATGTATGTTTAATACAGATATATAATATGTAGTTTAGTTATTTTCAAAATAAATAATCTCAGTTTAAACCCTTTAGTAGTATCTCAATAAACGTTTACACTCAGTTGCAGTGTGGGGAAAATTATATAAATTACAAAATTACAGTCACCTTAATTACCTTTAATTTTTAAAATATGATTTCATTAAAGTGTAATAGGAATGTCATTTTATTAAATTAATTAAGCATATAAACTACAAATTAACTGTTGTTGATTGTAGCACTTGCTAGCGTATGTACACACATACATGCAGACTAACCTATAAACTTAATAGCAAAAATAGTCGGGATAATTGTGTACAATTATAAAGGATTCGCGTTAATTGCGCCGTACGTAGTATTTTATATTAATTAAGCACGTGTGTATTGTTATGTGGAAACTTGGAAATATTCTCTTACATACATACACACACATACGTACACACATATTTCAAATACCAAAAAACATGTCTACAACTCGAAATCTTAGACATTACACATAATAAACACATATAAAAACTTAAACTGTTTATTCATACAAACAAATACCGAAGTGAACAGAAGTCAACAGAAGCAGGCTAGGCGCTTTAATTTAGTTAACAACTTAATGAACATTGTTAAAAATATTTATTTTTATTTGTATGACAATCTTATACATATTTATATATGTATATTGCTCAACATTGTACTAATTCATTCATGGGGCGTTGTGTTCTTGTAGAACTAATTGAGGAACTAAACAGATATAAAGCCGCGCTACGCCTTGGACTGTTTAGTCAGTGAATTTAACGAAAACTGTGTTAGTGTATTCATTAAATTTGCCTCCCGTGCTCGTTTGTAATTTCAAATTTCTGAAAATGTTTGAGATAAATAAAATTATTTTAACTTTATTATCGCTATTAGCACTTGAAGTTATGGCCAAATTTCGTAAGTGTTAAAAATACTAATTAAAGTTGTTGTACACATTGAGGTTATTATTATTTTTTTTTTTCGCATCGCGACAATTGCACCAGTGAAATTGTAATCAGTGATAATTCAAGAGAAAAGGCACGAAAAAATATAATTCAGTGTTGTGTGGTCATTGCTCGGCAACCACAAATGCATTTGTTCGTTGATCTCCAAAACACCTCCAAACAATTTATATTTAACGTTCTAAAAATATGCCTAAACACCGTGAGATTTATAAAACAAAAACATTATTAGTGAGAAACTAGTCTCCCTATTAACGTGACTAGCAATTATAAGCTGTGTGAGATTTGGTTAGCTCAATAAAAACATTGCCGAGTGGAAAAAACTATTGCAGGTGGCCAATGGATTGTCTGCCGTGCCATTCAAATAAGGTGACAGAGAACTGACAAGGTACATACATCAGCTTCTTTGCAAAAAGCGAATACCACAGTCTGCGCCAATTAAGGTCCTATCAGACATAATGTGTGAAAGTCTAAAGCCGACCGTCAACACACTGATTGCACCCTATCAGTGTGGCTTTAAATCTGGTAAATCCAATATTGACCAAATATTCATCCAACGCCAATCAAAGACCCGTGAAAAGATCGAGGCCCAAAGCATATACGGCTGAGTAAACTAACGTTAAATAAAACCAAAAACTCTATCAGGATCCGAACTGTTCGATAACAAACGAAGTCCCAGACAAGAAGACTCCTTTTCATGTGACTTTTACAATCTATTGATTGAGCAAATAATACGAGCTGCAGAGCTGGAAGGAAAAGGTACAATCTTCTATAAGAGTGTACAGCTGCTCGCCAGCATAACCGCACTGTGAGTTCTGCATTAACACCAACAACATTGTCAGCCTTAAAAAAAAACCGAATTACTCCGAAATCCAACGCAGAATCACATTTTCCAACATGTGCTACTTTGAAATGAGTAAGTTGTCGAAAGAAAGGTTTTGCGTAAGATTTATGTTCCTCAGCGCGTTGGGAACGGCGAATATCGCAGCCAATTAAATGATAGGCTGTACTAGATATATAGCGAAATTGACATAGTTCATTGAATCAAGAGACAATCGGCTATGCTGGCTGGCTCATGTGAACCGGATAGATAAGAATAGAAACAGAGGAAGAGAAAGACATCCACTTCTTTAGAAATACCAGGATTAGAAAATCCTCCCTGTACTGTAAGTCTATATGAACTTCCCAGGCTCGCTAAAGAACGCGTTTACATACCTATAAACAGGCCACGTTAAGGTGTAATGATACTAAAACTTGAGGCAAAACTAGGAAATCCTGGCCGAAATTTTACAGAAAGATATCATGAGGAATAGAAATTCTGGCATGCCACGTCTGATTGGAAGACATGCAGAAGGACTACAAGCTCCTTATATATAATGCAGCAGGAGCTGGAAGAATAATGGTGCGGAAAAAATGATCACCCATCTATCATACGACAGCCATTCTTTAAATAGTGCTTGGTCTGGTTAGTCTGTCCAAGATTGCCGATGTCATGGATGTTATAGAACATATACATTTTTGGTGATTCGATTCTTAATCTTCTGGCAGCGACGTCGAAACACAACATGGAATATTAGTCGCGTTTATATTGTCGACAAATTGTTGCAAAGCAAGTTTTACATATGTATGTAAAACCTTGTCCTTTTGGAGGACTATTAGAAAAAGCAAATTGTTATCTTTATCGTCGTTTATTGGCGCCCGCGATAGCTGAGTGGTTAGCATTAAGTTCGAGTCCTGGTCAGACCAACATCCAAAAATTATAAAAAATTAATTTAAATAAAAAATTAAGTGCATTCATGACATGAGCTCGGCCAAAAGCGTAATTTATATATTGGTCAAGTAAAAAGTTCGTTCGGTTTTTATTGATTTTTTCAAAAATATGATAACTTTGTGTTCACTTGTCCGATTGAAGTCAAATTTGCGCTGTTTGTTTCATAAACTTGTTGTCGACGAGATGCCAACTTCATTATACCCCTCTCGTAGAAGGAAACAAACTTGGAGAGCTATTAGGACCTCCAATCCGAGCTCCTGGAGCTTCTGGCGCGTCACCAAAGACGTGTGTGGCCTGGCTTGATCCTGATGGAACACAATTCAGCTTCTATTGAACAAAGATGACCTCTTCTGGATGAGTGCTGCCTTCAAGCACTGTCCAGTTGTTGACAGTAGAGGGGCGAATTGAACGTTTGGCCCTAGGGGAGCAGCTCGTAATATATGATTCTTTGCCAAGCCCACCAAACACACAGCAAAACCTTGTTGATCTTTGACATCGAAATTACCGGAACGGAACCTAGCAAACCACTTTTGTTCTACACCATCGTTTACAGTATCGGGCCCATAAACTAAATTAATTTTTTCAACCGCTTTGGCTGCTTTTTCGCCTTGATCGAAGAAAAATTGCAACATATAGCGAATTTTCTCTTTGCTGGTGTCCATCTTTGAAGAGCGCTCACAACGTACTGAGTCAATCAATCGAAAAACTGTCGAAGACAAACTTTTAGCGTGAACTTTAAACACGTTTTCAGCGCCGTATAGTATGACATGATGTGGCACGTAACACTAGTATTATGGACAATAACGCCATCTGTTAGATAAAACCCGAACGAACTTTTTACTTGTACTTATATTTTTAACGCCTGACAGCTGTAAAGCATGCAGAGTTTCATAATTGCTGAAATGCAATAAATTTTAAATAAAATTGTTAAACTAAAAATGCAATGAAAAAATTAACTTTATAAATGAGTGGATTCAAACGTAACTGCCAATTTCTTCAACCTTACTCATTGTGGTTCGATATTCGAAATTCTCTTTAAGAACTTCTTTTGCTTTTGATTAGTTTTAAGCCATTGAAGCAAATACTCCTGCTTTTAGTGGAAAATTTTTTAACATACGTCAGCGTAATTTTCAAGTTATTCTGTTAGCTAAGAGATTTATTGGGTTTATCAATATATTGATCATTAATTACCTCTGCTTTCAAATAGTGTATAATAATAGATACTAAGTGAATGGATAAAAATATGTGAAAGTTGTGTTCAGTTTTTTCTTCAGTTCCTTTTTTAACTGAAAAATAATAGCATAAGTTTACTAATTTCAGCTACGGATCCCAAACCCTGCAAGTATGGTGATAAAACTTGTATAATGAGTACTATTGAGTATCTAATGCAAGAGAAATCGCAAGGTAAGATTTTCCCAATGTTACGCAGAAAGATTCAAAGATATTTTTAAACAACGTTTATTTTTAAATTCAGGTTTTGCATCTTTAAATTTAGTCAAAACTGAACCCTTGAAGGTCGCTAAGATAGTAATTAAACAAGGCGCTGAAAGTCCAGTCAATATTGATTTAACATTTACCAACAACGATTTGGTTGGTTTTAGCAAAATAAAAATGGTTGACGTGAAGTGAGACATTCTTTACATTAATAACTCGCAATTTTTCCTAAAATATATATTCTTAGGGGCTTTGGCAAGAATTTGGCGACTAAACACGAGCTTTATTGCACTGCATCTACGCTTAGCTTAATTGGTGATTACTCCATTAAAGGGCGAGTACTGGTGCTGCCAATCACCGGCACTGGTATAAGTAACATTACAATGGGTAAGTTATTTAATTAAGCAAAAAAAAAAAATAGTAAACCAATAAGCACTGGATATATATAATTTATACTTTTATTCCCCTTTATTTGGTACAGTTGACTCCAAAATACGTATACAGTTTGTTGGATCACCGGCAGAAAAATCGGACGGTGTCTATATGGATATTAAATCTGTACGAATGAGTGTGGAGCCTGGTAAGATGATATTCAATTTCGGTAATCTATTCAATGGCGACAAGATATTGGGTGAAACAATGAATGCTTTCTTGAATGAGAATTGGAAGGAGATTTATCAAGAGGTGCGTGCCACTTTTACGAAAGCTTTTGCCCAAATCTTTTCCAGCGTTATAAATACCGTATTTAGTAAATATCCATATGAGAAGTATTTCACGGAATAAATACAGTTTTATATTATATATATTATATATAAGATCACACATAAATGTTTGTATGATAATTAAGTAAAATAAAAAATAAAACTTAAGTATTTTTTCTCACCTACTATTATTTTGTAAAATTAAACATAATTTTTTCGAAAAAATTAACGATTTCTTGTTTTCTTAATTGTTCTTATACGAGCATTTGTTATGTTTTTAATTTTTTTTTTTTTGTTATTGTTTTGGTTAATTTTATTTTTCTATTTTTTACAATAATACTGAAACATAAAATACAAATAAATTTGTGAACTTGTTTACATTTTATTCGATGAGTATTATTTTGTTCGTTTAAAGGTGGCCATTTAGGAATTCTCTATTAGAATTACATCATTTTTGTATATAACAAAGCAACTTTCGTTAAATTTGAATCAAATTAAGGTATATAAAATGAAGTTCTAGCTGTCTGAAAACGGCGATTGGTCTCAGATGGCTATAACTTTACAAGAGATACAGACAGGCAAAAGTTGTCTAGATTCCATTAGCATTAGACATTTGCCGCTGGTCGACTTTGAACTTTTAAACCGGTATATATGAAAGTGTTCAAAATTAGGTAAACAATAAAAAGAAACCAGTTTTCTAAGATAAAATTTTACAGAATTAGTAACAAGTCATCCATTATTTTTGCAATAGGTGGCTTTAGTGATCTGTATCTCGTGTTCTATTAGTGCGATTGAATTATGCTGGATGGCGTTAGAAAGATGAAATTTTGTACTAAAGAGTTGACAACTTAAGACACTTGCCAAAGAATGACACCAGCAAAGAAGAAATGCACTTTATATAATCTACAATTTTTCTTCGATAGAGGCGAAGTCAAGCAGCTGTAAATGTGAATAGTTTGTCATTTAGGTTTCGCTGATTTCGTTTCGATAATTTTGATGCAAAAGATGTTTCACTGTGTGGAAAGCCAATTGTCGAAATTGTTGATAAAATAATGACAATCGACGAATCTCACCGTCATGCGGGCGCTGTTTCGATAGCTCAGGAACTAAACACTGCACAAAACTCCTGCATACTCTTGAGGTTTGGGTGCCACATGAGTTAACGACAAAAATCCTTTTGGACTGAATTTCTATCTACGAGCCCCTACTGAATTATAACAAAAACGACCCATTTTTGATGAAAATTGAAGGCAGGTTTTGTTTTGAGTTTGGTAGGATTGGCAAGGCAATAATACACCATGAGCTGTTCCACCCTCGCCAGAAACTTGATTCGTAGGCTCTTATGCAACCAGGTTATTGTTCTGATCTCGCACCAAATCATTTGCCTAGTGAAGGCCAAAGAGCAACCAGTAAAAATCGATTGTCTCAACTTTTTGTCCATAGGGACAAAGATTTCTATGAGAGAGGCATCATAGGATTGCCTTAAAAATGGCAAAAAGTTATCGAGTAACACGGAGCACATTTAACATAACTCGGTTGTTACTTGATCGATAATTAGTTTTTCACAAAATTCGTTGATCTACTGAGAGGGCTATCGCTGCATTGGAGTGTCTGAAATAAATAAAAAAATAAATTATTGAAAATGAAAAACGACTTTTTTTCAATTCAAAAAAATTCCCAGCCGACATAGAGAGCGTAACAATAAGTACACGGTGTGTCCAAAAAATAACCGAACTTTTTGGATATAAAATAAAATACACATTATATTATCTTTGAAAGTTATTATTTATTCAAAATGGTTCCATTTGACTCAACACAATATTTGGAACCATCAACCAGCGCATGCATAGATTTTTTTATGTCATTTATAGAAATGTTCTTCAGTACCTCGGTTACGGCTGCTTGAATGGCTGGGATGTCATCATAAAATGCTCCCTTCATCTTGGTTTTCAGTTTTGGAAATAAAAAATAATCACATGGTGATAGATCAGGCGAATACGGAGGATGGTCGATGAGAGAAATCTTATTTTTTATTAAAAATTCGAGCGATTTTTTGGTCGTCATTTAATTCATGTGGAATAAATCGCGCACAGACCTTTCTTTTCCCCAAATCTTCAGTTAAAATTCTCCAAATAGTCTTTTTACTCGTATTCAATTCCTCAGCCAACATTCTCGTAGAGATACTAATGATTTCACGGACTTTTTCCACCAGTTCAGCACGATTACTAGTTTCTGGACGTCCTGCTCTAGGGTCGTCATTTAAATCCTCATGACCATTTTTAAATCGTGTAAACCACGTATAAACTTGCGTACGACTCATACAATCATCACAATAAACTTTTTTCATTCATTTTTTTTCAAGTTTGACACAAATTTTTATATTTGCTCTTTGTTCCATTTTATTTTTGAACCATTAGCACACTTTTGGTTTTATTGAAATGGCTGTCACTTTTCCATCTGTCATCCGACTTACATGATGTTAGGTGCATTTGAATGAGGATGAATGTATCTTTTCAATGTTGCAAATTTTCAATAGATGGCGCTGTGTGTTGTATGATTTAAATATAAAGTTCGGTTATTTTTCGGACATACCGTGTATTTAAATCTTTTGAGTAAATTTAAACATAGTGGTTGATTAGCAGGGCTGATCAATCAAATATAAGTCCAACTTCTTACAGTGTCTGAGCTATGGCTGCGTTTTTAAAATCTAGCATTAATGATGGATTCACGACAAAGAAACGACTCTCAAATGTTTAAGACTCCTACAACATCATTAGCATATAAAAAGAATAAATAAACAATACAAAATTGTAGAAAACTATATACATATAACACATAAAAATGCCACACAAAAATTAATTTGAATAAAAAACTTACTTTTCCAAAAGTACTGGGACCTGGAAGAGTAGTCCAAGCGCCGACAATACTTTTCAAACTCAATAGAAGCTCAAGAAATAGAGTTTGCAAGAGATGTTTTCTGCAAAAATTGAATGAAACCGAATCGAAGTATCCAGACTATGAACAAATATAAAAAATCAAGAATTTGGCGGACCGATTGCGCAAGATCATCGTGGGAAACATACATCACTTCATAAACTATCTATAGAAAAGCATAACGAAGTATTCGAACATATCAACAGCAGCCCTAAATATCAAAGCCATTATGGCCGTCACCACACCAAAACAATATATTTCGAACGCGATCTTAATCTTGCAACATGATATCGAATTTATACTAGAGAATGGGGTTACTACAATATTAAGACTTAGTTCTATATTTGAAACGAAACGATTGCCAAACGAGATACCAATGATATTGGCTCTTGTATTTACAAATGCGTAATGAATTTACCAGGCTCAATGAAGCAAGTGATTTTATACATCAGTTCATGTCCTGGGCAAAAGATCTTACTTTTGTGCGTAGTTCGAAGGATCAGACAAGTATTGAAATTGTCGATCATTATCTCCTTCGTTGGAGCTCAAATGTTCAAAGAAAAATACAAAATTGATAGCAACTACGAACTCGACAGCTTTTACCATAAAATTCAAAGTAAAGGTGAAAATCAAATCGTAGTCGATTCTGATCTTAACGATACAGACGTACATACGTAGATTATTAAAAATAATTTTGTAAACCAAGTTTTGAGTTAAGTTACATTCGATTGTACGCGCTAAAATGCTTTTCTTTTGATTTCCAAGATTATTGTATTATGGGGGGAACACTTCTCCAGCCTGCTGAATGCCACTGAAAATGGAATACCCGGATATGGTGAGCCCGAAACTCCAAATGTGAACGATGGAAATGTTGTACCCGACTATGAAGAAGTCCGAATAGCAATCACATGCCTTAAAAACTACAAAGCGGCGGGTACCGATGGATTACCGGCCGAGGTATTCAAATACGGCAGTAAAGAACTGATCAGGTGCATGCATTAGCTTCTTTGCAAAATATTGTCAGATGATAACGCCAATTACCATGAAATAAACTTCCTCAACATCACATGTAAGGTCACTGTGAGTCTTCGAGAACAAAAAGTTTTGCGAACGATTTATGGTCCTTTGCGCATTGATAACGGCGAATACCGCAAACAATGAAACGATGAGCCGTATGGGCTATGTGATGTTATTGACATAGTTCAGCGAATGAAGTGACAGCGGCTACGATGGCTTTACCATGTCGTCCGAATGGATGAAAGCACTCCAGCTATGAAAATATTTGGCATTGCCTACGAAAAGAGACCTAGTAGCTTGAGAAGAATATATCGTGCAATAGAATATGGGAATAAGTCGATTTGATTTGATTTGAAGTTTTAAAAAATCAATTTTGAAATTGCGTTTATCATTTCAACAACTTTTTCTGGCCGATAGTGCAAAGTTCCCATCAAACACCAAACACTGTATGGTGTTATGACTGGTTCAATGGCTGTCGAGCGCTGCTGGTTTGCACCAAAGTCTCGTGATTCTACCGCTCTTATCAGCGTACTGTTGTCAGAAATCTTTAAGTTTCAGTCGTAAAAAGTTAAAACGAAATACTGATTTTTAACTTCTTTTCAATTACAATCATTTAGTTTAAACTGAAATATCCTTTGCGGTTAAAAAATGGGCGGTTTCACCATTCTTATATGATTTCCACCGATGAAACAAGTAATGCGGATTGCTCATATCCCCTAAAATTTTGCATTTCAAACAAAGATTTATTTTCAATTCCAATAAATGGCAATTCAGTGTCGGTTTCTATAACACCCCCGATTTATTTTATTTTTTGTTGTAATTCTTTTGAAAAACTATAACGGTTAGAGTAAAATGAATAGGCAAAATATCAGGTGTACAACTTTGCTTCCGCCGTTTTCCGATAGGTGGCTGCACCGGCTGAGGCCGGTTGAAATACATAGACGATATTGCCTTTAAAGTGAGTGTGGAAAGTGCCTAACGAATTGTCATCGCCGTTTCACTGACAGTTGTTCTTGTTTTACTTTTCTGTTACAATTCGAAAAAAAATGCAGCTGAAGCGCATCGAATGCTCTCAGAAACTTACGGCGATGCTGCTCTGAGTGAAAGAACGTGTCGGGAGTGGTTTCAACGTTTTAAAAATAGTTATCTCGATGTCAAAGACAAACATGGTGGTGGAAGAGAAAAAACCTTAAAAGATTTACTACGAGCTCTTAAAACCGGGTGAAACCATCACAGTAGATCGCTACCGAACGCAATTGATGCGCCTTAGTCGCGCGCTAAAAGAAAAGCGGCCACAATATCAAGAGCGACATGACAAAGTCATCCTCCAACACGACAATGCTCGGCCTCACATCACAAAAGTGGTCAAAAAGTACCTGGAAACGCTGGAATGGGAAGTCTTGCCCCACCCCCCGTATTACCCAGATGTCGCCCCTTCTGACTACCACCTATGCCGCTCGATGGCACACCGCCTGGCAGATCAACATTTTCAATCCTTCGAAGAATTGGAAAAATGAATTGCTTCATGGATAGCGTCAAAAGAGGACTCCTTTTTTCGAGCCGGGATCCGAAAATTGCCGGAAAGGTGGGAGAAAGTTGTCGCTAGCGAAGGACAATACTTTGAATAATATATCTGGAAGCACTTTTTCGCAATAAAGCTTTTAATTTTGTACACAAATCTTAAATAGTGCTTTTTAATATTAACTCCTTACATTTGCTTAAAGTTAATCACAAAAAGTTTTGTTCAATATTTAATATGTTTTTTTTTTTTTTGCTCTCCTGTAAAATTACTGTTTGGGTGATAAGTGGTTTTGTCAAATGTTCACAGATCTTACAAGTTATTTAAATAAAATATTCTCAACAAAATTTCTACTTTTACTTTTTGCAAGTCTGCAATTACAAATATTAATTAGAATTTCAAGTATCGTTACCTACGTTTATATGTAGTTAAGCAACTTTAATATACATATGTATCAGGGGATTAACAAAAGTTCGGTATTTACACCAGAAAAAAAAAACTTTTTGTATTTATTCGTACTCTGTGTTTATTTTTATTTTCTCTGCATAAGGCCTTTGAATTCAATGCATTTCTAAGGCCCATAGATCCACCTCTGAATACGGTCTTCAAAATTGCTTTTTAATCTTTCAAGATCAGCACTAACCACATTAATTGTCTCCTCGTTGGCATTAAAGACGTCTCCTACTATTTTTTTTTTTAGTTTTTATAAATGACCTGAAATTGCAAGGTGCTACATCTCTGGAATATGGTGCTGAACGTATTTCTTCGACCCCAGAGATTGCAATGAAATTACTCGTTATTTCAGCAGTGTGAGATGGCGCGTTTTTCTGATGTAAACAAAGTTTGGAAAGCTTTTGGTAAACACTCTTCGGTGTACCATTTTTCAGTTGCCGTCTGACCCTTTCCAGTGGAATAACAGGCACGATTTTAGATCGAGTGAAGTCAACTGGCATCATAACTTTTGCTGATGATTTTTGTTGCTTCAATTTTACGGTTGGGTTTGCTCCTTTTGGCCTCCATACTAGATACTGCTGCTTGCTTTCTGGATCGTACTTATAGAACCAAGATTCATCACCAATAACGCCGTTACTATAGTTGCTAGACTGGCCATTTTCGAATTTGTTTTGGAAAAATTGAGATTTAAAATTCGTGGTACCCAAATGATAAGTTAATATTCGCGATACAGACATGGCATTCATCATTTCTTGTGTCAATCGTGTGTCTTCGTCAATTTTGAACTTCACCAGAGCTACCGTGGCGACATCAGTGAAAGGTTTTGATCGATCTTCTTGGGGCTCATCCTGTACGAAATAATGTCCTTCCTGGAATCTACGGAACCACCTAGAAATAGTCTTTAAAGACGATGCAATTTGGTATTCACTTAATATTTGAAAAGAAAATCACGTAGCGATTTCTATTTGCGTTGGTGGTGGAAAATCGTCTGATCTATCCTCAGCTATCTTGCGTTTCTTCATCTCCATTTCAGCCGATCGTTCTTAAATTTGATGAAAGACTAATAAAGTAATTGCAAAGTATTTGGAATTTTCCGATTTAACAAAAACAAATTGAAAGTCACCAAGTGACCGAACTTTTGTCTCCTCGTAGGTCCGAAATTAAAATTTTTGAGTTGCTCATCATTAAAGACAAGGTACGATATGTAGAAAATACACATATACATGCATACATATATTTAGGTTGTGTTTATAATAATAAAATAAAATAAGCCTTACAGGCCTTTATATGTATGTACGTACGTATGTCCGCGAATAAATTGAAATTTCAGATGTTATCATGTTGACACGTTGTTGTTTCTTTAATTCATTAAAATGCACACAATTCCTTGTTCTATTAAGCGAATGATGTGAAAGTGTGTGAGCCGCCGTTGAACTCGTTTCTGTTTAATCAAAATCAAACGCATTATTGATATTAACACGAAAATCTCGTATATAAGTCAAGCACTAAAATGCATTGCGCTTCATTTCGGTTACATAATTTGTAAAGCGAGCGAAAGTATTTTTTTGAAATCTCACAAGTAAAGGCGCTGTAGTAAGAATGTTGGAAACCAGCAAGATATCAGTATTAGCGTGCATAGTAATTTTTATGCAGTTGACACAGGCGAATTCTCGTAAGTTTTTTTTTTTTATTTTGGAATTCAAAAATTTATGATTTTAATTTAATTTTTTCTTTATTTTTCAATATTCATTTCAGCATCAGATTTAAAACAATGTGCCTTCAATGATTCAACGTGTACTACAAATTTTGCAAAATTGTTGTTGAAAAATAAATCGAAAACCGGTTGGCCCGAATTAAAATTAATTCCCTTCGATCCTATGCGCATTAATTCGCTGATATTGCAGCCAAATCCAAATAGCCCCATAAGTATTGGGTTGAAATTTAAAAACATCGAAATACTTGGTTTAATGAATACTCAAAATGTTAGAGTTGAGTAAGTTTAGCGCAAAGGAAAACTAAACAAGAATAATATGATAACAAAATTAAAATTAGAAAAAAATAATAATAGAAAAATTAAGCAAATTAAGGAAATAATAATTTAATAAATAAATAAAAAAAATTCTATTAACCATACAAATTAAATTGAAGTAAATTAAAATTCAAATTTAAAAAAGGTTTTTAAACAAACTCATTACAGAGGCTTCACTAGTGATGTCAAAGATCCTATTTTGTTGGAAGGCACATTGCCACAGGCAATCATTCGAGGTCCTTACGAAGGCTCCGGTACAGTTTTGGGCTTGCCTTTCAAAGGCAAAGGCGACTGTGAGATAGTATTAAGTAAGTTTCTGTTTACATACTTTCATATACATACATATAATGCTTATGTAGATAAGTATTTTTTTTTACGTATAATTACTTGATATTCACATGATGATATTCGTTTCATTTCTTTTTTAATACAAAAAAAAAAATAGCAAATCTTAAACTAACTGGCCATCTTCATGGCAAATTAATAAATGGATATTTATCCATTGATGATGTATCGTTAACAATGTCACTACCGGACAAAGTACATTTCAAATTTGGCGGACTGTTTGATGGTAATAAAGATTTGGGCGATACAGCTAATGCATTCGTCAATGATAACTGGCGTGAAATATTTGAATCTATGAAGGATGATATGGCACTAGCTTTTGCAAAGATTGTCAAAGAGATCACAAAAACTGCTCTTGGTTCGGTGCAATATAAAGAATTATTCAAGGAGCAATAAAAATATATGTATGTTCATTTGTGATATGTGAAATACTAAGTATTAGTTGTTGATTGCGACTTCATTTATAATCAATTACATTTGCAATGTATACGTAATATATATAAAAAAAATTAAATAACTTCAATGTTCATTTAATTCATTTATTTTTTTATTGTATATAATTTTAAGCACTTGACATTAAAAAAAATAATTATTGCAACTCAGCATATAAGATAAGATGGCTAAATGTAGTATATGGTAATCGATTTTAAAATAAGGTTTAATGTTAATAAATTAAAAAGGGAATACACGCTTTTTTCATTCATTGTGTAGTTTAAGGGACGTGAAAACGTTTCACTATAAATTTTGTGATATAAAAAAATATATTCAGTTCTTAAAATAAAAACAGTCAGAGCTTTTAATAATATCGTATGATATATATGTGCATTAGCGATTGGTCATCGTTTCTTATTAAAGCATAAAACATATTATGTTGTATATATATAAATATAAATATAAAATACATTTTTTGAAAGGTTTATAAGTAATACAATTATTTACAAATAAAAAATTCATGCTTTCTTACTTTCTAAAGTTATAATATTTACAATCAGTAAATTGATAAATACATAAATTAATTAATTGATAAGTTTCAAAAACAAACGTTTATTAAAAATAAACAATAAATATTAAATATAAAAGTTAAAAATTCAGTGCAAACAAGCACATAAAATCGTGGCAAAATAATCAAAAAAAAAAAAGTATTTACTTATATACAATCGAAATATTCAAATTAAAATTTTAGTTCGCACAAAAAAATCCTAGAAATGTTGCTCTGTTAATAATTAAAAAGAAATATATTCAAATTTTGTGTACAATTAAATGTTAGAAACAGAAATAAATCTTTACTTTTTTGGCAATAGCTCACACAAGGCATTTTATCAATTTAAAATATTTTATTATTATATAAGCTAAAAATTCACAAGTCACTTGTACAGGCACATTTGCAAGTTGTCTTTTAAATAATTACTTTTTGTTGGCCAGCAGAGAAATTGCTTATGCAAATATGCAAATATACAATTCAAATATAAACTACTGAAACTATTAATTTAAAAAAAGATTATTAACTAATTATATGAATCAAATAGCAGAACTAAAAAAATTTACAATTGAAATATTTTTTTTATAGAAATCAAAAGCATTGAACACTAACTTAGAAAATATTGCAACAAAAACCGCATACAAATTTTGTTTTTGTAAATATATCAATAAAACTAGAATATAATATAAATTAGCCTATACATTTCTAAAAAGAAAACTATATTTAAAACCTAAATATGTATATATAAAAATTAATACTATAAATATTTTTAACTAATTATAAAAATAATAGTAACCATAGTATAAAAATGTTAAAATAACTATAAAAAATTATTAATAATGTATAAAAGTTAAAATTATTTATAAAAAAAAAAAAACAAATCTAAATATATTAAATAATGGAAAGAGAATTACAATCCATTCATACTTTTACATCTAGCCTATGTAGCGAGTTACTTGCCGCTCAATCTCAGTTTCTTTTTCGCCCAAACTACGTTCATAGATTCCTGTAAAAGTACTAGATTGTTGCTCCAAACTACTGTTTATGGTATTTATTCCAAATATCACATTGTCATGACTAGACGATATCAATGGTTCTGCTGATTTCGCATTTACTAAAAACTCATTTGCATTTACCATTTCACGCTCATTCATGCTCGCACCAAATGTTAGATTTTGCTGCGAGCGTTCAACAGCCCAAATGAATGCATGTACATAGATTTGTAACTCACGAATCTGATCATTTAGCTGCAGCAAGAGTTCTTCCAGTTTCTGCGTATGAACTAGAATTCAAACTCAAATAAATAAATAATATAAATTAACATATACTGCGAATACCTTGCACTTCTTCTGTAATAAATTGTCCACGCTTATGTTCCATATCAATGCGTTTAAATGACTCAAACTGTGTTAAAATATTTCGTAATATATTTAAGGATTTCTCGCATTCCAAATACAGCTCTATACTATAAATTTTGTTTACACTAAGAAGACGTTGCATGTCACAAACAAAGTTTGTACATTTTCTAGCTGCATACTTGACTTGATATTGTACGTTCATTGTGCAGGGCATAGTGCCTCTAGCCTGTGCGTTTGCCTCGAGATTACTAATGGTAATCTCTTTCCGATTTAAAGCAGCGCTTGAAGGTAAAACGTCATTTAGATAGTAATGCATTTTGCGAAAGAGACCAAATAAACGCAGCACTGGGTTATGTTCTTTGCTAAAATTAAGTATAAATTTGAGCCATATTAAAAGAAAATGGAGCAATTTTTAAAACTTACTTATCAATTGATAAACCCAGTACAGACAAGTCTACCGTAATTTTGTCATAATCTATGTCATCCTCCTTCGAAGAACCATTGTATTTTGAGAACTTACGATGACCGTGTCCACTAAAGCTACTACGAGATATAGAAGTACTACGTCTGCTTGTTCCAGATGAATGTTCTGATTCAAAATCAGTAAGAGACGCACTGGAGATGAGTGGCTCAGAATCGGTGTCCGGATATAAATTATTCTGTGAACGTAAGAAGTGAAACTCAAACTTTGGTGAGTTTGGAGTGCTCGCACTAACACCCCAATCATTTAGACCAGTATTATTTTTAATTTGCTTAAACAGTGTAGGTACTGAAGAGTAGCTGTTATTTATTTTACTCAATCCATGAGATACAGGTAGTGGATGTGCCGCCGAAATAGAACTTGATGATATTCCGGCGTTAAGTTGAGTTGGCATAATATTATACAGCTGCTGTTGCATTAAGTTTTGCTGTCCCTCCTGCATTTGTTCTTGACGTTGTATGTAAAGACATTGTTGGTAGTATCGTTGATATATATAAAACAAATCTGTTTTGTTATCGCTTAAAAGGGTTTTACGTTCTAAAGGTATTGTTCCAGCTACATCTCTGCTTCCACAATTTCCGGCATACTTTTGGTAGTCATTATTGCATTGTGCAAATCCACATTCTTCTTTCGAAATTGACATATTCATTCCGCTAGTATCAGGCATTGGAATACTCCCCATTGCACCAATGACATCTAAGTCTCCAGCAATTAACATCGAACTCAGCTCATTTGAAATATTTTCCATATTAGAATTTAGTAACTGGCTATCTTCTTCATTACTAGGTTGAAAATTTGAGGTCATTTTATACTTTCAGCTAAACTCTAGTAAAAATATAATGGAAAAACGTTACATTTCAAAATTTTGCCTCATTTACAGATATTAAGAGCACACCAATTTGCTAATTCAAATGAGCTCACTTCTTATGGAAAATTTATAAAATTACTTATTAGATACTACTTACTATCAAATGAATAGCTCTTGCAAATGAAGCTTTGTATCAATTATTGCAGCTGCAGTCAGTAAAGTGAAATTAAATCAAATTTGATTTTCCAAGCAAGGGCAGGAAACGGCTGAAATTTATTCAACCGGCGTTGCCACTTAAAAGCAAGACTTCAATGTTACCATTCGATTAAAATTTTGCTACGATTTTACTAAATACGCCTCAACGATGTCTCACAAAATTGTTAAAACACTTAAAAATTGTTCTTCAGTTTCTTCATTGTGAGCACACAGTTTATTTACCTTATCTTTTATAAACACACAATTTACTACACACTGCATAATCAAACAGCAACATTACAGGAAAATAATTACATGGTTTACTTCACATCGATTCACACCGAGTTTTAAACTCAACCGTCTTTCTTATATTCCTAACATCTTTCCCCAACCATCTCCAGATTTGAATGTTCTCGATAACGAAAACTTGATACTTGCCCACAAGAAAGTCTTTTACATTAATATTTTCCGATTTGCCGACAATAATATAACAATACAATAATTTTTGTAAATTCAACAAAATATTTTAAGCAAAACAATTTATATAGATGTACCAAAGAACGTATATAATATACGTTCTTTGACTCAACGATAATTGTCGATAAGCCTTAGGCCCGCTTTCACAATGTCCGATTAACTTAACCTTTAATAGGAGGATAGGTAACCGCCAGTTCGATTTCATCAAGTTCTGGTTACCTAACTTCTGGTTAGTTTGATTATTGTGAATATTTTAAGGTAAGATCGCTTAAATTTTTCTTGTTAATGGATAAATATAATGGAAATTAAAAATAAATCTTTCCCCAATTTTTCAAGCACCGAAGAAAGTTTTTTAATAATATTGGCGGAGCTCTATCCAATGTAATCCAAAATAAAAAGACTGTGGCCTGGGAAGAAAAACGAAACGGGAATATATTGATGTTGAATTTGAAGTTCAAGTGGGAATTCGGGGGGCCCAAACACTTAGTAGAAAAATATTGCTATCGTGTGCAGAAAAAGGCCACCTGCGCACAAAGCAAGTTCTTTCCAATTTTGCATAACAGACAGTTTTTACGTTGAAGGAAAAGTACCCTTTTCTGTTTCGAAAAATTTCGGCATTTTCTCCCCCAAGTGATTAGATTCTGACATGAGTGCAATCTGTACACCCCACCACCTTTGGAAACTTCACTATACGGTGAAATGTGCGAGTTGCGTTTTCAATTTCTCTGCTTGTTTGTGGCATTCTGATGAAAAATTGGTAATAGACACTTTATTCACCATCGCCACGCTTACTCCGCAGAAATCAGCACAAACCAAAAATTTCCCGGTGCATAGAAGCGCAGTATTAAAAACAATATTTTCGCTCGCCTAAGTGCTGCGAACTCAAATAAGTTATTAACAATATTTATTTACTACAAGCTTATTATATTCACAAGTTAATTACGGAAAGACGAAATCTACGCATAAAAACTTCTTCATCATATATCTCAAAGAGATTTATTTGAATACGGAATGTTTTTTCCCTAAAAATATGCCTCTGAAGCAGCGAGTTAGGCAATGCGTTTCATGTTTTCCATAATAAAATTTATTTTAAAGCCAAATTAAAATGGTGTTCCGGTGCATTTTATTTATTATTTTACAATTTCCAGCTGTCAAATTATTTTCTGGTTAAAAGCTAATCAATGTTGGCATTAAGTTAACCGCAACTTAATTGACAGATGCGCCTAGACGGGACATTATGAAAACGAATTTCATGCTAACTTCCGATTAAATTATGATTAAGTGCTTAACCGAAGATGGTGAAAACGGAAAGCGAAATGAGTTGTTTGGTCTTAACGTAAATGCCTAAATTGCTAATGTCACACTAATGGGGTATACAGACTAGCTGATTAAGTTGCTTTAAGTAGCCTCTGGCAGACAGCACGTATGTGTATATAGTTATCAGCTGATTTGGAAAAAACTTCGAGATGAAAATGAAAAGAATAAGTAAGAAACGATTCGCTGCAAAAAACTTGATATTAAAGTTATTAATAATAATCAAGATAATAAATGAATTTAGAAGCCTTTACACGTTAATTCAGACTAGGATTGTTACAACTTTTTACTGCTTCTCGCTCAATTTCTTTCAAAGCAACAGCAACTGTCAAATAGCATAGAATTGCCACATTGAGTTTCCCAAATGTAGTTGAAATACACAAATTTTTATTGCACTCATATTTACATATAGGGGAAGATAATTCTTGAGTTAATGTATTTAAAGCCAAAATATGCAGATAATACATACTACAAGTATAACAAACTTTTTAACAAATTGCATAGTGAAAGTGGAATATTTCTCTGTGCATTAAAATAAAGAATATTAGGAATATTAATCATTTGATGGTATCGATAGTAGATCAAAACCCAAATCATCGATATTATTAATGCTGATAGATCAAAAGCTCTGCTAACAATTACTTCTTATGTTATCATTACGGAAGGATAAGAAACATAATCATACTGATAAGTAAATTTGGACTTAAAATCGGTGAGTTTTTTTATATGTGATTTATGATTAAAAACTAAAACAGTTATAAGTTATCAGTGGGTATCAGCGGTTGACATGTGTTCTAGTTCTGATCTTAATTCTACCAGGCTATTTAAAATAAATGTAATTCCTTCAATGGGGAACACCAATATTGTATTTCTGACATGAAAATTACAGACGCTTATAAGAAGCAATCCGCCGGTTGGGTCAGTTTAAAACTAATTCATATCTCTCTAATGTGTTGATATCACATTAATCAAGTAAGAAAGTAAAAAGCATGTAATTTAGGGAAAGAAACCTAACGAGCTCAGTAAACATTTATACTTACCATAAGGCGGTTGAATGTAAGTTTCTACCAATATCTTTTTACGTTCCTAGATATTATATTTTTTAATAAAGTTTTAATTATTCTCAAAAATACTCTTATTTATTTCTCACAGTACAAAGTCTGATGACAATGGAAAGTAAAATACAACGTCAAGAAATATTTTCGAATACTTCAGAATTACGAAAACGTGCCCAAGCCGTAGAAAAACAAACAATAAAACTCCCTGATGAAGCCGGAGAAAGTAATGGTTATGAAAAAAATAGTATACAAATAATTGATGTAAGTAACTAATTAACATGTGGGGGGTTTGTATCACATAGCCCGATTAACATGCATACATCTGTTCATCTATGAATTAAGCTATGATCCTATTTTTTCATATAGATCATTGATATTTTAGTTAGTTGTTATAAATTTGTGGGTAAAACACCCAACATGAAATCACAGTTCCTCATAAAATCCAACGGACGTTCGGAAGTGGCTAAATTGTAGGTCCGTCCCACTATTTGTTGAAGAAACATCAAGAGACACACCATAAATTGAAGGAATAGCTCGGTCGAAAGTCGATTCAGTGGTTAAAAACGATAATTATACATTATCATACATTCATGCATATTTTAATTTAAAAACATTTGGTAACAATTAAATATTTTTAAATACCGGCTTCATTGTCCCATTCATATTTACAATGTATTTATTTAACATCGGTTATCAGATTACTTATATTATTTAACTTCCTTTCCAGTACTCTTCTGATCATAAATCGACTTATCATCGCACACATACTTCTCAGATAAAAGCACCAATCACGATGACTTCAGCGGTAACACCAAGTAAAACAAACACTGTTTTAACACACTTGAGTCGAAATGGTGGCACACTATCGAATCGACGTTTCAGTGAAAGCTCAGCAGATGAAGTGCACAGATGTGAAGAGTCAATAAAACTAGCTGCCTGGAATAACAACATGTCGCTTAACAACTCAGTGAATATTTGCTCCAAGACTTTTCAGTCCAACAGAAAAAGTTGCTCACGATTCCAGCCAGATGAAATTGATGAAAGAAGCGGTTGTTGCCATTTCGGCGGCGGACATAGAAAGAAAAGAATAAGTGACGCCATTGACGTAGGAATTCGAGTAATGCTTGTATTTATCTTTATGTAAGTAATCAGGTTTCATGATTAGCATAAACTATCATACGTGTACATAGACATTTTTATACATACTTATTCATGGGTTGTACATATGTATTTGTAAAATAAGTATATATATATATGTATATATTTTTTTTATCTATATTCGTATGTATATTGGCAAGCGTTTACTCTAATTATTATCAGCACTCATCAATTTGTGAGTCAAAAAACTTTTGCAAGTTATGAATAATGAATAACTGGTAAATATCGTATGTTTTAGATCCCTAGAGGCTGCAAAACCTTTCAAGCGAAAGCTTCACCCTGAAGAGATGTGGTTGTACAAAAATCCACGCACACCGGACATAGTTTCAGCCCAAGCTCTACTTTTATCTGTCATATTTGGCCCATTATTTGTGACACTATTCCATTTGTGGTTGACAGGGGATCGCCGTGATTTTCGCGCCGCAAACTGGGTCTGGACATTGGCGCTTGGGTTGAATGGTCTGACAACAAGCCTCTTAAAAATAACCGTTGGACGTCACAGGCCCGATTTCTTTTATCGCTGTTTTCCTGACGGTATTGTAGTATTAAATAATGTTACCCATTTACATGGTTCGATGGATTATTATAATTGCACCGGTGACATACGTCAAATAAGCGAAGGACGCAAAAGTTTTCCAAGTGGACATGCTTCATGTAAGTGCTCAATTTTAGAAAGCATTAATAGTATAAATTAATTGTATAATTTACTCTATATGTGTTACAGTTGCTTTTGTTGGCTTCGGGTTCATTGCAATTTATGTATGCGCTAAACTGCATGCAATGAGTGCGCGAGGTCGTGGACAGTCCTGGCGTTTATGTATTTCAGTATTACCATTAATTTTAGCTACATTAATAGCAGTTAGTCGCACTTGCGACTACCATCACCATTGGGAGGATGTAACAGCTGGAAGTATAATTGGATTAATGTGTGTTTATCTGGTTTATAGACAATATTATCCCTCGTTATCCTCGATTAATTGTCATCAACCCTATATACGAATATGCGATAGACTAAAGAAGACAGATACTCAGTTGCATTCCCAGTCAGCGGGTTTATTGAGTGAGGAGGATGTAAGCAACGATGATATTTCAAATTAATATTATGAAAAAGTTTTGGTGGAGATCATCGTCGAGCCACTTAAATCAAAAGTAGATATCATAGAATAAGTTAATTTATCATTACAATATATGCTGTTTGTTTTAAATTATTTTTAGTTATGTATGTATATACATTACACTTTAAAATAAGATTCTCAATTTAGTAAATATAATTTGATACTATGCACTAGAGCATAAAATGGAATTCCTTTTGTTATATACTCATAAATCTAGCAAAGCTTTCAACTGTACTTAAATACGCATCATTAGCTATTAAGATATAAGATTGCAATATTATTCAAAATCATCCCTCCCGCTTTACTTAAAAAAATTCCCTTTTAATTAACTGAAATTGACTGTTATTTTTCTCTTTTGAAAAAGGCGTACAGGGGCTTTGTGAAATATTAATAAAAACGCTACCAACTTGTTATAAAATATTGTTTATTTTCAATGTCGTACAAGTTGCTTGTACAACTTTTAATATCTAAAACTAAAATCAACAAAATACAAAACTTCAGTACTCCTAGTTAGTACGCAGTTTAGGTATCGAATATATTCCAAATTAAGTCTTATTTAGGAATTGAATGACTGCAATAGTAATTGTTTCTCGCGCTCCTTCTTTTTAACCACGTCCAAACTGCGCTGTCTCCATGTACTCTTTCTCAATTTTATTGGCCTACTACCAACATATCGGCCATCCATTTCTTTCATAGCACGTATAAAATCTGCCGGCTCCCGAAAACTTACAAAACCAAAACCTTTACTCTTACCAGTACGTTTATCTCGCACCACACGCGCTCTTTGAAACGATGGATACTTATTAAATGTCCGGGTTAAAACTTCATCATTTACATCATTACCTAAATCACCACAAAATATGCGAAAATCATCATCTGGCCAATCCGCCAATGAAGAATCTTCCCAAACAGTCCCACCGGCTACACGAATTGTTTTGCGGTCTTTCTTTTTGCGTTCACTTGTTTGAAACGATTGCAAAGCCGATGATGCTCTTGCAGCTTTAATTGCTTCTTCTGCTATGGGATTAGGACCAGATTTTTCTGCTTTCAGTTTCTTTAGTTTTTGAGTTACGTCGAATTGTATGGCATTGATATCTATATGTGGTGTAGCCGGAACGTTCACCGATTGTCTACTTTGGTATAATTTAGGTGCACTGCTAACTACGACTGGTGTGGCCATCATGCTGGACGAAGGTGGCACGCCAGATTTTAATACACCACCATTACTATTAGCCTGCGTTGGAACAAATGTTGACATGAATGTTGGTGGCGGAATTGTCGGCGGCGGTACAGATATACGAGGAGCTTGCACGGGTGTAAATGACGACGATGTTGCTGGTGTAGACGCAGTGGTGTGAGATGGTTGTTGCTGCAACTTTTGCTGTACCTGACTATAGGTGTTTGCAGCAATTATAGGTCGTACTTGACTGGGAACAAACAAATTGCGTGTAGGTTGTGAAGTAGGTTTGGATATTTCTGCTTCGAAACGAGACAATTCGTCCTCGATGTGTTTACGTTTTGTGGCCATTTTATTAATTTATTATACAACTTATGTAAAGTAGAAAATATAACTTGATATATGGGATGTCAAAACTACACTGTATACAAAATCTGTAAACGAACACAACGTGACAGATAGTTTTTTCTGTACAGTGCTGCCACATGGAAGTATTGCCTTTTCTTAATAATTCCACGTCTTCACAGGCAATCATTGATGTGCTGACATACATGTCTCGACGTAAATTGACCGTGGAGAGTGGCGATTGCGAATGGTCAGTATAGGAATCTAATTTTAAACTTTTCAGTTTTAATGTTACTGAATTTTAAGTTACAAATATTTACGTTTTTCTGAATGATTATAATTTTAATTTTCAGAACTTTTGGTTTATATAATATTTGCAGGTTTAAATAAATCTATAGATATTGTTTTAATGTTATTTCCAAATTGTATATTAAAAGTTTTGTTATGTTTGGAGATAACTTTAAATGGTCCTTCATAAGAGGGTTACAGATTAAACTTATGAATTACCTAGCAAATACATATTCAAAAGTACTTAAACTTTTAGGAATTAAACTTTTTCTTTATCATGATGCTCGTACAAGTGAGAAATGTTTTCTTAATTTAGAAAGAATTTCGATTTCGTTACTATAGTTATTATTGGAAACAATCAGTTCACTCGGAAGCCTCAGTGTTTGACCATAAACTAATTCAGCTGAAAAACATTTTAGATTTTCCTCAATTGCTGTTCGTAGATCTAAAAAAATCGACAGTAAAAATTCAGACCAATGAACTGCATCATTTGATGCTTTAATTGCAGTTTTTAAAGTTCTGTGAAATCTTTCTATCATTCCATTTGACTGTGTATGATATGGAGAAATATGTATTTTGTGAGAACCCCATAATTTTGTTAATTCATTAAATAATTTTGAAGTAAATTGTGTTTCAGGATCTACCTTTATATTGAGTAGAATACCGCAACAAAGAACAAAATTTTGAATAAATGTAGTTGCAACAGAAACCGCTGAAATTTCTTTAACAGGCCTATTCTCACTGTTACCGGTAAAGTAAATTTTTTTTAGTTTTCTTTAACACCCGAAATTGAATTTGGTATTCTGACAAACTGGTTACAATGTCTGAGAAAAATTTGGCAGCACTGTTTTTTTCGTCCATGTTAAATTACACTTGCCAGTTGATAAAGTAAAAAGAAAAATATTCACATCGAAATGGAAGACGTGACAAAAAAAATTAAAAAGTTTTAGTAATTTGTTTATTAAATCATAAATATTTGAACCTAATTATGGAAAATATGCCAAAAAAAGCTGAAATCGTTATCTTACAAATTAAAGAGCTATTTTTTAGTCTGGAAAACTCCTTAAAATAATTTTTTCTTCATCTTCAATGAATTCCAGGCTTAATATATGAATACCTAATGTATTTTGACTTTTTATTTTTTCTCAAACTTACAACGCAAAATCAAACAGCAGATATTTTTGTTACCTCCTATTTCGCTGGTAACAAAATTTACAGGGTAACAGTGAGCACAGAATACGAAATGGTAACAAAATTTACTTAGGTATTAAAATTTACCATTCAGTAAATTTCGTTACCTCGACAGAATAGGCCTGTAAGTGGATATGCTTCTGGTCATGTCTGTCTTCCGAGTATGTCTGACAATGATTAGTAATATATATCGATTCTCTTTAAAACTGGAAGAGGCCCTACTAAATCCATATGAATATATTCAAATCGCCCAGAAGGAATATTAATCTTTTAAATTGCAGTTTTTGTGTTCGTAGTAACTTTGGATTTCTGACAGTTAATACAAGACCAAAAATATTTAGATTGAATGAGACGTCGAGTTATTCGAACACTTGGATGTGATAAATACTGAAGAGTTTTCAAAAATAATTTTTCTCATTGAATTAGGAACATATGTCCTAAAAGGTGTTTGTGTAACATCGCACCAAATATTAAGATTTAGAATTGGAGTATTAATTGCTTTTTAATTACAATTAGCATTTGAATCTGGAATAATATTTTTATATATTGCATACTTAAAATTCGGTTGCACACATCTTTGGTTATTTAATTAATTATTATACGTTCTTTATTACGATGAAGAAGCTATGTGACTAATTTGATGATTTTTTTTAAAGAATATAAAGATCGACCCAATGATTTGGGGAGTCATCGGTGTTAATTCAAAAATCGGTATCGTATTCTGTTAATCGATATCCTACACTCCTATTGTGAATGTATCCAATTTTAGAAGATGTTATTATTTATAATTTATAAATGAGGGACGCCTTTATTTTGGATACAATTTGTAATTAGGAAAACTCTTGCAATGAATATAACAAATAGCGTAAATGTTTCTGTAGAAACAACATGTGAAAATCAAATTCAAGAGATTACATATGACGGAACAGAAATCTACCAACCGTGAGTATGAATGGGAGTAAAAATTATTAAAAATATTACTTTCACTCCATTGTTTTATTAACAGTCCTCCTACCCTATCCGAGACATTGACCCGGTGTGCGGCACGAATAGATTTTAGTAAAACTTCCTTGGATGATTTGAAGAAAGAAGATAAAGCTATTGAAGATGATAGCAAAGATGCAACTCAATTCCAACCAAGCCTTTGGCCATGGGACTCAGTCCGGAACAAGCTCAACGATGCATTGACTGAAATATGTGTACTTTCTGATGTCATTTCAATTGCTAAAGATAAACGTTATTTGGTATTGGATCCAGTACCAGAAGAACAAGATGATGTAAAACCCATTGTCCAAGTTTACAGCCGTAAAAAGGCTTTGGGTCAAGCAGCACAAGTTTTATTGAGTGGAGCCGAGCGGCTGCGTAATTCGCATAGTGAACAGCGAAATCGTAATGTTACAGACTTCCACATTGAGTTGCTACGCCTAAGACAGAACTGGCGACTAAAAAAAGTGTCAAACGCAATAATCGGCGATTTAAGTTATCGCACGGCAGGATCCAAATTTGGAATGAGCGGAACATTTGAGGTTACTAAGGCTGAAGAGTTAGCTGACGATGACTCTGCATCTGGAAGCAGCACAGGTGTTGGTAATAATGGTCTGCCAACCCAATCGCCGAAAACAACATCATCTTTACGTGTTATAGTTCCAGCAGAGCTGCAAGGAGTTGCATACATAAAAGTAATCACTCAAAAAGACCAAGAAGACTTATGCACCGCCAATGTTAACCTAATGGGACATGGACCTAATATAACTCAACAAGTACGATTTTTCATTGAACTGATTTCAATTTTTTTTTTATTATTTTGACAATTTTGTTATTTATTATTTTTCAAAAAATAATAGGCTGGTGTATGGCAAAAAACTTTGGAATTCGCACAGAATGTACTGTTCTGTAAGGAGCTGTTCAGTCAACTCGCACGCGAAGCTATTCAATTGCAGGCCCCAATACCACATGTTGTTATTGGTAATCAAATCCGGGCTACCCTATTGCCAGGAATTCAGCTAATTATTTCGCTATGCCATTCAACTACTTTCGATTCCAGTCAACCAGGCCCGATAAACGATCATGATCATGTCCTTGAACATTCCTTACATCAACTCCTACGTGAAGTTCATCACAAGAATTCTCATCATCCATTCCCACATCCTACTAGTGGACCTTTGGGACCAAGTAAAAAACGCATGCTCGCTGGACCAAAAGCAGCTGATCGTCAAAGTTTATTAGAAATGACAAAATCACAAACGATTCTGGAGCAAATAATTGCGCAGGCACAGCACATATTTATGCGAAAACGCACACAATACGTATTAGATACCTTGGCTCGTGATGTTAAGGATCCTCAGATCGTATCGCATTGGAATGCGATGAACAGTCCTACAATGTCATGTGTAAAAATTAACATTGTGACGCATGGGTAAGTTAATAACTGTAATGTTTATGAACTGCATATTTACATATTGTGTCATTCCAGTTATGATACGATTAACCGCACATCGCTGGTGATCCACGTAAAGGAGCGTTCTCTAAAATGTATATGTCGTGATGGACGAGTTATGCATCTTTCATACGAACCACAAGAATTGCGTGACCTCATATTATGCCAGATTAATTCTCATCAGATATCATGTCTTCTTAATTTGGCGCGATGCATGGCTTGGACTGTTTTGTCAAATAGCAACAACCTCGGCATAGGTAAAGTTGAACCACTCGGCAATGCCAGCTCCTGCTTATTGGCGTCGCCAAACAGTGATCGGATGATTGCGGTACAAATACGATGCGATCCGCAAATAGATGTTAAAGTTTATATTGCACGAAGTCCGCGTCCAGACTTTATACCCAGTCCACTAGTACCAGAAAAGTTCTGGGAAAATTTAGGCGGACATTTCAAAGAAGTGAGTAGATACATAGATAAACAAATATTCATATTGAAATATTGGCATATATATACGTTTAACATTTTGCAGGTCCGTTTTGATAAAATCGAAGGCAAAAGCTTTTTAAATAAAATGGAGTTTCTAATGGCTGCACTTACTAGTAATTCAATATAAACTTAATTATTAACATCAAATATTTGTACAAAGAATAATAATAAAAAATGATTGATTTGATTCATGATTGAAATAAGGTTTTGGGTAATGCTCATTCCAATATGACTAAATAGGCTTCATAATGGAATAACTGAATAAAAGTAATGCTCTATAAATATTAAAGCGATTAAAGAGCTATATTTATCAACTCTAAACCAACAGATTTTTTGACTGCACGGTAGTTACTTATGAGTAGCTTTTATTTTCAAGTTAAAAATAACTCGGAGGAGTTGACATTTCCTGCCAAATGCCGACCGCAATTAGAAAATGTAACTAATTTTTTTTTTGATATCTACAAGCACGTAGATACATACGTACATGCCCTCAAAAATGTATTTAAGTTGTATTTTAGGTTGATGGTACATAAATATTATATTAATACAATTTTTTAAAAGGAAAATAATGAGATTTATTCCATGGATGGATTGGCATGCGATTTTTTTTTTTATAATTTATTATATATTATTATTTTTTTTTTTTAATGTGATATGTTTTGTTCTGTTATTAATGCAATACTTACGCCGCTTAGCAAATATTTCTAAGAGCATATGTCAGAATTATCGTGTTGCTCAGAGTAGTATACACGTAACTAAGCCAAACAAATAGTTCACTACACACTCTCACTATTGTTTATATTCAATACGTGAACGTAGAAGTATTTATACGCTTTTTGTGCTTGATATTGGTTGCGAAATAATACAGAACGTAATTGTCAATCCAACGTCCATTTAAAACTCAAATTAACACTTTCGGAAAACTGCTAACGTTCAAATTCCCAATCATAACAACTCGATAAAGGAAGAAATATTTTAATACATACATATAATTTAAAGCAAATTGTCAGATTTCCAACTTGTTAATCCATACATGCATATGTATGTGTGTATATGGTAACCGTATTATGCAAAACAACCAGCTAACGGTATGAGGCTTTCGTGAAATCCAGATGATTTGAACCAAGATAAAATACCGCTCAACCGTTGTAGTTAGGTGAAAAATCAATATTAGAAAAACTTAATGTGTAGCACATCCCATAAATTCCATAGATATTTAAAATAAATGAGTGTTGTCAAATAATCAGAACATAACAACCGTTGGATGGCACCTTGGAACTGGAGAAACCCTTGCACATCAGCATCAACTGACAGTGATGACTCGAATCAAACACCACCGCCTAGACGTAAACATAAGGAAAATGAGTTGAACAAAAGTTCTTTACATTCTGAAAATGGCGGTAAAATGTACAGTAATTTTACAAATAACATTTATCAAAATCCAAAAACAAACGCAACAACCAAATTCACAACGCCGATATTATTCTCAACAAATCGTGGTCTTCACTTACGTGTTGCGAAACCCATCTCCAAATCCAATGTAGATTCTGCGGCCAGTGTGTATGGAAACTTTGCTGGTGCTAAGGGCGGGGATTTGCCTAGCGGAGTTGATGATATAAGTTTATCCGCAAGCAGTGATTATGAAATAAATTTCTGTGATTTGGAACGTTGGGTGAGTATAACATACATACATAAATGGACATTTATTTGTCTTTCAAACTAACATGTGTATGTATGTATATACATACCGTTGATAAGTGCAGGGCGCCAGATTTTAATCCGTTGTCTTTTTTGCATTTGAAAGCAACAGACATTTTATTTAATTATAATAGAGCTATACTATTTTATCAACAAAATTAAGTTAGAATCCCTTGATGGGAAGTTCCTTAAGCTCTCGATGATTTTTTTTTTAATTTTTTGAAATTTTCTATTAATTTTAATTAGACATATCTGCTAAATAAATATTTGTATATTTTGACAGAGCACAAATCGCGCCAACACAATTTGCTTGGAGGACACCTTTATAGTGTCTAGACGCAACAACAGTCTGCCCAGTCCTAATTTATCACCAGTGGACAACAATTGCGGCATTAATAGAAAGATGCAGCGCAGTGGAAGCATATTTTGTGTGCCTAGCGGCAGTCGGCACGCACTCGTAATGCCGCAGAGAAGCCTTTATCAACGAAGCACAAGTATACAAAGCAGCTTTGAACGCTTTGGCCTCCAATAAAGCGATTTTAAAGTAGTAAACTAGTTACTGAAACTTGTAAATTCATATTCAAGTTTTCTTTTTTTTTCAATTTTGCATAATAAATAAATAATTACAAAGATCTACATGGAAAATTAGGTTTTTTTTGTTGTAGAATTTTACTCCACATTAAATGTAGGGCTATTGAAAAATAAAAGAGAAATACGCTTGCATAGGATCGATCTTCTATTGATGGAACTCTTAAAATAACAAATTTTTTCCTTGAAACAAAGTGTAAATTACACGCTTTGCATTGAAACAATATTAAGTTTTCATTTACTTTTTACAAATATTCTTGTTTTAAAACTTTATTCATCATTTTCACATTTTTTCCATATTTTTTAGGGCTTTATGTGTTATCTTGTTATGCTATTTGCAAATTGTATATAATTAACACTAAAAATACTTATTTTAGACATATTTGCATATTTCACCACCACATGTTATTAATTCGTTTTTACTCATAATTTATTTCCATATACATATATATTTTTTATTTACTTTTTTTATGATTTTTTATTTATTTATTTAATTTTTTTTTTTTTGTTTGCAATCGCCGAATAATTCTTCGTCTTATGCTTACTGTACGCACAAAAATTACATCTGCACGGTTTCAAGACAATTATTGCATAAAAGAGTGCACGCATTTCCTATTACTTATTCTTTCACACTGCCATATGTATTCAAAATTTTAATATATATTTATTTTAAGCTTATGGTATAGATTTTACAAATAATAATTTAATAATTCTGTTTTTCGTTTTCAAACTACATACTTTCCATTTTTTTTTGTCCGTGTTTTACAAATGTATCTTCTTTTGTATTAATTTGATCAAATTTCCGATTTTTATTTATATTTTTCCCTTTTTAGACTTACATATGGATGCTCGAGTGTAATTAAGGTTTTTATTATTTACTGTTTAAGTGATTATTCGTGTATAATTATTGAAAACATGACATTTTAGTGATTTATACGACCATTAATTTTTAAATTAAATAATAAAAAAAAAAACTACGTAAAACAAATTTAATACTAATATTTGGGACATGAAAACACAAAGATTGAATTAAAACCAAAATCGCACTAAGGACACCAAAGTTCAAAAGTAAACCGTAGTAAAGAATAGCGGGAGATTATTCGTAAGCATAACATATGCGTGTATGTATGTATGTATTTACCTTATATGATGCCTACAAAAAAAAAAGAGTTATTTTCATTCCAGACTTATACATACATACGTAAATTACTTAATGTACATTTTACTCAACCATTTTTTGTAAATTTTTGAAAGTGTTTTTCGTTTTTTATGTTTTTTTTTCTAATTATCTTTTATTTTTATTTTTTCTCATGCTAATGATAACTATAAAGACTTTTTACTTGTAATGCACTAACTCTAAAAATAACTCTATTTATGTTTGTATGTATAATAAGTAAATATTTAATTTAATTACATATGCATATTTATTTAACTGTTTTTAAATAGCAATAATTTTTAACTTTTGTACAATATTAAGTTTTTTATTGATAATTATACATACATATATATTAGTATATATTAATATATTCATTTACATATATGCTAATATCTGCATATTTACGTTTACATGATTACATGATTACATGCGTAAGTGCATATGTGTCCACATTTTCTCAGCCGCACAGTCACTCATTCAATTATGTTACATACACATTATGTATTTTGTATGTGGTAAGTATTGTTTATATATATATATATATATTTTTTTTTTTTGCAATTTAAATATACATACATAAACAAATGAATATCCTAAAAATGTTTAAATATATTTGTTATCTTGTTTTAAATGGGCACCACCTTGGTTAAATATCACTCAACAAACGGACATCTCGTTATCAAAACACTTGCAATAGCAATAATTTCCATCACAAAAAAGCAGTTGTGTATATAGTACGATGTAAAATATACAATAATGGGATCTACGGACGTGCAGCAAAATACGCAAACTACTTTTGAAATAAAAAAAAAAAAATTAAGAAAAAAAAACAGAAAAAGTTTAGAAATGTCGGCAACAGAGGATTTTTTTCTATCAATCAGAAGTTATTAATATTCTAAATAATTTAATGCTTAGCAAAGCCCAAGCTAAATATTAAACAATTCCAATTTGATTTTCGCGTACATAACTGCATTGTTAGAGTTGAAAATTTGTTTGTTCCATGTTACGTTTTGTCAAAATTTTTCCTGAAAAATATACTAAAAAAAAATTTCAAAATCCTTGAGCATCAACTAAAGTTAAAAATAATTCGACGACACAATTGCAATATTGTAAGCATAAAGGGTCTTAAATGCAGAATGCTTTCTTGCTTTTATCTAGTCAACATTTCAACATATTAATAAGCATAACTAATTTAGACGGTATTCTCTGCAGATATATTTTATTCAGTAATTCATCAGAACAAAGTTAATTATAGTATAGCATGTGATTGTAAAATGCCGACGAGCCTGAAAGAATTTATGTACATAAATAAATCTATATAGACTTTTGAAAATTCTTGAGGTCGGTCCAAATATTTAGTTGGAACAACTTGCATTCATTTTCATTAAAGGTTCATTACACATCGGAGCGAATTGTGCGTCCACATTTTTATTTAAACACATCAGTGAGTGTAACATATTGCGATTTTTGAATCACAAGCAAGTAGTAGGGGTATTCTCTTTGTCTAGGAAATTCATTGCATCGTTACAACAACAAAACACAAGTAAAAGAATGTGGAAGAATATCTCACGCTCAAACCAAAGTGTATTTGATTCCCACAGCTGAATAAATTGAATTTAGCATAGCAAAGAAATTTACTAGATAGAGAGAATACGCTTAGTACTTGTTTATAATCCCTAAAAATATTAAGTGATAGCGCTTGCGCAACGGACAATGTTGCCTGCAGTGTTTTTAATTTTTGTGCTATTTATTATATAGAACTAACTGTTATACAATATATGTACATACATATGTGTGTATGTATGTAAGGTGGTGCGTATGCCTGTCTCGCCTTTCGATGAATGAAAGGATACTAAGAAGTCATCTTCACTTATAATTTATTATATATTTTATTTGATGCAACAAAAACATTTATAAAATTCGAGTGTTGCTTTTGATAAATATCTGTCATATACCATTTTTAAATACATATGAATTTTACATTTCGTGTCATATGACACTATTACATACATATATGTATGTATGTATATATTTATTCTTTTTTGTCGTGTGTAGTAACATTTAAGCTTTTACTCAAATGATCCTGCGTTTAAATTCTACGTACTGTTAAACCCACACTTGCAAAGAATTGAAGTATTTGCCTATATGCTAACATTTTGCTTAATTTATAAACTTTTATAATTAAATATTTTCCCCCTTTAGCATATATAATAATGTGAAGTCATTTAGTTTTAATATTATACAGTTTAAGTTCGCGTGGATAAGTACAATATAGTTTTCATTTTTCCTTTTAAGATTAACAATTATTGGTATATATCCTTTTTACAAAGTGTCTTTACGCATTTCTTATATATCTGACTTTAATCTTGTTCCATGCTAAGCAATGAATCAAAATCTGATAATAAGTCTCGCGTATATTTCCATATAAAAAAAAATTATATATTAATAACTTGACCTTCAATAATTTCGACAATTGAAATACTTTCTCCTGTATGTGCATCTGATTTTTTTTTTATCAAATCATCTACACACAACGTCCTCTATTTATTTAATTGCGCTTTTATTTTGTACAAATTTAATACTTTCTGCAAAATTTATAAGTATATAAATGTAAAAGTTGCTCGAGAGGTGATTTCGGGTAATTGCTCACATTCTACATATATTTACCATATAGCGTCACTTACGCTATGTTTGTCAGCTGCACATGGCTATACCCTCACAAGTCTCCGAACGATTATTTCATTATGTTGGTTATTTTCTATTACATTATTTGACGGTCGGTCTAATTTGTAACATAAGAGTTTCGAAAATATGTATATAGTTGCAATTTTAGATTATACATATACATTTTATATATATACGGTTATTGATACTTGATCAGTGCTTTATGTATTGAACCATCTGAAATTGCATAAAATAAAATATTTTTAAAAATTGATTTATTTAAAAATTAAGTTCCTTAGGAAAATGCGGCGTTACTGCTGCGGGACTGTTATTATTGGCATGGTTGATGAGATTATTGCTGCCGCTGGGATTGCCGTTATTACTGGTGTTAAGACTGTGCGCAACGGTTGTAGCTGAACTGCTCAACATATTGGCTCCAAGTGCCGCCGCTGCCGCTGCAACTGCTGCTGCAGTCACTGCTGCCGCTGTTGTGTGAGTTGTAGCCGTATTGTTGCTACTATGTTGTTATTGCATGAAATAGTCCGGGTGTTCAGAGTCTTTTTCAAACCTTTTCGCCTCTTCGTGCATGCTTTCTTTTATCTTTAGTATAGCCGCTGATTCATTCTGATCATTTTCCCCGGGACCACCGAATCCACCTAAATTATAATCTCCCATTCCACTACCAGAGTCTTCGCGCGGCGTTCCAGGACCACCATTTGCCGGTGAATTTTTCATGCCATCTAATCCGGAACCGTCTCCGCCGCCGCCATTCAGAACAGGACCCATTGAATTTGGACCACCACCCATTGGACCCATACCACCCGGACCTCCTCCGCCTCCATCCGGTCCACCTCCCATTGGGAATTCTGGTTTCATTATCGAGTACATGTTATCGCCGGGACCACCAGGTCCAGCTTGCGTGTTATCCTGTGGAGATGGCATAATTGGCGTTCCAGGACCGGGCGGGCCATTTGAACCCGGTCCAGGTCCATAATTTCCGGGTGAAGATGATGAATATGCGTTCATTGGTGCAGTTGCATTTGGTTGCCATTGAGGCGGTCGTCCACCAGCTCCCATACCCATACCAGGTGGCATTCCACCCGGTCCCGGTGCTGGACCCCGCATACCGCCAGGGCCGCCATATCCCATCGGTCCCATGCCTCCCGGGCCACGAGGTGGATTCATACGTGGATTCATGGGCCCCATTCCGCCAGGTCTCGTCGGATCCATACTATTCGGCATCATAGGCTGCCCAGGAGGCCCATTGAATTCATTACCCATTCCTTGCATCCTCACACCAGGACGAGGACCACCAGGATATCGAGGTCCACCCATGAATGGCGGCTGGCCAGGCATCATTTGAGATGGTGGTGGCTGAGGGCTTGACGCATGCGTTGGTGGTGATGGACGCATTGTGGAATTCGGAAAGAAATTAGGACCCATAGGTCCACCGGGTCCCATTGGACCCTCGCTACCAGGAGGCATTTGTCCAAGTGGACTAGGAGCTGGTCCACCAGCGCTGTGCGGTCCTCCAGGACCAATTCCATTGACGCCATAGCCGGAACTAACAAAACCATAATCATGAAAGGCTTTCGCCTCTGAAGAGTGATCACATTGATCACGACGCTCCGGGGCAGCGCAGTATAGATCCCAAAAAACGCACCACCATGTGTGTAGGAATCCAGGTGGCTCGCCTAACGTGATGTTCTTCTCCCATCTTATTTCTGACAGAAATGTTTGAGCTGCTTTCTGAGCGCCAACATGTAACAGGTATTCATAAACATATAGCGCCAATTTTTCTCTTGCCTGTGCATCTGATGGCACTGACGACGTTTTAGCTTTTCCATACATTATCTGTTGTGATGTGTCGTGCTTTTGTGTAGATCTTTTCTTCTTGAAGGCGTGTTTACCCTCTTTATTAACTTTTTAAAATAACACTGAAAGGGAACCAGATGCTTGAACTAAATCTTTTAGGTGCAAAAAATTGCACAGCAATGCTGACTGTTATTGGATACTATCTTATAGTTTGTGCTTCAAGTTTTTAATTGTATATTATTTTTTCCACTTTTTATGCTCGCAAAAATCGTTCTGAGCTCTTTTCAGAATTTACTTCACAAAATATCTATATTTTTTTTAGTTTCTTTACGTTTTGAGGCCACCACACAAATTTAATTGGCGCTCGCCGCCACTGCGAAGCTCACGCAGCCATTCTCCCCTTTTCTCTTTTGACTTTCAACATATTTCATATACTTTCTGTTGTGTGAGTTGCTTCTGTAGATAATTTGTGGGATTTTCTCGTCCTCCTGATTTTCGTGTTATTACTATTTCAATAGTCGCAATTGCTTCTTTTTTCGCGATACCAATCCAATACTGTTGCTGTTGTTTAACTACTGGTATGATTGGTACTTCTTTATTTCTACCTCCTTTCTATGTTCCACTCACCAGCACTTGGACCAAGTATTGCATGATTTTATATTTTTATTTTATTTTTTTACTAATATTTGCCAAAGCACACGTTAACACAAACTTTTTTTTTACTATAAAAATGCTCGTTTCTCGTCTTTTCGTGCAAAATTTAGTTCATGTTTGCCTTGCTTGCTTCTTTCTACCTTTTTTTTCCTTTTATATTATATGCTCTTGTTGCTACTTCTGCCGCTTCTTCTGCTTTTCACACAACCACTTCACTAAATAATCGTTGTTGCGCCGATACACTCGCACTCGTGTTCGTATCAATCTCTGCAGTAGCAGTCGTTCACACACTCGTATATGATAAATATAAGCGTTGTTGTTAGCTCTTCGTAGTTGTATTTGTTTAATGTGTTGTTTCGCTGCCTCTGCTGCTCATACCGATTCTCTTCCCTTTGCTCAAAATACCAATAACACAGCACACAACCTGAAACATATAACAAAAAATTAAAAAAGAGAATATATAAGTAAAAATAAAATCAAAATGTGAGAATGGTATAATGGAGGAATCGACAAACTGTGTGCAGTGCGCGATGACGGTGACGGTGACGTTGATGGTGGTGATGGTTGGTTGGTATGACGGTGCCGCGTCACACAGAGTTATAGCAGAATCTCAAACTACAACAAAAGAGCGCATGACATGGGAACGTGACAGGGACGCAGAAAGGGACAACGCAAGGTGCGTTTACGCTAACATCGTTCGTACAACGCGATCAACAAATAATTTGCCAAACGCCAAAGAGGCGCAAAAGAAATTACGGCGAGAGTAAGGTGGCAACGAATCCGGGGACATGCGCTTACGATGATGTTGACACCGCAACAATATGGTAGGAGAAGCTGCAGAATTTGCCTTATTCCGTATACGCTCATTGTAGACATGATGAGCACTTTTGTACTAGAAGAGTAATCGATTTTCATTTTATTTCCAAAGATGCGCTTCGGTGCATACTTCAATTGCAGCAGTGATTCAAATTCAAAGTGTCTCTTGGAAATATTGCTCTTGCACTTTTAGTTGCATATAAATGTACCTACGCATGTACTTATTCAGTAAATATTCTTTTGTTTAGTTATTTGGCTCCACCAACAAATCATTTGAAAACGTAAAAAAAATTTGCATAATAACTACCGGCAACCGGTTTATTCAAAACATATCGCGATTATAATACTTGATTTATGTACATAGTTACACATATATGACTTATAATTTTGATAAGGACACGATAGAAGAGATTGTTTACCACATTTTAAAAACTTCTTCATATGTTAGAAATATATTTATCTAGATCATTTGTATGCATATGTGTACATATGTAGATGTGTATTTATTTCAAAAGTAAACCGCTTCAGTTGATTTCAGTGTAAGTGTAAAACAATCATCATATTTAACAAAAATTAGCAAGTAAAATAAAATGGGATTTTCATTTCAATTACATGCTGAAAACCATCACTTGCGTGTATAAAAAGGCCTTATCTCGAAAATAACCTTTATTAAAAACGTGGTGGCACCTGTTTCACCTGTGATGAGTGACACGTTTAGAATACTAAAAAATACGGCGGTAGCCGAATAGTTCGTACTAACATCCAAAAAGTTAAAGAAAATTGATTTAAATAAAAAATTGAGCTAAATTTTCTAATTGCGGTTGGCCCTGACATGAAATAAAGCTCCTCATAAAAAAAACCTTCAGCCGTTCGGAGGCGCCTTAGTATAAACTGTGGGTCCCTCCATTTGTTGAAAAAAAAAAACAAAACTCAAAAACACCAATATTTGTCGTCGGAATAGTAACACTCTTATAAAGTATTGCTCCCAATCAGGATGGAATGACTTAGGTACATTTCTTTATTAGCTATGAATCAAGTTATGTACGACACTTAATATCAAAACAATTTGCTAATATTTGGATAATTTAAAAATCAGTTTCATAAAGTGCTACTATTGTTTGTAAAAACGCACGAGTAAAACCGCATGTTTGCATATATATATGAATGTATGTATCTATGTAAAAGCTGATACCCAAAAAATCGAAGGGAGTTTTACTCAATTGTAAAATTGACAACGAAATATTTTGGTCCTTTTATCTTGCTTTCATGTTAACTTAAAGATAGCATCCAGTTCTTTATAAATACTAAAGGTCTTAATATATTTTTCATGATTAGCTAATATTACTTAAGTCTGAACTTTTAGAGCGTAACTCCGAAAAAAAAGTTTCAAAGGAAGCTTATATTTTGTTATAGCAAACTCGATTGTCTATTGAATTCCAAACTTATAACTTAAAAATTGATATTATTATAAACATCAGACGCTCCAAAAACACAAGGAGTATTGTTGAACAACCTCTCCATCCTCAAGGTGTAACTGTTTAATGCGGCTTACGCTCCGGCGGCGTCATTCGATTTTACTTTTTCGAAAATGAGGCTGGAGCAACAGTTATAGTGAATGAATTGCGCTACCGAGAGATAATTAATGGTTTTATGGTCGAAAACGGATAATTTCGACCTGGACAACGCTCACTTTTAATGAGATGGCGCTAAGTAACAACCAACTATCGATCTTTTGAGAATTTTTTTTTTAATATTCAAATAAAATCTCTCATGGAAAACACATTGGTCTCAAAAATTTGTGATATCGGTTACACTAACTTTAAATAAAAAAAAATTTTCACGTCATTTTTTAAATACAAACACAAAATTTACTATTATTATATTAAGCAGCGTTCCACTGTTAACAATCGAGATTAATAAATACTTGGGCGTTTGTCACTTTTGGGAAAGGGAAAGGAAAACAAAACAATATTTCAACGTCAATAGAAAGAAATTAAAAAACGGGATACATTGTTGTTGTTACGTTTTCAACAGAAAACGTTAGTGTATCGACTTACGATTTTTTTGCGTTGCACAACACCGCTGAACAAAAACACACCAAAACTGCCTGCTGTACTCCGATTCTGATTATTGCCCGTCTTCTTTGAGCTCAACTTTCGTTTTTAAGTGGTTAACCTGTGTAAGAGTGGATAAGCTACTACTCGTTCAATGGCTATTTCTTTTCTTTCTTACACTTTGTTGCTTCTTCTTTCTGTTTTAATTACAATTTCAGATTTTATGTATTTTCCGATAATCACATTTGCATTTAAAATTTTTTTTTTCGTGTGAACACATAATGTTATTTTCACTTCACTCAGCTATAATTTTTTCAAATATTTTCCTATAAAGTTTTCCATTTTATAAATTAGATTCATATATTTATGTTAAATCTTTTTCGCTAACCTTTCACACACGTATGCCGACCGAAAATCGCGGTCGTTGCAATCAACACTGTCGCTGTCGTTGCCGTAACTATTGTTGTTTGTGTATTCAATGTTACTATATTTTTTATCTCTTGCTACGATTTTATGCAACTACCGTTTTCTCACTCTAACCTCCGTCTGAGCTAATTCTTTTTTTGCTATCACCTGTACTGAATTCGCCTTGGTAATAATCTTTCTTTCTTTGTATCTATCGCTTTTACCCTATGTCTTTGCACTTCTACTTGCTCTGCTTGAAAATTTTCCTGTGTAATATTTTCACTAGCATTTTTAGCATATAATCGCATTTTTATTTACTTTCATTATATGTTGAAATCTATTCAATACATTAATGTTTTTATTCAATTGCAATTTATTTTAAAAAGTCACCTTTTATATCTTCAAAAATTAGAAAATCTTCCCAAATTTTCGCCACAAGTGCGTCTCACGTTACTAAATGGCTGGTAATATGCTGCAAATACGACACACACTTACGGAGTTGCCAAGGCAAAAGTTTTAATAACCATTCTACATATTTCATTAAAAAAATAGTCAACTTACACAAATATCATTCATAAATGAATACTCTAGCGTTATCAATTAGTTATCGACGAAAGCTTGTTCTTTTACTGAAAATAATACCGGCCAATCTGTTCAGATAAAACTGTATCGGGCTTCTTGAAAGATGAAACCGATACAAATTTGAAAATATTTATCACTGTTTAAACCACTTTGTACAGTTGAAAAGACCCTATGTGAATTTTCTAGTTTACCAAAGTGTACAGTGAGTACACAATTCCCGACGAGTCTTGAAAAATAGAGCAAAGTTATCCAAGACTTTACCACAATAAGGTTTTTTCGACCAACAACTTCTATTTTATATTTTGTTAAGGTTGTAAAGCATTGCAAATTGAAATTCTGTTATCATAAACATGATTGATTAAAAGTAATTGTTTCAAAGTTCACATAATTTTCGTCCAATTTTTTTGTTTTTCCAGGCAAAAACTGATTACTTTCTACAATATGACAATTGAAATTAAAAGCTTCCCTCATAAGTTTTTAATACCAGCCAAAGAGAAAACACCACTTTTGTTCTTAGAAAACTTGGCAGCTCTGTAAATTTTGGCATTAAAATTTTCTTGCCGAAACTTCATTGCAGTGGCATCAGAAAGTTTTTCATTTCATTACGCTATAAAATGAAACAGAAGAATATCCTCCCTTTCGGAGTACAACGCAAGCTGTGTCACTCTAGCATTTGCTGTACTTATGCAGGACTATATGAAGATTACAACACTGCTCATTCGATTTCTTCAATTGTTTTCGCCGCATATATTGTGCTGCTGACTGAAGCAGCACTCCCGGCATTTTGCTTTCCTCCCATGGTTCTCTAATAGAATTAATTTTCAATGATGCGTTCATTGTTTTCTAAACTTGTTTTCCTTATTTCCTACAAATGGTTTCTCTCGCTCTCTCAATTTTACCGAAGAGTGTTGCTTTCTGATAGTTGCTTCTAGTCTTTGATGTGTAGTGGTTTTGTTGGGTGAGTGTTTAAAAGTAAGAAATTAAGCTAAACTAAAAGTAAACAAGTGTTAAGTACTTTGCTAGGCAGAACTACTTGATTAATTGTAAACTTCGCATAAAATCAATATAATTCAATGCATTTCCAGCTTTCTGGTTAGTAGGCTTTAAAAGCTCTATCTTATAGGGTTGCCGAATAACCTTAACTCAAGGCTGCATCGCAAAGATACATTCCACGTTAGTTAAAAAATTTCCATCGATTCGATTGATACATTTGGAAATGTTATCGTTAAAGCTGTCATCAAAATAAATTTTATATCCTTTTTACCCGAAACGATTTGAAGTCGAACAAATAAATTCTACCCTGTATCCGAGCAAACAAGTTACAAAAATATTTAACTGTCTATAAAATATAATAGATTTTTCCGGGTACGCAAATATATGTATTTTTACTAACTTCTCTAAAATAAAAAAAAATTATAAGTAGGTTAACTTTATACAATTTTCAAATTTCGCTGATATTATTATTATACATTCCATGAAGCCACAAAATTTAGAAGAAAGTAAATATGAAATTCAATTAAATTAAAAATAGTCTAAAAATATTAATGTTTCAATAAGACCGTAGCCTAACTATTTTTTTTACCTTTGCGAGAAACTCCTTTACGTGAAACGCCTTTGCAAATTGGCGGGCTTCAGTTGCGCTTTGAATAAAAAAATACTGAGATGGACAAACACTGATTTCACCTTATACTGCATCTTTGCCTAAAATAACTAAATAGTACCACTAGGCGAATAGCATCCGTGTATAAGTGTACGGTCAATGCTTGAGCACAATTTAGAATGAAGTAAGAAATTTTATCAAAGATATTTTTATGCTCTTTAATAAATTTTATTTATTTATATATGTAGCTAACTTCAGATGATTTTTGAAGAACGTGTTTATTTATTTCAATATCTCTTTCAAATTTTTTATACACAAAGTATCTTAATATTTAAAAGTATTACTTCGATCAGTTTTCGGACGTAAAGATTTTTTACCATTCCGTATCTTCAAAATATACATATCTGTTTTATATTTTCGGAAATTTCCTTTTCGACACCCTATAGCTCCCGAAATATAAGTTTGCGTAAGAAAAAAAATTACAATCAGAAGTGAAGAGCGGATTACGTCCACTTTTACATTTTCTGCTTCCTTGACGGGTTGTAAACTGCACCTGTAATTAATTTCGCGTATCGATGCACTAAAAATAATATTGGAAAAATTTAAAAGACCCACAATTATTCTTTTAATAAATTTTTTTTATTTAGGGAATGTTTGTCTATAATAACGTTGGAACAATGTCATCGTGTAATCAGCGCAAGCAAATCGTGTCATTTTTGAATTTTTAGCATTTTCTTTTTGGCAGATTCATAACTCAAACAGCAGTGCAATTCTGTAACTTTTATCGACACGAATTGTCGGATCACAAATATCCGAATTTTGTCTCTCAGTTTTTACGATAATCCACAACGGACATTTCCATTTTATTAACATAAAGGAAAGGTGGCACCGCAGCTTAAAAAAGTCAAAATAAGCGAAAAGAACAAAGAAGAATGACAAAAACAAATAAATTTGTTATATAAATTATTTTTATTAAATGAATAGCAATGCATTACAAAGCTTTTCATAACAAAAACATGTTATGGTTTGCACTTTCAAAACTAAGCGGCATGAATGGTGTTCATGAAGGTTAACATAGGCTTCTTCGCAATCTATAACCTCAATAGGTCCTCCAGCAAATGGCGTCATAATTGGAAATCTAACCTTCGCAATAAACATTGAACGGTTGACTTCTCTGTCACGCGATGAATACATTAACTTACTGACGACTGACTTATCGGTATTCCCTATTGCTCTTAGACGGGACTTTGGCAGCATCCAGTTGCAAAGAATTGGAAGGCTGCTAGAACCGTTAAGCATTTTAATAGTGTAAAAACGGAAATAATATTTAAAAGCTATATTGCTACCTGTTTCTCGTAGATAATGCTGTTATTTTGTGCCTTTTAGTTAGCTATCAAGAAAGTCAGTTACATTCAAGTGGAAACGATCTCCAACTTCCCGAAACAAACTTCTACCCAATGATGAAGCGTACAATACCTCCTCAACTTGGGTTAAAACGTATGCCAAATACTCAAAAGCTATTTTTTTAATTTTATTTTCCTTTTTTAAAATTTTTTGGCAATTTCTCGATTTACTTTACTTTACTTTAGCCTTAACCCTTATATAAAATAAATAAATTTTTTCGTTGGCGCTAACAACTTAAAAATATTCGTCGTTTAGTTAGCGATTTGTCGAGAAGTTTACGACTACAACGAGAGCGAATATCGTTAAAATAAGTACACCGATAATTAAAATCGTCAGAATTATCGCTAAGTCTTCTTTGCGATCCGAGAATCGTTATACCATGATAGGGAATACCGAAATCGATAAAATTATCGTTAAGCCATTTTAACGATCCGAAAATCGTTATAATACGATAGAGAATTCTCCTACAGGTGGCCAGAACTGTCCAACAGAACCTTCTAGAGGTTCAAGCGAGTTAAGAAGGTAAAAGCGGCGGTCAACTAACCAGGCTTAAGTTTGGAAGCAGAGTAAACTAGGTGTTTACATGAGAGTCGTATAGTTAGTACAACGTATTTAATTTGGGTTTTATTGCGAGAATATTCTTTGACTACTTAAAACTATACACCGATAGATGGCAGCATAGTAATTGATATAACTATGTATAGCCCAGTAAACTACAGTTAATAAACTGTGTATTTATAACAGAAATAGTTAATTGTGTGTTTACAGTAAAGATTGTCATTGTCTTGGTTTTTTTATTTATCAATCCAGTGAACGTACTCGAAGGATTTGAGAACTCAATGAGGCTTATTTAGCGAAAATCGCTGGAGTATCATTTAATAACTTTAAAATTGCATTTAAGATTTTAGAAAAGGTGTCATCCCTTAAAAAGATATTTCCATTGTAAAAATTTAAAATTCTTTTCAGCTCACATAGAGGGTATCATTTCGTTTAATTAATACTTTATGGAAATTCACAAAATGGATACATAAAGAAATTTTTTAAATCTGCTATTCCAGTACCCTTTTAGCAATGTATTATGTAAATCAAAAATTTTAGTCGGATTGCAACGCTGCTCAAAAATATTTTTGCATCAGGCCTCTCAGCCGAAGAATATAGTGACTCAGCTGATTCAACCTACCTTATTAGAGTGACATGTAAGTTAAAAGTTACCATCGTTTGGCGAAGACGTTACTGACGTTTATCCCGTAGAAACCAGCGGTGATCGATTCAGCTGATCTTGCTCGTAGAGCAGTGCTGTCCAAACTTTTTTTTGGCGTGGCCACAGAAGTGGCCAACAGTTCCAGTCAATGGCCACTTTTTCCAAACCCAAGAAAAACAGTGAAAACAAGTCGAAATTCCGTTTTCATTCTTCTATTTTTTTATGAGTTAAAATTAACCGAAATAAGGATTGTTTATCCGACGGATGTTTATTAATGCGACGGATGATATTCTTTTTTTTCGATCAATTTATCAGTCTGGCTCTGATTAGATATGTTCGGATTCCAAATTTCGTTGCGATATTGCATTGCGGTATTTATTTTTACGTCGCGCAAGACTTGAGAATGATGCTTCACAAACGTATCTGGAACCAATAATGCCAAGTGGCCAAGTGACCACTAGTTTGGATGGCACTGTCGTAGAGGCTTTTATATATAAGTGAATGCAATTTTTTTAACCCCCTAAGAACTCAGGGGAAAATTACCTGTGTACCAAGTTTCATGTAAATGAAAATCAAACGATTTAAAAGTAAATTCGATTTTCCCGGAAGAAAGAGCGTTCCTTATGCTAATTTGGCCCCAAGACTACTACTGTATCAAGTTTTATGTAAATCAAGGTTTACTTCTCGGAACAAAATGTATTTTCCTCAAAAACTTATGGAAAAATTACCTGTGTACCAAATTTCATGTAAAGCAAACGATTCAAAATAAATTCGATTTTTTAAATAGATCGGATACGCAATAAGCGTAAGCTGTTCACTTTCACTACCATTCAGCAGACTGGAAAAGTGTCCGCTACAGTCTTGAAACCTACTGTAAGCCGCCGTATCTTTTCATAGAATTTTCGAGCATTACCCTTGTCGGCCAGCATCACTAGCTTGTTTCTTGTGACACGGTAGCGCTCAGAGTACCAGCCGTCTATTCGACCTTTCCGAAATCCAATAGTTTAGTTTGCAGCTGTATGTAAGGAGCTTGAAATACCGTCGCACAGTTCCCTTATATCGAGTTGCTGATGAGTGCTCTCAGAGAGCCGGAGAACAAGTCGAGTAGAAATTCGTTCGGAAGTCTGTTGTGACTATAGCTTTTCGACGTCGAACCTTCCTAGTGTTTGTTGACGCGCGTTCGTTAATACACAGAGACGGTTGCGTTTCTTCGGTGCAATAAGATGAACCGAGTCGATGTTGGGTCCGTCTATAACAACATGATCGGTCTGGTTTTAAGTTTCTCGATCAGGGCATAGCCAAGTAGCTCGATGTATTTTCTTGTTTTGGAATTTAGTACTACAAACAAGCATATTTCGAGGCCCGCCGAAAATTCTATCAGCGCCAACCCGTTTGGGTATGTTTCCTTGCAGAGACTGTGAATTTTCCGTCAGTTGTGCAAAGAAGGTATCATTTCTTTGCTCACCCTGTCATTAAAGTTGCCCAATTATTCAGATATGAGAAATATTTATTCCTTCAATGAAACGTGTATACTATAAATTTGACTTAGTCACGAAAGCAAAAGAGTCGAAAACTAAGTACATATTTATATATTGGCATAACTGAGTCTTAAGACTATTCCAGAACCAATTCCAAATTAAATAAATATAAAATTTTCTAATTTTTACCGAAATTTCGATGCCAATATTTTTCTCATTATATACATATATATAAGTGTTGAGTGCCAACTCTTAATAAAAATAAAAACCGAAATGCGTACAGAGAAAAATTTTAATTCTTAGAATTTATTAATAATATTTTACTGTCCGCCTTGCTTAAGAGACAACACTGTTCGCACGATGCTGTTAGTAGTTCGTGTAAAAGGATATACAATACAGTTTTGTTGTGCTGTTAGCGGTCCTGCGAATCAGTCTCAGTCGGTTAACAGTGAAGTGAACATGCAAAATTCCATTGACGGGTCTCGCTATTTGTGTGTAAACAAATTTCTTGCTTGACATTCTTGAAATTGTGTTTACATTCGTATTTCGTTAGTGCAAATTGTGTCAATATGTTTTGGTTAACCAGATACTTGTACATGTGTTATATACATACGTGCGGGATAAAAGTACAATAATTTTCTTATCTAATATAATTGTTTCTATATAAATGTCGCTTTTTATATATTCAAATAAAGTGTTAAATAAACAAAGAATAATACATATGTATGTGTGTAAATTATTTCAATAACGAAAAATTTTCAATAAACAATGGTAAATACAAACAGTTGCATTTCTTTATAAATATCAACATACAAAGTATGTACATAAATATATTGTTAATTGAGATGTATTTGCATTTGGTAGCCTGTCGAATAGAAAATGTGTGAAACTTATAAAAGTAACTTTACCTCAAATACTAGCCTTAAGTAAGACTAAATTTTATTTCATAGTATATGTAAGCTAAAAAATAAACAAGCAGTTTACTCAGCACAGGCATTTATATCATTTATAACTTGGTGAAAAAGTAAGTTCGGAAATCAAAAATCGTATATAAAAATGTTAAAATTATAGTGTTTGTTCGTTACAATTTTTCCCTTACCGCAAATTTTATTAGAATTATTTTTTTCCCTTTGAATTTTCATTGTTCTTTTTTTACTTTAATTAAAAGTTTTTTTATTTTGAGCATTTGTACTCATATTACACCTTTGAAGAGTAGTTAGCAATGTTTTATTTGTAAAAATAAGAGTTTTTGAAGCTGCTACAGCAGATCTCCAGTGACCCCTCCCAAAAAAAAGGCGTTTTGCGGTGACCATCTGAATCATCTGAAATGAAAAAATCAAACAGAATTCGTTAAAGTAATGTATAATTTTATGATTAATCAAAGGAATAAGTCAACAAATTTTTTTGATAAAATGGCAGATTTAAAAAAATTTAATTTTTCTCCATTTTTCTTTTCTTGAATTCATCAGTAATGGAAAAGCTGCGATTAAGCACTTGAAAATATTGTTCAGAAATCCGTGTAAAAATTTAAGACTAATCGATTGGTCCGTTCCCGAAAAGTCTTAGTCACCGACTTCAAAAACATATATACATATATATATATAATTGGCGCCTTTTAACCGCTGAATTTCGGCCGAGCTCCTCCTCCGATTTGTGGTTTTGCGTCTTGATGTTTTCCCAACAAATGGAGGGACCTACAATTTGTACTAAGCCGCCTCTGAACGGCTGATAGTTTTTTTATGAGGAACTTTATTTCATGTCAGGAATACACTCTGAGGGGTGGACACGACCTGCCGAGTGGCAACCGCAATTAGAAAATTTAGTTTAATTATTTATTTTAATTAACTGTCTTTAACTTTTTGTATGTTAGTACGACACCAGGACTTGAACCTGAGCCTTTCGAATGGCAGTACGCAATGCTAACTACTCGGCTACCGCGGCCGCCAACATAGTTTTGGGAAAAACGAGGCGCTACACCGGCTTGCCGCTATCAAATGTTCTCACGCGCCGTTAGAGATATGCGTGAAAACTTCAAAAATAACAACCGGATCGACTTGAAATACGCGAACATTACGAAAAAGAAATTTAAAAAATTCGATTTTCTGAAAATTCTAATTAGATGTGATAGTTATGGTTAGTTATAAATTTATTGCGGAAAGGTGAAATATCTTCAAATTTATTGTTTAAAAAAGATTTCTAGGTGCTTTGTATTCGAAGACAGGAGATTCTGCTTAGTCAAATTCTATAGAAAAGAGAGATTTCAAATATATGTAGATATTCTTATACTTTGCCAAATGGGGATGTCAAAATATTTTGAATAAATGGGCACAGACCGGCCCGACAGACATGTTTTAAAATTTCAAGTTAAAAAACTAATGGATTTGGGGAGCCTATTTTTATTATTTGCTGGCTACTTTTATTATGAGCACTGACCCGATTTTCGCCCGAGTTCCCGCCTCCAAATTTGTAGTGTGCGCTTTTCCAACAAATAGGGGGACCCACACGTTATTCTAAGCCGCCTCCGTGTGATTGATGAATTTTTATAATTTGGTTTTTTTTTTTTTTCATATCAGAAATACACTCGGACGCTTGACATTTCCTGCCGAGGAGCGAGCACAGTTAGAACAAGAAATAAGAGCTGTTAAGAAGAGGTCTTTATCCCTTTCCTGACCATAGCAAATTCTCATATCTGAAAAATAGGTTAGACGGGGTTATATTATGCATTATACCGATTTTTTGTGTAGAATACCAAATTTCGCGTTTAGATTCGGTTTTGACGGATTTTCGACACAAACCTCATATCTGAAGAAATCGATTGTAGGGGGGGGGGCTATATGATATGGACCTCCACGTTAGGAAAATTTCGGAGGCACGACTGTGTAATACTAGTATGATTCAAAATCTATATTCTAAAAAAGGGTCGTATATACGTGTATGTTCTGGCGGTGTGATCTGGCCGCTTCCGACAAGTCATTGTTTAAATATACCAATACAACTCAACTCGTCATTTATTCATTCCTTTAGTAGTAACTCATTATTTGAGAATGGCTGTATCGATTTGTGTACACTTTTTTCAGTTCGTGTAATTTCTTGGAAAATGTTAAAAAAAACATTTTTGTATTCGAAAAAGTCGTAATTTAAAGCTTGATACACTTTAAATTTGGTATACTGGTATAGCTCTTAGCTTAGATTAACATGCAGAACAAGTTCTTCCGGTAAGTGGAGCTGTAACCGAATGCGGCTATTGTTAATAGGTGGGAATATTTAGGGGACTGCTCAAAGCCAAGTTTGGGCAGAAATTTTTTAACTCCTATATTTATATAGATGAAGTTTTCTGTCTAAGTGTATATCTGCGTATGTTTCCTCATCTTCTTACGAGAAGATGTTTGCAAATTTCCTGAATTTATTGAGGGAAAATAAACAACCAGTAGTTATTTCACTCTAGGAGAAATGAACAATTGGATTTAAAAGTGGGAATTTTGAATTCGCATTAAGCACAATAAGAAAGGACTTAGAATCGGGGCTTGAAAAGTACATTTAGTTAAATGTAATTAGCTAGATATAATAGATACGAGTATAGAAGCAACTAGCTGGGTTTAAGGGTCAAAGTATTTTGAATAGCGTTCCATTTCATTTCACAGCGGCGTAGCATTGAGTTCACCATATTTTGGTACTTTTAAACTGGAATTGAGTTCCAAGCAAGCTTTACGGATTCCAATAACTTCAATTATTTGTAGGATAACAGTCAGAAACCGATTTATTTATATCATTCCACAAATTTTATATCGGCTTAATGTCAGGAGACTGTGGAAGTCGTTCAATAACATTTACTCGGTTGTCTCCAAACGACTTCTTTGCAAGCTTGCTAGTATGCCTCGGATCATTGTCCTGTTGAAAGGTCCAAATCAGTGGGATTTCCTCGCTAGCATATGTAAGAATGATCTCCTGCATGATTTGGGCATATTGATCAGCATTCATGGACTCCTTGATCCAATGAATGGCTCAAATTCCTTACTACGAAAAGCATTAATTTATTTAATAGTTTTACCATTTTAGTGGCATATTTTGGATTAAGTGCGCTGTTGGGTGGACATCGTACAAACCGCCTTGAACCTTTTTCACTATAGCGAAAAATTTTTGACTCGTCAGACCAAGTCAAATGGTCTTTGGCGAAACGTAATCTTTTGACCACATGCTGTTTAGTCAGCAAAGGCACTTTTCTGGGGCTATGAGCTGACAGATCGTAAGCGTCGGCGCAGAATTTTAACGCTGGCTTTCACATTTAGAGATGTTTTTATTTCGGTGGTAGCCGCAAACCGATATTAAATATTTTACAGCAGACTTAACCAATTGAGTGGGCATTACACGTTTCCGCCCGCGTTTTTCGACACCCAGTTTGTATTTTATACTTCTCTGTAGGTTTTTCCTTCCTTTTTTCTTGACATCACTACATTCAGCATGATCAAACTTTTTACATTATAAAACAGAATGCTGATAACAGAAATAGTTCTTACCGATTCTTTAATTTTTTGTCCCAAAAACAAAAAGAATTTAATTTTTTTGAACTATTCTTGATTGCGCTATTAAGAATTTAACTGATCGAAAACACACTTTTCCTCAAAACTTAGCCGATTGCAATAACAACAATAATTCTTAACTTAACAAACCTCTTGAAGAGCGAAACACTGATTATAGCGACCCATCAGCTTGTTGATAACATTTTTGTAGTACGATTTGTCCTTTGCTTCAAAATAGGCCTTACTATCGGCGATCACCTCTTCATTCGACGAAAATTTCTCCTCAGTGATCATTCTCTTGAGATCTGAGAACAGGAAATAGTCGCTGGTGGCCAGATCTGGAGAATGTGGTGAACAAAAAACTCGGGTTTATTACGATTTGAATCATCAACTTGTCGTTGTTTTTGGTCAAAAGTGAGCACGCTTGGCATTCTCATACCGAAATATTCGTGAATGATATTATGTACACGATCAGTTGATATTTTGAAAGTGTCTGCTGTTTTCTTCAATTTCAATTTCTCGTAAACTATGATCTTTCAAAATCATTTTGTGGTTTCTTTTTTGATATTTTTGTCAACCTTTTTTTGGGCGGCCACTACCGTATTTTTTCCTTTAAATATTTAATAAAGGAATATTTTATCAACTCGCGAAATTCCTTTTTATCCATTTTTTTTTTTTTTTTTTCAAAAAAATCAAAGTCGCTGCAATCAAAATGCTTTAATTCACAATCTAATGATCCGACTAGCATCTTTTGAAGGTTAGTTCTAACTAAAAATTATGTGGATTTCATTCTAGTAGCGCCATCTATGTGTCAGGTCGGGACTTCCCAATTGACCAGTTACTTTACAAAATTCACTACTATCGATGAATATTTTAGACCAATATCTATTTCCAAATTTTTGATACAAAATAATCGTTTACGATTTTGTCTTTGCTAATTTATTTATCAGCCCTGTTATTACCTTCGAATTCCTAATTATAACTTGTAATTATGTTATGATTCTTAGTCAACCACAGAGTAAACAAGCAACCACTGCGGATATTCGAAGCAATTAGGAAGACATACAAATATAAATGCATATTTACGCGCATACATTCCATAAACATTTGTACATATATAACCCGTGGTTTTTATTATATATAATATAGGGCAAAATTTGCAATTAAATATGGATTATTCGTTTAAATAGATAAACTAAATAATGTCTTTAATTATATGATTTGATGTGTATATATTCAAATAAGGTGCGTTTAGTTTATTATTTTAACAAAAACTTTAACCAGGAAGTAGTATTTTGGAGAAAAAGCTTTTAATTTTAGAAAAAATAATTTTCAATCAAAGAATCATTTGTTCATTATGTAATAAAGTTTTTTTTTTTGGAACAAAAACGTTTTTTTTTTGTTGTTTCAAAATGTCATTTTCGTTAAAATTAACTAAGACAACATTTTTCCGGTGACTTTTTCGCCATGGGTTATTGGCTCTTGCAACGCAAAACAATATTTTTTTTTATCGATTCTGTCAATTTCTTCAAAGAACTGACTTCCAGGCTAAAAGTTTCGGTATGATAGCAGCCTTATTCTCATCTGTACTGGTATATTGCATAAGCACTTCGTACTCTTGTACTAATTCTATGGGAGAGGAGGTCGGTCAGTCCATGGTTTCTATGGAGCTTTCGGTCATTGCTTACATGAATGCGGGCATGGTTCTGTTGAAAAATTAGTGGCAGTCGCCTGTAAAACTCAACAAAAGGAAAAGTTTCCAACGTTTTAGGGTAGTCTCTGCTATTATTGCGAGGCAATGTTAACTGAAATTGCGTTCACTGTAGGCTATTTCGCAAATAAAACTGAAAACCTACTGACCCATTAAGATTCTCTAATTTTCGTCCGAGAAGATAACCTTTACAACGAATAAAGTCAAATTTTTTTCCAAACGAAAATCTCGCATTCTCGACGAGATACCCGCTAACCCGCGGAGCTTCGAAAAAATAAGTTTCTATTTTGCTGTCATGCTATCTGCTTTCAAGGTACCTGAAATGAAAAAAAGGCAAAAGAGGCATTATGGGTTATTGTATGAACTATAAAGTGAACTACGATTGAGGTAAAAAAATTAAATCTGAAGATTGGTGTCATCTTGAAATAAAGTTAAAATTTAGCTTAAAAATCTGATGGTATTATCCGAGTGTCACTTTGCTGAATACGGACAGTTTCAAGTCGAGCGGACGATTAGTTTTCGAGTTACAATGAGAGGAAATTTTGAAAAGGCTGTTTCGAGAAAAACGCATTTGAAAAAGAAATCTCCACTTGAACTTACATGACTCGTTTTAGGATTACTCCGAAACTATTACAGTTAAGCAAGTATGTTTTTTTTCGAAGGTATAGGCTCACATAGAAAATGAAAAAAAATCGAATTTATGAAAGTGTCGCATAATTAAAGTGTTTTATTTATACATTAACAATAATAATAGCGAATATTAATAATTTTTTTTTTTGCGCAAATGTAGATTCTTTTCACGTATACACCGTATCTGTCATGTTCAAAGGTAAATATGTATCTATGTAAGCAAATACATTCAAACCACAATAAAGCGCGATGACAAGCACTGATTCAGCAATTATGACAAAGCGTTTACATTGTCTCCCTGGTGGCATGTTAAGCTGTTGAAATGCAATCAAATGACATCACAGAACCACCAGAATAGTCCTTGAGTTGTAAACAAATATTTTCTTACATTAAACTTAGAAACGCAAGGAAGCACAGCAAGTTGCAGTGACAAGGTGCCAAAGCGCAAAGAGACTTGGAATAGCATATTCATGAAATGCTGTGACGGAATACTGTGAAAGCTAAAAGCGCAAAATATTGCAAATACTCGTATATGATACATATGTGTTATATATATATGTGTATATGTTGTACATACATACAATACATTATCATGCACTGCATCTTTATTAAGATTTATGCTGGCATACAATTTATTTTATTTATTTTTGTTAATAATAAAAATATTAATTATGCCGACGCGGTAGCCAAGTGGTTAGCATTGCGTACTGCCATTCGGCGATCAACATGCAAAAGTTATAGCAAATTAATTTAAATAAAAACTTTGTTAAATTTTCTAACTGCAGTCGCCCCTCGGCAGGAAATGTCAACCCGAGTATCTCCGACATGAAATAAAGTTCCTTATATAAAAATACCATCAGCCGTTCGGAGGCGGCTTTGTATAAACTGTAAGTCCCTCCATTTGTTGGAGAAATGTCAAGACGCAAAACCACAAACTGGAGGAGGAGCTCTTTATAAGCAATTATATATCTAATTATGCTTTTGGCTAAATAAGTGTTTAAATGGGTTCATAAAGGTATTTTGGCAGAGAACTTCTGCGTAAAAAGAAGCGAGAATTGAATGTCAGGCAAACTCAATTTTTCTCATTGCATTGTTTTTAGTGTTCATTTAATTTTGATATAAATTCGATATAAAATATAAAAGTAAAAGTGTGATTTTACGTATTTAGAAATATCCTATAGATTTTTAATATAAGAAGTAATTTTCAAAAAAATCAGAATATTAGTTTTATATTCTTGACATGTCGATAATAAAGTGATTAAAAAAATTTTTCCATATGGCGTACCATTTTCTTATAATTCACTAGAACGAAAAAGTAATTCAAAACAAAACTAACAATAGTTTCATAAATATACTAGAAAGAAGAAGAAATGCGTAAAAGTTTACATTACGAAAATTTGGAACGAGACCCGTTTTTGCTAATAAAAAATATACAGTGGTTAATAAAGACTGCGTCATTATAAATATGTGCAGCGAATTATAGGCATATCTCAGTATCCGAAATTCAGATTTTCAAAAATTTCATGGCTGACTAACATAATTATATTAATTTTGTTATAAGTTTTTAGTGAGCCAAAGCGGAATTGAATATATTTGTTTTACAACAAAGAAAAATGGTAGAAGTGATAGCTGTTTCGGAGATCCCCACATTTCCTTATCAGACTTCTTATGGCGGGAATCGAGCCAACGGATCCTGACTTAACAAGCGAGTGTTCTACCACTGCGCCAACATCAGCAAAGTTATTTATTGTTGTATTATTCAAATCATTATTAACCAACAACTATTAAGTGCACTAATTTAATTGAAGGCCTTCCGCTTCTCTGTTCATCATGCACCGGAGTTGTAAGACTGTTTTTAAACACGCGATTACACTTGTACACAGTCGTATGATTCATTTCCAGTTTTCACCTCATTAAAAATCTGAGACGAGATAATGAATGATGCTGGGTATTTCGTATTTGGCGGGAGTCTTGATAGACATTGTTCACGAAACGTATTGTCCCGTCGATTGTTCTCAACGCACTGACCTCTAACTGGTGGCTTTGGTGGTAGGGTTAGCGTAAAAAAAAAATACATCCAGCCATGAGAGCTTAAGTGGGCTTACTTTCAGGATATGCCTTGTAGATAGAAGTCTAAAATGATGAGCTCGATAACTTTATAGTGCCGATTCAATATTCTCATCATTCTATAGCCTTTGAATTCACTTATACCTGTTAAAAAATACCATATAATTCAATAGCCATTAAATCTTATTGTTCTGTTGAACTTGTCAAACTTTGATGCCATTATTTGCGGACATTTTAGCGACATACATATGCAGGTTAATTAAGTTTTTAGTAGTTGTAAAATTGCATTTTAATATTTAAGCTGATGACGTGAAACATTTCACCAGGCGAACCCTTATGGACTATTTTATGAGCTACAAAATTTGCACAGTCCACACGTTTAAATATAATAAGCCGCTGTTAACGAAGTATATAATGAGAAAGTATATTAAAATATTAATGGGTTTATACATACATATGTACTTTAAGAAGTTATAATTAAAGATTTTACAAAATTTATATCGTAGACACGTATTATCGTGTATCTACATACGTTTATATGTACACTACAATTTTTTTTTTTGGTTGAGTACTCCACGGCGTATGATAACGGCGTAAATGACAATATAACGCACAAAGCGTAGTCTTCATATATGACACCGGCAAAGATAGAATTATGGATACATTTTCATTAAAAATACATACCTTAAGGTGATTTCCGACGTAACGCAATTTTTATTTCCTTCTCGTATTTCGCAGTTGAAAAAATTTGCAATTTCGACGTGTCACCGCCCCGAAATTAGTACCTGTAATTTAATTTCATGTAATTTATTTATTGAATATATTTGATTTTTGCATTTCAGAGACTTTAGGAGAGCATTCATGAGACTTTAGGAGAGAAATATGTATGTGGGAAGCATCAATTTGGCTTTGAAATGGCTACTTGCAGAAATTTTCAGAAGCCTCCGAACAAAAAACGATTCATACGAGGTGTGTCAATTATGTAATGAAACTGATTCCATAAAAATCGCATATTTCAAAATTATTCTACAACTCTGCCATCGCTTTCAAAGTAGTCCCCCTCGTCACGGACCACTGGATGTCCTCGATCGACTCAAAATGGGTTCCTTTGACCACCAATTTCGTTCTAGGGAATAAAAAAAAAAAGTCACAGGGTGACATGTCGGGCGAATAAGGCGATTGTTGCAACACGGCGATCTCCTTAGAGGCCAAATACGGGGACACGCTGAGGGCGGTGTATCACAACGCCTTGTCGTGGTGAAGGATCCAGTTAAGAGCGGTGTCTGGGCGCACCCTGTTGAATCGTTTTCGCAATCTTTCGAGTACTTGGCGATAATATACTTAATATAGAAATTCTTTGTGAACGATTCCACTGCTATCAAAAAAGGCCATAATCATCGTTTTCACCTTAGACTTGCGCGCCTCGTGGATCATTTGTTCCAGACATTAATTACTCGGCTGATTCCAAAGTTACTATTGCTGCAATGGATAAAATATGCAATTATTGCCATTATTGTAATTGTTTCGCAATGATACATCCAGCATGTGTGCGCATCAGGAAAAGTTGTATTGTCACCACTTCCTACTCCATCTGAACTTTTAAAATCCCTTCTTTCTGACAGTTCAAATGATTGAAAATTATTTTTGCGTAAGACACAAAAATTCAATTCTTGCTTCCAAATGACGTCGTTTTTAGCATCCAAAGTTTGTGATTTGTCATATGATAATCGCAATTTTGAGACAACATTCAAAATTCAAGGCAAGGTATACAACGGCCAGAGAAGGCATCGCCGAAAAATTGACAAAAATTATTATTTGGGTACAAGATTAGATCGGGCGTATGTTTTTATTCCGCAGTTGGGAGTTGCATTGATATTTAAATGAAGGACTTTAAGTAGATAATAAGCGACGCGGACATAAAAATACGTAGGCGGATACATAATATACTCGTAATATAATAAGAGCTCAAAACTTAGTATTAGAAGATACATAATAAGGGCTTTTTACCGTTTGACAAAATTAAGAAAGCCACAACTTTTTCTTGTTTTTTTTTATTTGATTTTGCATTTATTAACGTTATTTTTCATATTTAAGTCCGGACATATTATATACATATATTTTAGTGCGAAACTAAAATTTTCATATGTATATTAAGAAAATTTAATTTTATGTCTTTGAATAAATATATTTAAAATTTTTCCAAGACTTAAAAGTTTAATGAATAATTTTTTATTTTTTCTTGGGTAAATTATTATCTACGTTCGTCTATTGCGGATAGTATTGTGCGACGAAAATATTATTGTGCTTTTTTTATCTTAGCTCAAAGCAACTCTCCGCGGTATTCTTGAACAAATTTTCCTTGCCGTTTTAGCGAAAGATTTCCCGCTTTACCACTAACTCCTCTACACATTTCTGTATTTATTTTTCTATGTTTGAGTGCTGCAACATTTATCACTGCATGTTCGTCCTCCTGTCGTATTTGTTATTTCTTTGGTAAGAAATATATATAAATTTCTCAATTTAATTTTCACTACTGCATCAGTTGTCTTCTCATTTGTGGTGCATATGTATAAGTATACCTATCCACTTCAATGTATATGAGTAACAAAGACTAACAAGCAATGACAGTAAAAGCGAAAAATAAGCACTAAACCGCTTATTTAATTTTCTTTTCTCTCTTTATGCATAAAGCAAAAGTGGAGCAATAGCATATAAGGTCTTGTGAGAATAAAACATGAAAACTGTCCGGCTACTGGGGTATAGTATTTTTTGGGTCCACCAAATGATATACTTATGTATGTATATACGTGAAGTACAGCATTTATGCTATCACGCAAGTTTACGTCAATTTTTCATAGTTTGAGGTTGTCTGGGAAGGAGTTGAAACTACAGAAAGTGTCTGACAATAATTGAGGTCACCTTAAATATTAGTCTAAGAAATATATCAAAAAATCGGACCTTTAGACTATAATTTATTTGAGGTGCGCTTTGTTGCACCTTTGGCGCTAATTAGTCGTGACGTTATCGTGCTTATCTATGTTGAAGGCGTGCACAGACGAACTTTTAGGTTGTATAAAATGATGTGTTGGTGTTTGTGTGCTTGAATACGTAAAAGATGTCTATCGTCTATCGAAACTAGTTTGTTTGTGGATAATTGTTTTTATAAATTTAAATATTTTTTTTATTTTATTTAAAATAGTCTTGCTGTTATTGTTGTATGCTCAAAACTATTCCCCAAAGTAGTTGTTGCGGGAGTGACCGACCTTGGCCAAGTAAAATTTCGAGTTATTCCGGTATAAAGGTTGCGGCGAAAACTTTTGGATTTTCGTCGTCTCCTACTGTGGGTAAATGCTTCAACCCCTACCACGCAGGACTTCTACTAAGAGCAATGTAATCAAATTCGCACAACTTTGTAGTTTTACTTTGCCCATAGTCTTTAAAAAAGTGAGTCATCGACCTTTGAAATCCTATAACATCAGGAATTCCTTTCGACAACGAAAGTCTTTTTCCCTTGTTAGAAGTAACAAAGTGCTAAGTGTAGGGCGAAAGTCTCGAGTTGTTACTATTCGAAATTGAAGTTAGTTTGGCCAGTTGGAAGAAATTCTCTCTTACAAATCGTAAAACTTTTACAAATACCGAAAGCAAAATTTCCATTCATTACTAACTTTCCTTGCAGGGCACATAAACAAAATTAACAAAAGCTGTGAGTCGGTTTTCGTTTGTTTGTTCTTACTATCGCACACCATTTCTGCAAATATATGTTTACGCACATATATAGATACATAATATATATACGGCTTGAACATATTGCACACTTTGCACATAATTTATTATCCGAGTAGAGCTGAGAACTGTTGAAGATGTTGCAACAGACGAAGAAGAGGCGTGCTGAATTAATCGCAAACATTCATCTGTTCGGGTGTCGCTGTTGTCACAACAAAATAACAGTTTCAAACCAACAACCAACACATAATAGCCAACATTCATATCCGCATAACGGAAGTTACAAGTTGGATTTTGTATTGAAAAATTTACTGAAGCATTGAATACAATCTTCTGCAGTCAACTATTTATCATCTTAGACTAAGTAAAATCGAATTAGATATAAATATATATATATATGTATACGTGTATATGAATGAGCTTTTGTACTTATGCATCCATTCATTGTCATCAAGCGTTGAACGGTAGCTGTAGTGGCGTCATCGAAATTCAATTGTCTTGCATTCGCAACAATTTTTTAGAGTCTTGTTGAAACAGCGGAGTCCACTTTTTGACCATCGTATATGAAAGGGCAGAGCACTAAAGAACCGATTGCATCTCTTCAAAAACTCCTTTCGGGGCACTTTCTTTTTTTACAAGAATTTCCAGTTACCGTTGACGTAACATTGTTGCATGTTCTAGGAATGAAATTTTAATAAACCTTAAAAAAAAATTGTGTTGTGTATACTAATAATGTATGTTGCAATTAGTATTATCAGTAACGAGTTGATGTGGCATCTCTAACTACCTTAGGCCGCGAACTTATCAGCCGCCCCTCGATTCACGTTGACGAAAATAGTAAATGACGCTGTGTTTTTCAAATTAAATTAACTTGAACTCATTAAAAACTGTTTAACAAAAGATTAAACTTTTTATTTTAACCTTGGTGGGTTGGTTGAACGTATCTCAACTATGCTTTTGCAAACATTTTGAACAATTTTTCGATGTTTTAATTTCTGCCAAATATGCCTGTTCATTTCCGTAAAGACTCGAGACCGAAAATTCTCAAAGGCAGCGCTCCAACTATTCATATTGGTTTCATTCATTTTGAGTGCGCCCGACCTTTCATTGCATTCTACTTTCGCGTGTTCGTAGTAGTTTGCCAGTTATTTGCCTTGACCATGTTCTCGCACAATTGGACCTCTGTTGACTCGCTTAGTTGACTTAATTGCCGATAAGCTATCCACCAGAAGTTTGTTAGGTTTAGCCTTTAAAGTGGTTGTTCTTTTGGCTCTTTCAGTAAAGCTCACAGCCTCTACTCTAAAGACTGTGTTGTAGTCATGGAATATGGAGTTATTTAGCCTTAATAACAAAGTTCATAGGCTGATGTAACCATATCAATGCAATTTTAGACGCAAATAATTAACGAATAAATTATCTTGAATTAAAAGAAATAACCAAATCTAATTAGCAATGCAACGTGATATCTCTGAGGATAAACATGAATATTCTAGAAAAATGTGCTCTCCGCAAGACAACTCGCAACAGCAAGAGCCCTCACGTATGACCGTGAGACATTTTTCGACAAAAAAGCATGTACAATAGTTCCGTGCATTACCGAGATAGGGGTTCAGTTTTTCGGCGGCTTAATATTTTTGTTGCAAAATCTTTATTTCATTATTCTGTGGCAAAAATCTACTAACGTACTTATAAAATGTGCTTATATTTTATTTGCTGCCATTTATGTAGAAAAGTGTTGATAACCCTTATTTAACATTATTTTAATAAAAAATGAGAGCTGGGCTGCCGCACCTCGAAAATTTCATACAAAATTGCCAACTGAGAAAATATTAATTGAAAAATTCCGGAAAACAGTATCCGCTGGAGACGCAAAGCGCACTTGTCATCCAAAACAAGTCTTTCAAATGACAAAATCAAAGCAGTGCGTGAGAGTCTCGTTGACAATCCAGGAATCTCATCAATATGGCATGATAAAGATGAATTGCAAATTTCATGAAGCTCATTACATCGTATACTCCACAAAAATATGTATCTCTATGCTTACAAAATTTAATTAACTGAA